GCCCGCCCTCCTTGACTCCGTCCTGGGAATGCTGGACCAAAATATTGTTGGACCGTTGCTCCATGAGCGCTGTAGCAACGTCGAGTCCTCGGGTGTCACCCCTTTGGCAATGTTCCTTACGCGCATCACCGACAAAACAGGATGGGAAAAAAGCCTGAAGCTTATCCTATCTCTCTCCGGCGGCAAAGACCTCGAAAAAATGGATGGGGCGGGAGATTATCCATTACACTCAGTTGTACGACTAGGCCATCAGAATCTGGTGAAGTTTATTGTGGAGTACAGGCCAGGACTTTTGTACTGGGAAAACGCTACGGGGATGACTGTGGGTGACGTGGTGACCACTGCATATCTGCGATATCAAATCGAGAATCCGCCAAAGCTGAATCCGAATAGCGAGATGAGCATCCAAAATACTCCCGCCCGTGAGTTCGCGGAAGGTTCCGAGGCTGGTTCAAACAAGGATGAAATCCCAGACGCAGCTGGGCGTAGCCAGCAATGGCTGATGTACCGCCTCATAAATTCCCTTATGGCCAAATATCCAGCGAAGCGCAAGTTGGTGGCACTCCATGATGCGAACGAGGTCGCGAAGCGCCTGGCAATGCAGCAGCAGAAGCAGAATGAGGAGAAGCGTCGACGTGAAAGACTTGGAGCGAACCTAAGAATCTGGCGACACCAGGAGCACTCTGAAGACGCTGGCGAAGCTGAGAATGGGCCGGACGAAGTGGCCCAGTATCTGGATCAAGCAAAGAATTACAAGAAATGGGACGAGCTGGTCTGGAGGAAGGTGGAGGCAAAAGAGACGAAAGACTCGAATGGCCGTGACATCGAGATGGAGTACCGGCGCCGTGGGAGTGACGCGAGTATTTCTGATGAGATGACTGTGAGCGTGCTGACAAGCCGGTGAGTTCTGCTCAGCAGTGATTTAGGGGCTGGTCCGTACAATGGAAACTTCTGCCATTGATGGAACGACGAGAACATAGATGGTTGTCGACCTTGGTGGGAATCGGTTGAGGTATATATCGAGCCTCAAAGGGGATTTTGGCGTAGTGATATACTTGGAAGGCGGTTAATGATGGGATTTCAATCCAGTTTATCAAAGACTTGTCAGCCTCTCAACAGGACAACAAGCATCAATTTTTACTTGTCTCGCTATCTATCCATCTATCTTCCTTTCTTTCCACCTCCACCCCTTCCCTTGCCTTTCCCACCACCACCGCCTCCTTTGCCCCGCCTCCTCCACCCCCACCACTCCCACCACCCAAAGCACCGCCCATCCCACCACTCTGAACGATCCTGCAACCCTTGACAGGCAAGGCGCCGACGATTTCCTCAACCCTCCACTCCTTCAAGAGGTCCATCTCGCGCCTCCAGACCTTGTCCTTTTCGCGGTTCTGCTCGTCCACGACCTTGGGGCCCTTGGTCGCGAGAGAGGTCCAGAAGCCCAGGATCTCGCGCACCACTTTGCCCTTCTTGACGTTGCCGGGTTGCAGCTTGATCTTGTATTTCTGGCGGGTCAGGGCGGTCCACGGCGCCACGACGGGGATGGCGGCGACGAGCTCGTCGCCGGGTTCCGGCATGGGCACAAGCCGGTCGATGTCTAGCAGTTCGCGCCGCTCCTGTTCCACCTGCTCCTTGCTCAGTTCGTCGTCGTGATCGTCGAGGAGGTCGGCAGCCGCTCCTCCACAATTGGCACCGGCCGCCGCCTTTTCGAGCCTTTCTCGACGTAAGCGTTCCTTCTCCGCCGCCTTTGCGTGTTGTGCTCTTCTTCGTTCTTTATCTGCCAGGGCCTTGGCTTCACGGGCAGCTTTTTCTGCTTCTACAGCTTCCTTGCGTTCTTGGGCGCGGTTGGACCCGAGGAGTTGCATGGCCAGAGCTCGGTCTTCCTCGTCTTGGTCGGCATACTTCTTTTGGGCGCGTTTCAGCTTCGAGCGCTTTCCGCGGGCGAGTTGCGCAGGTTTGGACTTCGCCGTGGCTTGTGACGAGGGCCCCGGCGTGGACGTCCGTGTAGATGGCTGTGTCGCGGGAGTGTCCTCCGACTCTTCTCCCTCTGAAGCTTCGTCTGACGGTGGCTCTTTCGTCTCGTCTTCGATCCCAATCGAGGGCTCTTCGAGACTGCTCCCCTTGGTGTCGGGATGGGACTGAGCAGCATTAACCTGTAAGGGGTTCGACCTCTCTTCCTCAGCCTCCGAACCATCCGTAGAGTCGCGGTTATCATCATTGCCTTCGACATGACGTGATTGTTCACGGTCCTCATCCAAGGCGACTCCGCGGTCGTCCTCCTCCTCTTCATCCACCGCAGCGTCAGCAGCATCTTCGACATCGGGTATCGCTTGGCTTTGATCTGGGCCAGTATCGTCCGAAGTGTATTGTTCCTCGATAGATACCCCACTCATATCGTTGGCCAGCGCTTCAGCCTCTCCCGGAAACAGGCTCTCCGTTCTTTCCACCCGGTGCTTGCCATGGTTGACCCTGCTCTGCTCGCTGATCAGCCACAGGACCCCAAACCCAAGGATCAACTGACTCGGCGGCAACAGATTCTTGTGTCCTCGGATGACGAATCCACCAGTAGCGAGATACTCGCCATTTGGAGCCGTCTTGCTAACTTGGTCCGCGTTGACCCACCAAGCTCCCATCACCGCCTTCGAGTCCCAGGCACTGCTCGTGCAGACAGTCAACGTACCAGCTTGGGAAAGCGTCGAGGGCGGAATCGGTGCATCGGGCATATGCGGATTGTTTTTCACAATCACACTCGATGCTCCTTGCAAGTCGGCGTGCACGTAGACATCGCCCTTCTTCAGGTAGCGCCGGTAAAGAAGCTCGTTCTGTTGCGCATCCTTGCCTCCAATCACAAGATAACCGTCACTGGAGATAAAGTACAGGAATTTCTCGAACCAGAACTGTTTTCTTGCCGGCCTCAAGACCGCCTTCTCCTGCTTTAACCCTTTCTTGAGATCTGCGTCAATCTTCTGCTCAGCTGATTTGAGGGCCTTCACGGATGCCTCCACAGTTTTCTTCTCTTTGACCGCTGCTGACTTTTTCTGGTCGTAATATTGGCGTGCATTTGCCCAAGGTGATAGTGCAAGATCAATATCAATTGCGAGCCGTTTATCTGCGGTGGGTGCAGCTTTACCCCGAGTCTCCTCGACTTCCTCGTCAGACTCAGCTTCCTCGTCGGTCTCATCTTCTTCGTCACTCTCGTAGCCTTCATCAAAGGTGGGTTCGTCAAGGAGGAGAGTCACTGTATTCTCCTCCAGCTTGAGGGGAAGTTTGACCATTTGAGCCACAACATTACCTCGCTTCTGCTCGTTTTCGATGAGCTTCCCAATATCTACCCAGTCCATGCCTTGCGCGACCAGGCCGTTGACCGCAGCACAGGCTTCCTCCACGCGGTGGGTGTTCGCCTCGATTGCTTGGGCCTTGCGGACGTGCAATTCCTGCACCTGTTGAAGGCCTGCCAACCTTTTTTCATGCTCATCTTTTGCAACCTGCAATTTCCGTTTCGCGATTTCTTCTCGCTCCGTCAACCGTGACTCCAGCTTCTGAGATTCGATGGACGAATAGAACTCGTCAACCGTACGATTAAAACCGTCGAACTCGAGAATGTGAACGCCGGGCTTGTTCTGAAACTGACTTGGCCGAAATGGATGGAAATCGTCATAAACAATCGACTCCCTGGCGGGTTCCTGCGCACTTGAAGACTCCGTCTCGCCTGAGGAAGGAGTTTTCTGTTTCGCAATAATGTAACCCTTCGATTGCCCGGAACCTAACGACTTGAAAACTTGATCTGCAACTTCCAATGCAGATATGACCGATCGTAGAGACTCCTGGTCTCCCAAAACGTCCTCCGCCTTCAATGTCGCGTTGACGCCGGCTTCTCTAAATGCATGCTCAATCAAGTGCTGAGGAAACTCGGGAAAGCCGATACTCAGAGGCTTTACTAAATCATCGATTCCCTTTGCTCGTTTCGCTTTCTTGCCGCCCACCTCTTTTGCAGCTTTCGCGCGTTCCACCGCCTTCTGAAGAACCTCCCTGACTCTTTCTTCTGTTATAGGAGGTACGCCATGGAAATTCTGTTTTGGCTCGAGGGTGTACTTTCCACCCAATTTAATGTCCACATCTGCATCTCCTTCATTGACTTGCCGCTGCAGAGCGAGCACATTGAGGTCCGCATCTGTAACGATGATGTTCCCCGCAGCAAAGAATTCCAAGAACAAACGATATAGTCCGTCGCTGAAGGTGATTTGTATAACTCGGTCGGTGCCTACCTGGGCAACGCCAGTGACACGTTTGCTCTTGAGATAGTGGCGCAATCTGCTAACGAAGGCGGACGGCTGAGTCGCAGCGGTCCGGGAGAAAGAGGTCAAGTGGCAGCGAAAGCCGTTGTCGAGGAGAAGTTGTTCCCGTTTTCCGGGTTTGGCGAATTTGAACAGGAAAATTCGACTGGAAAGATCGTAGACATTCGACAAACGGAGGCCGGTGAGGGAAGTTGATAGTTCATTCGCAATGACCTACAATGCCACAACGCAACGGAGTCAGTTGTTGCTTGCAGGCGCATGCGTATGCGGGGCACGGGAGAAACACAGACCTTGACGTCGAGGGATGAAAAGCGCTGTTTCATGATGAAACCTCATTTGAAGTTTAAGCGGAAATATAGAGAAGGACAACAGGCAAGACAGAGATGCTCAACACAAGGCACGACTAGCACCGGGGGAAATTGACGTGGTGACTCTTTGATTGGAAATATTTCAGCGTGCAAATGACGTCGATTTGGTAATTTCATTGTAACAAGGCTGTGGCCTCCCGACAAGGCTGCAATTCCCCCCCAAAAGGTCTTCAAAACGACCAACAAGCCCCAGGTCTTGACTTTTAATGGTCATTATGCTCATGGTCCTCTTTTCCGCTCCCTAACGCCATCCAGTAACATCCTCGTTGTCCATCTCGCATGTAGGCTATGACAGTACCTTTCAGACGATCGCCTCCGTTTCCGCCGTCCACGAAAATCACAAGTTTCTTCGTACGAACTCCATGCCCTGCTTCTTTCCAAACTCCCAGAGGTTCTGTATCCCTTGTTCACTCAGATCAATGTTCTTCATATTTGGCGCATCCTGTGCAGGGGCCTTTGACACTCTGGATGCCACCATCACCGGGTCCGTTTCCAAAACTATGCCATCGTCGACAATTTCGTCAATGGCCAGAGTGACCAGATCGTAGTTCTCCATGATTGTGCGCTTGTCTGTCGAGTTCCTATAGTCACCCTTGTCAGTTGCTGTCAGCGAGAAGAAGTGGGGGCGATAGACAGACTTTAACAGTATGCTCAACGTATCTCTCAGCGCCAACACAACATTATACAACAGAATCTCATTCTCCTCTGGGCCGCCCACCACGTAGAGCATAACGTCGCTCTCCATCTTGAACACCACGACTTTGTTATCGTAGAGGATAACATCTGAGGTCTGCTTTGATGTCTTCTCCAACAGTCCCTTTTCAAAGGCTTTCTGTTCCTTAAGGTGTGGGTATGGCTGCGATTGCGGAGGGTGCTGTGGCTGAGCTGAGGCATGTGGAGGATTGTAGTATTTGGCAAACAGCCTGGAGGAGTCGGGTGATGAGTCGGTGGATAATATGAGGATCGCGACAACGCTATGAAGGGACATGCTGGGAGCCATGGCGGATGAGAGTCCTCTTCCGAGGATTGACGAATGTCTGTCTGCCTTGAGAAATGGAGTGTTTTGGCAGCAACGTCGAGAAACAGTTTGTAGGTATGTCTGTCCAAATTAATTGACCTGGCCTCAATTGCGCTGGAGCAGCAAAGACCGAGACTTGGAGAGCCATTGCGGCTCACGTGTCAAAGGTCGACCGTATAAAATGCACCGGTGAATCATAAGTAAGCGTAGCGCAATATAGTTCAGGCTTTGATCTACTAAGACTTTCATCTGTGCATTCAACAAAGGTCAAGGTCTACAGAACAAAAAGAGGACGTCGCCCGGTCCAGCAGCCATACACCGTTACTATGGGCAAATCCTCCAAGGACAAGAGAGATGCGTACTACCGTCTGGCCAAGGAACAAAATTGGCGTGCACGCTCTGCCTTCAAACTCATCCAAATTGACGAGCAATTCGACCTGTTTTCATACAACGAACCCGAGAAATGCACAAGGGTGGTCGATCTATGTGCTGCTCCGGGCTCATGGAGCCAAGTTCTCTCGCGTGTCTTGATCAAAGGTGAGAGCTTTGGACGGCGGGCTTGGGTTGAGAAGATGGAACGATTCCAGCGTGCAAAACCCCAGGAGGACAGCGAGCACATATCTGCCCTGGAAGCCAACCCACCAAGTGGCGAGTTAAAGCCTCGAGCAAACGTCAAGATCGTCGCTATAGACCTTCAGCCCATGGCTCCACTCGAAGGCGTCACCCAACTCAAGGCCGACATCACTCACCCGTCGACCGTCCCCCTGCTGCTTCGGGCGATCGATCCAGACTTCTCCCCGCAGAATACAACCCATCTGATCGATCTTGTGATAAGTGACGGTGCCCCCGATGTCACTGGCCTCCACTCCCTCGACATCTACGTCCAGTCTCAACTGCTCTACTCGGCACTCACGCTTGCCACCAAAGTGCTGCGTCCCGGGGGGAAATTTGTGGCCAAGATTTTCAGAGGGCGAGACGTTGATCTCATTTATGCACAGCTAAGGATTTTGTTCGAGAAGGTGAGTGTTGCGAAACCGAGGGCGAGCAGAGCGAGTAGTATCGAGGCCTTTGTGGTCTGTGAAGGCTATAAACCCGTAATGGTGAGACGAAAGGACGGCTCAGAAGTGCTGTGGACACCAGAGATTGAGGTCGAGGACGGAATGCGAGATCTGGAGCCTGGATCCGCAGCAGCTCCTCTGTCAGCGACACAAGTACAACAGCAAGAGCAAGGTTCGTCGGATTCTGCTTTAGGGGCAACAGGCCACACCAACAATCACCCAGCGCCAGAAACACAAACCCGTGACCTTCGGCCCGATGGTATTGTCGAACTCCGACTGGCATCTATCGAAAACGCCGATCCGCGGAGGTACATTGCCCCATTCCTGGCCTGCGGTGATCTCTCAGCCTGGGACAGCGATGCGACCTACAAGCTGCCGGAGGGCCATGTATCGCTAGACCCGGTCCAGCCTCCAACGGCACCTCCTTACAAGTTGGCGATTGAAAAGCGGAGGATCGAAGGAGGAATGTACGGCAAGACCAAACACAAATGAAAAAAAAGGCCACAAATCGACAGATAAAGATCACCCCTGTATATCAATCAGATAGCTCTGATCAACGCATGCGCTATACTGGCTGACTTAACGACATCCGGCCAACGCTACGACCATGGCTACGATACTCTGGATCAACAATTTTGCGTCTGTTGGTGGTCGAACACACGTATATATATCTGGTGGACTGGCTCTGCTGGACTGGAACTGTGGAGACACCGAAACATTTCCGAATGCGCAAACCAACCATCAAAATCATAAAGCCAGCAAAGAACACCTTTGCCAGATCAGGTACGATCCCAGCCACGCGGATGGACTGGGTCAAAGATCCCTTCAAGGGAGATCGCAAGACTGCTGTCGCAACCACTCTGCATGACACCACGAATCTAGGATTCAGACATCAAGGAACAGCCCGCTGCAGGTAGTCAATGGAAAGAAGACGCCAGATTGCTACCAAAAATCTACTTTTCATTTGCCGTATCAGAGTCTTCTCATGGTCGTCGTCAAACTGGCCCATCCATAAAAATCAGATTGAAGGTCATCCAGAAGACGGCACTCCCCAAAAAGATCCATAATTCTGTCTTGATCCAGACGAATACATCCCAAAAATACCAATCCACAATATTTACGGAGAAAAGCTTCGCTTGCTCAAACGTGTCACAAGAAAAGGAGCCAATCCCGTCAGTATCTCTTCCCGACCATCGGCAGACGCACGTCCATCATCGGCCCTGAGCTCTCTGATAAAACACGATATATGCTTCCCCGTTTTGAAGTCTATCCCGGGGGTTCAGTTTCATTGGATCCAAGTCCACATGCCTCTCGTCATCGAACTTCCTCCACACGCCCCGGCCCTGGTCCTTCACAATAGAGATATAATGCCCACCATCACCACTATTCCCCAGGTGTCTCAGAACCCCGTATGCATCGTATGTATACGGTGGTGTCGTGGCAAGCTCCATATTCATTCGCCCATCTTGATCCGGCAACGCGGGTGGTCGCGGGATCACAAAATCATCCATACTTAGATTGTGCAATGGGAATTCGATGGGCGTGTGGATTTTCTTGGCCTTTTCGTGCTTTGAAGCGGCGAATCGCTTGAAATGTATCACCAGGAACTGTGGCAGGCGAGTCAGGATGATTTGCTTGGTGGCTTCACGCTCGCACTTGCAATATGGACATCGCCAAAGCTCCGACAGTTTTTCCTCCCGGCAGTATGAAGCAAGACAATCGTAGATATGGGCTGCGCGGTCTCGAGGAATTTCCACGCTGATGCTGTAGAATGCTTCGTATGTGGTCGACGTGCGCTTGCAAGTGAGACAACGCAGGCGTGAGGCATGTTGGCCGGCGAATAACGAAGACATATAACTGTGGTCTCTATGCTCGTAGCGTTTCCACTCGATTGGGCTGGCTCGTGCAATTTCCATCCGCTCTCTCTGCATTTCCTCTGCAGTCGTCAATGGCCGAAGAGGTGTTCGTTCCCAGTTGACATTCAAGTCCTCGTGAAGGCAATCGACAAGGAAGTCGAAGAATTCCTTCGCATCTTGCTGTCGGTCTATTACCCATTCTCGATTCATGCGGCCACAAAAGTTTCGAAATGTTGACGGTTTGATCACTTCAGTATCTCCCTGCCAGACGGCTTGGATCAAGTTGGCATAGAGCTTAGGCATGATGCCATTACTGCCCTTCCAGTTGCGCTGTACATACCCCTCGTAGAGTCGATCGTTGAAGAAGTTCGACAAGGGAATAGTCGCAGATAGACACTGTAGGGTTGAATTCATGTAACAAGTGACGCCGAAGTTTGTGAGACCAGTCTTGGGCAACCGTCTGCGCAGGGATGTTACTGTTGAGTACAGAGGCGGCCGAGTTGCGGACGTCACTCGAGCCAGCGCTGGTTGGGGCGCATTGATATCAGCATGGCCTGAATAGCTCGGTCTGGGTATTGCAGGTGCGGGCCTTGCGGGCACTTGAGGAACGGCAGGTGGTGCAATTTGAGGGACGAATGCAGCGTGATGAGACGGAACAGGTCGTCGAGCCGGCATAACCATGGATTCCTGCTGTTGAATTGAAGGAAACCGGCGCAAGAATGTCTCGTAATCGGGTATGAATGGCGACGGAGGCTCAGGCTCTTCCTCTACCACCGAATACTCCTCATCGCTTGCGGTGTCATGCTTCTCGACCGGAGTCACTTCTTCCTGAAGTGCCTGCTGACGCCATGCTTCTTGCTCGCTCTCATCCAGAAATTTGTGGTCACGGAGACGCCTATTTCGAACTTCATAGCGAGAATTGGCCGAAACCATTCGTTGTCGTGCGATAGGCCGACCAGGGCCGACGGGTCTTTGCCGCGTAATACCCAGCGTTGCAGCAGTCCTTGACCGGGCAAGTGAATGAATTCCCATACGATCCACCCACGCATCAAGACCACCAGCCAGTAAGGCAGGTGGTCGACCATCTTTGAGAGGCTTCGTGTCATTGAATTCGTACAATGTATCATATAGTGCTCTCAATGCCGGGGCTTTGGTCATAATTGGTGGACCCTTGAGGTAGGAAACGTCGCTCGTGTACTGATCATAATAAACGACTAGGTCGAATTCATCTCTGCGAGAGAAATGTGACTGTTCGTTATCCGGCGCCAGCACCAGTCGGTCCTCAAGTTCCTCTGCTGAGACCCCTTCTTTTAAAGAGATCGGCTCTATACATATGACCGACGCTGACATGATGTGTCCTTCGTCGAACAAAGATCTCTCTCTGATGTCTATCAGTAACACGTTGTACCTCTTCATGTAGTCCTGCAGGGTGGCAGCATCGATTGATGTCTGATGAGGGAGATCACTCGAGCTATTCTTCGGGATGATGGCGGAATTGACTCCATTCGGAGTGGTCGGTCGATAAGGGGCAGAGAGCTCGTCACGAGTCCTCTGCAATTGTAATGAAGCGGTGGATGAATTCTGCGATTGATTGTAGTAAGTCTGCCTCCTCTCCGTGGGTGGACGGCCAACTTCTGCCGAAAGCCTATGGTTGTTTGCATGGAAATTGGCGGATGTAGTGTTGATCGGGCTGTATGTAGGACTGGGAGGCTTCGGCAAAGCCATAGAGGTCTCAATTGGCACCTTTGGCGGGGCAGCTGGTACCTTTGGTGGCACTATAGGTCCGTTACTGAAAGCAGGAATCGATCGAGGAGCAACGGATCGCGAAATAGAGGTATCATTGGGATATGATTGTGAGTTGTATCCTGCTCCCTGCTGAAAATCTCCCGCTTTGGGCATAAACAGTAAGGTCGAGTGTTCCGTAGCATTTCCTGGACCTCTAAGCTTCGCGAATCTTTGAGTGAGGTCGTTGGCCGCTTCAGTCAAAGGTCGACCTTGTAGACTCTCGGGCTTTGGTTTGCTTGACGGACGTGCTCGAGGGATTCGAAGCGAGTCAGGCAAGTCTGCGGATGAATTTGGCGAGGTCGAACTTGGAGGGACTTCATTGCTGTCGGAAGAGGTAGGTCGGCCCGGGATCAGATTCTGAGGGATACCGAACCCTGTTGAGTAGACGGGTTTTCTGGACATGGCACGAGACTGTGGTTGGGTTCCGTGGCGGGCATTGTTATCCTCGATTAGAGCCTTGATCTGGGTCATCTGTGACTCCATGTCCACCAGTTTCTGAAGAGCAACCTTGTACTTCGCCCGCCACTGTGGGTTGTTATCCCAGAACCCGAAATCCTTGTGTTTTGGAATGTGATTAACTGCGATTTCGTATGCCCGCATATAACTCTTGTAAGCCAGGTCGTGGCGGCCAAATTCGACAGAGCTTTTGGCCACAGTGGTAGAACTCTCGACTTCGTGCAGGTATTGAGGAAGCGAGGCGTCTACTTGGACAGAAGAGGTGGCATCTTGAATAATGTCCTTGAGGTGAGGGAAGACTTTTCCTGCGCCCGGGCCTGGGCGCGGTGTCAAGTCTCGAGGGTCGGTCCAACTGCTTCGAGCGCTGGCTGAGGTGGAAGCCGTGTGTGAGGATACGGAGGACGAGGATGCATACGCCGCCATGGCGATGTGAGTGTCGCTCCTACCGCAGGATCATTGCGCGAGAGACTGGTAGAAAGAACCTCCCCGCTGAGTGGCAGATTTCTAAAATTACCTCTTTGGTCTCGGGCGTTTATTTAATAATCGAGCAGGGCTGATGTGGAGTCAGGTTCAGTTCGAAGAGGGGCGCTGGGAATTCTGGAGGCGTCGATAGGGGAGTGACATGAGTTGAGACGAGGGTGACAAGGCGATTTAACAGTTCAAGATCACTGGGAGTGTTGTGTAGCTTGGGGAACGGAGATCTGAAGGACACGCATGACGGCTAGGAAGTGCCTGGAGCCGCAGGCCGAGAGCGAGATAGATGGAGCAACGCTGGTCTCCGAAGTGCCCACTGATGACACAGCGGGCGAGGCTGAGGCTGGTGAGTGTCTGTAACTTGACGGTTGCTAATCGATTAGCTGATGGAGTGCATGAAGTCAGTCTTATTACTGGTGGCCTCTCAGTGGCTGGTGGTTGCGCATGTGGCGGATGGTCCAGGCGTTTATCCAGAACTTCCCCAGATGGTCGCTGCGTTCGACCATTAATTCATCTCAGCTACAGAGTACCTCACACCTTTGAATTTACACCTCTCGAACACCTTGCAGGCGGTCTCGTTGATTAGTCTGCTGCGCACCAATCCATTGGTTTCCTCCCACAGCGTCATTATAAGCCGACAGACAAGCCCTCTCTCCATCCATCCCAGTCCGAATATCGCTGCCTTGTATTTGTCCATCCCGCACAATGGCCGGGTGGTTCTCGTCAGGCACTTCGGTGCTCGATGAGCAGATCGAAAAGGCTACCTCATCTAGTTTGGAGGACATCGCAACTTCGCTCGAGATTACGGACCTCATCCGATCAAAGACAGTGCAGCCCAAAGAGGCCATGCGGTCGCTGAAGAGGCGGATAGGCAACAAGAATCCCAATATCCAGCTCTCGGCCCTCAAGCTCACAGACACCTGCGTCAAGAATGGTGGCTCCCACTTCCTCACGGAGATTGCCTCCCGTGAGTTTATGGACAATCTTGTCTCACTACTCAAGGCCTACGGGCCCGCGGCGGTGAACGAAGAAGTCAAACAGAAGATCTTGGAGCTGATCCAGAGCTGGGCCAGTGCTGCTCAGGGGAGATATGATCTGTCATATATCAACCTGATATACCAGAGCCTGCAAACAGAAGGATTTAAATTCCCGCCCAAGATTGAGATATCTAGCAGCATGCTCGACAGCAGTGCCCCGCCCGAGTGGACCGACAGCGATGTCTGCATGCGATGCAGAACGTCATTCACTCTGACGAATAGAAAACACCACTGCCGCAACTGTGGTAATGTATTCGATCAACAGTGCTCGTCAAAGTCCATTCCTCTGCCACATCTGGGCATTATGCAGCCAGTGCGGGTCGACGACGGCTGTTACGACAAGTTGACCAAAAAGTCGGGCGGCGGCTCCGATCGACGAGTGTCCTTCGCACCCAAACCGAGTTCGATGCAACCTCGAAGCGCCCGAGTCGAAAACAGCAGCAGCTTTGATGAGGACTTGAAAAGAGCGCTGGAGATGAGTCTGGAAGAGGCCAAGGGAATTTCGAGCTCGGGATTTGTTCCCCAGGCACAGTCAAAGCAAGAGCCGGCAAAGACAAATGGTGTCTCAAACGAGGAAGAAGACGACCCGGATTTGAAAGCTGCCATAGCCCTGTCTTTAAAGGAAGCTGAAGAACAGGCCAGGAAGCATGCTGCTTCGCTCAAGAAAACCACCACCGACGGAGCAACCTCCGCTCAGCCCTTTGTCATGCCAAAGAACGATTATGAGTTGTCTGTGATGGAAGCAGAGAACATTAACTTGTTTGCCACATTGGTCGACCGCTTGCAGCACCAGCCACCGGGTACCATTCTCCGTGAGCCACAGATTCAGGAACTATACGAAAGCATTGGGAAGCTTCGGCCAAAGCTGGCGCGAACTCTGGGCGAAACAATGTCCAAAAACGATACGCTCCTCGATCTGCATGCAAAGCTATCTACAGTAGTGCGGTACTACGACCGAATGCTGGAAGAGCGGTTGAACAACACTTATAATCAGAGAAACCCGGGATATGCGGCTTATGGAATGCCCTCCCCTGCAGCGCCTCAGGGTATGTATCCCTCGATATCATCAGGACCACCGCCATCGATGAGTGCTGGACCCGGTGGAGCGGAGAATTACTATTTCAACAATGCACCAGTGGAGACTTATGCTCCTCCTACTCAACCAACGCCCCTGCCTCAGCCTCAACGTTCATATTCATATTCGAGTCAGAAACAGGATGCTGCTGGCTCGCCGTATCAGTATCCAAGTCAGCTGCCAGCACAACCGCATCAACCTATGCCGCAACCAGGACAATTCAATCAGCCACCTTCGCCGCAGATGTACCAACATCAACCCGCGGTACAGCCACCGTACCCATCTCAGTCCTCTCAACCTCCATCGATGTATCCACAGATGCCACCCCCGGATCCACAACAGGCTCCGACGCCTTACACTCAGATGCCGCAGCTGCCACCTGAGGCTCCCACTCCTCAACCCCAAACTCAATATCCTCCACCCCCGTCTCAACAAGCGACACAACAGCCCGATCAAAGACAACCGCCTCCGGAGCAGACACAGGCCCCAGCACAAGTCTACTCACAGCAGCCACCACCACCACAGCAGCAGCAGCAGCAGCAATTTACTCAACCATACCAGCAGCCCCAACCGCCCTTCGCGCAACAACCACAACCACCAATGTCCACGGGTGGCTCGTATGGCACACCCTATCCCACATATACGCAGGATCAATTTCCTTCTGCGCCACAACATATGCCGGCTGCATACAACCAGCCTGCCGCACATCCTACCCAGCAACAGCCCGTTGCTGTGGAGGAAACCTTGATTGAGCTTTGAAGTCATTGGTTCTGCCTGGTTCGATGTGAAATTATCGTGGATGGCATACCCTACTGCTATGGAAGAGGCGGGCGCGGTCGATAACGACGAGGCAGAGAAATCCACTGGCGACAGCACTGGGAATGTTGGGCCAATGAGAGCAGTCTCGTTCCACTCATGCATGTTATGGCTGAATAGATCATGGCTAATATTTCGGTCTGTGCTCCCATTTATTCGGTCGTTTCCTTGTATCTTTCCTTCAAGAATGAATCCAGTCTCGTTCTCTTTGCAACCTCGCTGGATGTCGAACCGCCTTTACTAGCGTTTCCTTTTGTATGTAGATACCCAGACAGTTGCCATTCGTCTTTTCTCCTTGCTACTGAAAGTAGATCAATATGACATATCTACAGCCATAATAGTGCTCGAAATGGTTGTTGAAAACGAAAAAGAACCCCAGTAGTCTCTTTCTTTGCATGTCATGACGTGAGATTAATGCATGTACTGAACACATGTATTGAATGCATGCGTGCATGCTACCCTTTTGAGCACTGAAGGCACAAGGTACATAAAGTACTACATGTATATCCAACGAGCTAAAGTACCACCCTGTCGAGGACCACGCCATTTCATTTCGCCCGGTCGAACGGCGACCAGATCATATGTGTGCACAGGCAGCTGTAGCACAGTATTCCAGCACCCAGTTCGCTGAAATGCGTGTGTCTGCGAAGGATAGGAGAGACGAAGCCTAGACCTTGACCTATGCGTGGTCTGAGCCGGAGGGGGGACCAAGTATTGGGCGGCTGTGTGCGTTGACACGGGTTCTAGTGGGTGGAATAGCTCTGACATGCATGCTCCGTTCGGTGTGACGCAGGATACATCAAATAGAAGATGGGCTTGTGCATTGCAGAAATACCTACACCTGGTCGAGTATGTCGAGTCCACGAAACGTTGTGTTGCATTGGAGGGGATCAAACCAGGTCGATCAGGCAGACTCCAACTAGACTTCAATCCACCCTCTCAGCCGCTGCCTTCTCGATCCTGTCAATCACCGCGTCTTCGAGGTCCCGGCGCGTATGGCTGGGTTCTTGTCCGCCATTCGTTCCTTGACTATGCGTTGTAGGGCCGGGCTGGTTGAATGCTTCCCATGGGACAGATGAAGGCGATGGAAAGGGCGCAGTTCGCTGTACAGTCTCTGCGAAGATGAATTTGCAGTCCAACTCGTCGAACAGGCGCAAAACGCCGAAGAGCGAGTGTGCCAGCGTGGAAATGTCCGGCCCAAGGTGAACGTTGTACAAAGTGACAGGGCTGTTCTTCGCAGTGATTGTCGCAACTGAGGTGATTGGTGCATAGACAGAGTTTGAAAGTGCTTCGGGATGGGCGCTGGTGGATGGGGGCATTGTAGAAATCGTTTTGACTGGCAGTCCAGCAAAGGATGGCCAGTGGCATGATATGATTCCACCCCTGATTTCCTGAGGCCCCTCCTGTCCATCCACACCAGGACGCGATCGGCAGTTGCCAATCAACTCATCCAGCTTGTCTGCCACACGACCATTTCGTACAGCATTTTCAGAAAACAGAATCAATCGTCCCATCGGCGCGTAGTGTCTGTACTTCATACCTGGAGCGCGAGGTGCACCGTTCACGTCGTCTTCGTAAGTGACAAATCCATCGATGTGGGTCACACTTGTGCTTCCTGAAGACGCGGACACGCCCAGGGAGGATGGCGTCGACGCGGTCGTGGTGGCGGTAGAGTCATCCTTTCTGGGCTCATCCGACGGTCCTGTAGATTGCCTCTTGTATCCGATCGCCGTCCTCGCCCACTTATTGCCCATTTCGACCCCAAGGCTTCTCAATTCCTCCATACTCACACCTCCTGGTCTCAAGATCAGTGGCGGATCATGCAACCCATCCACGACTGTGCTCTCTACACCGACCTCACAACCCCCACCATCTAATACGAAATTGATCTTTCCGTTCAAATCGTCCAAAACATGTTGTGCTGTCGTTGGGCTTGCCTTCCCAGACGAGTTCGCACTCGGCCCCGCGATGGGTCTGCCGGTTGCCGCGATGAAGAAGCGAGCGTATCTTGACGATGGAATGCGAAATCCGATCGTCGACTGGAAGGGATGCACGTTTCTTGCAAAGATTCCCGACGACGGCACCGGGAGGAGGATCGTCAGAGGGCCCGGCCAAAACCTCTCTGCTACTGGCAAGTAAATCTCCGGCAATGGCTGTCCGGTCACCTGTTCCAGATGCTTGATACTAGAGACATGGACGATGAGCGGGTTATCGCTGGGCCGACCTTTTGCGGCAAAAATGCCCGAGACAGCAGGCTCGTTTGTTGCGTCCGCGCCGAGACCGTAAACGGTTTCCGTGGGGAAAGCCACTGGAGGGGCGATACCGTGTCGGATGGATTCGACGGCATCCCGGAGCAACCTCGCGTTATTGGCTTCGCTGCGTGGCGGCGACAGAATGTACTTGAGATAGATGGCGCGGTACTCTTCATCCGTCGCATCTTCGGGGAGGTCGAGGTCGCAGAGGTCGACGATCCGTGTGCAGCAATGTGTGTAGGGCATAGCGGCCAGGTGGGAGCGATTATTGATAATACTCCTCATTGTGGCGCTCGATGTCGTCCTGCAAAGGGTGGAAAATTGTTTCAATGGAGAATTGGAGCGGAGAAGCGGTCGTAGAAGAAGTCTCATCAACATGTATCAGCCAGGCCGCCACCAATATGAGCTGCTCTGACACCGACAGGAGCGTGAATTCAGGACCAGCGGAAAATCGACAAGGCTCAGCATATTGAATGAACCACTCTATGCGATGGCTCCAGAGCTGTGTGTCAGGGTCCGCTGTACAATCGAGCAAGTCAGATCATCCGAGACATATTGCATACAGTGATCAAAGATATATGAAAAGACATGGGATTTGCATGAAGACAGGGAAAAATGAGAAATGACAATTGAGATGGAAAAAAAAAGTCCCAGGCAGATTATCGGAGTAACGTCGGGCCGGGATTTCATATCACGTGCATATGCAGCCTTGCGTGTGAGGCTTCGACGCAGCCTTGTCCCCTTGTTCTATGGTAGCCTTGTAGCTTTGGAGCACTATGCTATGGTTCTCTTGTCTATGTCAGCTCTCATTGCGCTGCTCCACACCCATAGGATGAGACACAGCTTTGAAGTTCCAGCTAGTTTCCTATGGGTCCTCCCATGGATCCGTCCACTCGCCCTCAGACGGTTACATTGCTCTTCGCCATCAATTCCGCCACCAAGTTCCAGTATTTCACACGGCTCCGCTCCCTGAGGCTCTTACCAAAGAATATCATGACCAGAAAGACTGAAGAGGCCGCCATTCCAATGAAGGCAGCGGAGATGAAGCAATTCTGCAGACCGAGATTGTCTAGCCAAGGAGTGATTCCGTAACCAATGGCAAAAGACATGGTGTTGCGAACCAGGATCACTGTCGTCATCGCATCCGCGCTAATTTCGTGGTATGTGTCAATAAGATAGTTGACGCTGAGAGTGATTCCGAAGCAGCTCGAAGCAGCCAAAGAACCCATAGCAAAGACCAACCCAAACCAATGGACGTGATGCGCGGCGCCTACACCCCAGAGAATGAGGGATGCAGGAACAATAATGATGCACGCTGCAAAAGGCCAAAGACGATGTTCCGGCTCCATGATGCCTTTGTTGCGACGTGCGAGTCTGATAGTGAGCCAATCGCTGAAGCGGCCAGTAAAGAAGCATCCGACCACGACACCTATCAATGTGCTGACGTATGAAAGCCCGACCATGGAGGCTTTGAAATTGTAGGGTGGACCTCCCAAAATGATGCTTGCCGTTGCGTTCAGGACATTGAACCAGATCTGTCAAGTTGCGATGTCAGGATAATACTTCCATTTCGGCTCACAAAGAGGGCGATAGTCCCACTCACAAGATAACTGCCATAGCTAAACCCAGCATAGAAGATGACAGGCCAGCTCAAGTAACCCAACGATCGCAAGGCTCTTGTCCAAATTTGTTCCCCAGGCGATGTTTGCCACAGTGACAGTTTTTGTAAGTATGTCTTGTTGCTGCCATAAACCACGGTGCCGCTCTCAACGTTGTCAGAAGCCTCGTTGACAACATCCGGTGTCTTTTCCATCGCCTTCTCGTCTTTCGTGGCAGAGATGGGTGTCTGGCTGCCGCTGGATGTCTCGACAACGCCCACTGTAGATCGCGTATAGTTCGTCTCCTCCATGAAGAAGAAGCAAATGACCAGAGCCACGCCAAGGAAAATGGCTGGCCAGTAGAAAACCCATTTCCAACCCTGGTCGTCAGCGATGAATCCACAGATCACGGGCGCAAAATAGTTGCTCCCAGCCAGGAAGAACGCATAGATGCCCATATACGTTCCTCTCTGGTGCTGAAAGTATACATCCGTCACAGAGACTTCAGGAAGGCTCTCTATGGGCGCAGCCATGAAACCTCCGACTATATTCTTCGCAATCCATACACCATTGCCGCGGGCGTATGGGCCCCACAATGTACAAGCGATTGTCCCGCAGATGGAGAGAAGGTAGGTCAGACGCTTGCCGTATCGCAAGGCGAAGGGTTGCCAGAAGAGCAAACCCCAGCCAGCAAGAAGAAACAGATATCCTGTGCCTTGGTTCAGAGTGCTGATGGAGACCCCAGATGCCTCAGAAAGAGGAACAAGCACCGAATATACCACAGAGTTGGCAATGCCAACTACCAAGGTGTATCTGCCAGGTGTCAGTGCCTTGTCTTGCGATCGTAACGTGGTATGAGACGTACATGTTGACTGTTATGGTCAACATGAGCTTTCGCTTGGGCGACCAGTTCAGAGGATCGTCAGGATCGTTCGATGGAGTGGGTACCAGAACAATGTCCTTGTCCCCCGATCCAGCATGCCGGGTATGCATGTTATGCTCGATGTCCACGAGGTGGACTGTCCCCGGTATTGTGTCAATTGGCAAATCATAATGTGCCATGTCGCCGAAGGTTGTAGAGGTTCGATGATGAAGGAAAAGAGTGAAAGGATGAGGAGTGAGGAGGCTGTGGGAGTAGAAGAGGAGAATTGAGCTGAAGATCTTCATAGGATCGCCATCACGAGGGTCGCACTGATTTATGTGTCTGTACACCTGCCAGCGCCAATGTCCGCGCTAGAAGATCCAGGCATAGCATTTGCATATACCAGAGATAGACGATTCGACACGCAATCTCCTCGATAAGGGCAGTAGTCTGCGGAATAGACCCAGGCGAATGGTTCCTAAGGTAGAGATGAAATGAGAAAGCCTATGAAGATGCAGTGTAGAAAGATAAGGGAGTTGTGATCTCCGTATGCGCTCGGTTGTCCCACACGGATGTACCACATGGTAGACCGTGAAGCAGGGTTCTGTAATGACGCAGAACCGGAACTGGTGAGGGAATATAGTTGACCACCATTGAGGTTGCGATTTGCACGTCGCCGCCATCGCAGGGACACGCGTGGTGCACATGTTCCCAGACTGGCCGCGATAGGGGAATCATACGCTTGCCTTGGCTGGTTTCCACAATGATTTGGACAGGGAGATGTTGATATCGGATTCTCGGAGACCTCACCTCGCTTTCTAAACGTCCATGGCTTTCGCTCCGTGCGTACTAGGTAGATAAATGCCGGCGGCCAGTGTCAAAGCCAGGGGGGAACTCTCCTGCCTGTCCAGACTTTCTTGCGGAGGCCAGTTTCCGGGGATCGTCCGAATCCTTCTCTGCGCTATCATGTCTGATTGGTGCTGGGTTGGGGCGACAGTTAAGAAGAGGCCGCTCCACCCCAGATCGTAGCCCGAAACAAGCTTCGCGGAATTCCGTGTGATTGACCAGTCTCTATGTGCCGGCGGAAGATATCATCCTGTTCCATCAAAACCCAAAGGACTTGGACGTGCTATCAAAAGGCGCTAAGAGCCTAGACAAGCAAACACTTGATACTGTGAAGGCATGTCCCTTACCTGATCTGACGAACCTCCAAAGTCAGTTAAGTTTCTGTACCTCTGTTCGAGCTTCCCCGCTTTGTGGTTGATTTCGGCCAAACCAGAGGGAGAAGATAGATAAAGCAGTACACCCTTGACTAATGTTGAGTGCTCGACCTTCTGGTAATTATTTCTCGAGTACCTGACCAACGCTGCAATGGGCGAGGATTGGAGTGACTTGGTCGCGAAGAAACGCGCTGAAGGAGCCAAGGCTATACCCGCAGAATGGCGACTGGCTCCCAGCATCCTAGAATCTGTCAGTGCCGACTCTGATATCAGCGTCCTTGAAGTTCCCGCAACTTGTGGCCTTCTCACCCCCAAGGAGCTCGAGATTACCGAAAAGTATGACGCTGTCGATCTGATAGCCAAGATGGCCGCCAAAGAGCTTTCCGCGGTCGAAGTCACTCAAGCCTTCTGCAAAAGAGCTGCTATCGCTCACCAAGTGGTCCGTACCAAGTGTGTATGTTGAGCTGCTCGATTGCTAAGAGACCAAGACGAACTGCTTGACAGAGATTTTCTTCGATAAGGCTCTCGAAAGAGCCAAATATCTCGACGATTATCTGAACAGAGAAGGTAAACCAATGGGGCCATTGCATGGGATGCCAATCAGTCTGAAGGTATGGTCAGAAATCTCCTCAGAGGGTTCATTGCTCAATGTCGTGGTCCATAGGATTCCTTCAACCTGAAGGGTACATATTCGACAATCGGTTACGTCTCGTTCATCAAACGACCAGCAGCGGACTTTAACTCACCTTTGGTTGATATCCTTCTTCAGAATGGCGCCGTGCTTTATGTTAAGACCAACCTACCACAGACATTAATGACGGCTGACTCTGAGAACAACGTCTTTGGCCGGGTGCTGGTAAGAGTCATGGTTTAGCGTTACAAACACTTGGCTTATCTGCTCCAGAATCCTCACAAGCTAAAGCTCACTGCCGGGGGAAGCAGTGGAGGGGAAGGCGCCCTTGTTGGTATACGAGGCTCAATCCTGGGTGTCGGAACAGACATTGGAGGATCGATCCGAATCCCAGCCTTGTGCTGCGGAACATACGGGTTCAAGCCGTCGGTGGATCGCATCCCTTTTGGTGGCCAGACAAATCCGGTGCTCGATGGCTGGACCGGCATAATGCCAGCAGCAGGACCATTGGCCACGACAGCCCGCGACTTGCGACTGTTTCTGGAAACCGTCATCAAGTCGAAGCCGTGGAACTTGGACTATACCGCTCTTGCTATGCCATGGCATCCCGTCGAAGAAAAAAAGACTCTAACGATTGGTGTCATCCTCGAGTGTCCCACATGGCTTGTCCAGCCACCAATCCTGCGAGCATTGAAGACAGCGGCTGACAAGCTGAAGCAAGCTGGTCACAACATCGTAATGCTGGAAAACTTTCCATCGTTCAAAGAAGCCACAGAGCTATCCTGGAGTTTCTTCGACATCGATAACGAGTGTACCGGATTCAAACATATCGAAGCCTCGGGCGAGCCATGGGTTACCTCTGTCAAGGACTTGTACACGCCACCACCTGAAGGCCGCCGTGACAAGGCTCTGGGTGATTTACTGGACATGAATGAGAAGCGTCTCAAGTTCCGAGCTGAATGGTTGAAACTCTTTGTGGCGAACAAGCTGGATGTTATTGTGGCCCCAGGATCGCATAAGACCGCTGTACCTCATGACACCTTCAGGTATCCGCCGTATACAGTCATGTGGAATCTCCTCGCGGTAAGTGAAAAGATCGGCTGTATGCTGGCACAGAATACAGTGCTGATAATCTCGAGCAGTACCCTGCCTGTATTATTCCGTATCTCAAAGCGGACAAGAATTTGGACCTTCCCGATCCCAGAATTCCAGACTGTAGGTGGCCACTGAAGCACATATTGTGAAGTCTTTAGTCTGACAGATGGCAGATCTTCCAGAGGCTGTGCACAACGCGCCTTGTCACATTCAGGCCATTGCTAGATCTGAGCACGACGAAGAGCTAATGTCTGCCGTGGAGCTGATATCCGCCGCCCTAGGCATCTCTTAAAAGTGAGGACTCAGAGTGTAGATGGTGGTGAAGCCGTATTTTGGCTTGCGAGGCACATCCGTATCGAAGGTAGTGTCAAGGTATCAACCTTGGAGAAAGTATCTTTGTTCGGTAATCACTGTTCCTTCTTGTACCTGTCGACAGCCAGCCACAGATTCTCAGAACAATCGTCTCGCAATCAGACCAAAAGAGTTTTCAGGCTTTTGCGTGCAAAGAACCAACCTTTTCCGCAGCTATGCGAACGAATTCCGCTCCTCCCTGGCCTACCGTGCCAGCAATGCCTAGGGACTAGATTTGTCGCTTGCCACCGATAGGCCAATCTCTCAATGCGGGGAGAAAGCCCACATGGGGCCTAGAATTTTGACTGATTAGACCTCCGTGCCATCCATTGATAAGGACTGAAGGCGTCGACTTCAGTTGTTTGGGATGTGCCAAACCTAAACTCTTCCCCGTGGAGGGCTCCCTCCATCGCATTTCAATGGATATCTCAGGCATATTGAGCCGCCCACCATGAAATATTGACATGCATCGAAGTCGCGCAAGTGTGTTTTCGGGTGGTATGGCACGTCAATCTAATGCCACGCTGCGGACCAAGACTGGATGTTTGACCTGTGAGTGCAGTTGTATCTGGTGGAGCCAACTGTAGCTAACAGGACTTTAGGCCGCATGCGACGGAAGAAATGCAACGAAGTAAGGCCCAAGTGTGAAAAATGCATCAAATCCAACCGAGTGTGTACTTGGCCTGCCGAAGACGAGTTGTTCGACCGGCGACATAGGCGAACTTCGAGGTCTCCCGCATCACCGTCGCCGGCTGAGTCGCCAAAAAGCATCACGGTTGGAAGACGCCTCTCGAGCAGCAGCAAAGACAGCGCAGGCACTGATGCATCGCCGTTCTTTGTTTGTCGCGAGATCTCTTTCAACTCTGACCTCTTCAATTCGCCCATGCTCAAATCCGACCTTGAAGTTGCTTGTTGTCGCCACTTTCTCGATGGGTTCCTCCCACTACTCATACTGTCCAATACGCATCCAGGCTTCCAGTCCCAGCTGATTCCGGAGATGGTGGGAATGCTTCTGCAATTTGAGGGCATGAAAGACGTTGCGCTGGCTTGTGGTGCGTCACGAATGCATCTTCTCACCGGAAGTGCGCAAATGCATGAGGCCGGACTCAGATACTATGCTCGTGCCGTGTCTGAGGTCAATCGCTCTCTCAGCAAGATCGACTGGGGTCGAGATGATTTCAATGACGCCCTGCTAGTAGCCATCATCCATTTATACATCCACGGGGTGAGTTTTCCCTCGTGCATTCGGAAGCGGTCAAAAAAGCTCTGCAGATGACGGAGTCAACTAATCAAGGCTTTATGCGAACAGGTCTTCGATATTGGGACCAACAAGGACATCGGCAAGCATGTCAGGGGAGCAATCCAGCTCATGAAACTCCGATGGACGCATTCGCGAAGACCTCCTATGCCACGCCCGATTCATCGTATCATTTGGGAAAGCATCCTTTATCAAGTCTTTCGCCGGACGGTCAACCGGCCATTTGCCGTAGACTTTCAGCCCGACTTTGAGTTCTGCGCACGGGCACAAGAGACGCTGCAGTCCTTGACATTTCCGGACGCTTCACCTGCCGACAATAGCCCCGTGATAGGTTTCCCTTTGGCGCTCCAAAAGTTGATTATTGAGATTGTCCAAGTCTGCAAAAGCCCAACGAAAGCCGAGCCTGAATTACTAGATGTTCTCGGGCGTGAAATGTCATTTTGGGAGAAGACAATCCTAGAAGAGGGTCATTGCGTCAAGGAATGTGACTCGTGGTCAGTGGGAACAGCTGCTGAACGAGCCCGTATCTTCCACCAACACTCGACCAGCTTGCACATTCTCGCGGCCTCCCTCCTCCTGGACTGGGTATCCAGAGCACATGAGGTGTCGGAGACCACATCTCTGCTTCCACCAGTGGTCGATACATGGCAGGTTCGCAGGGGACTGGAGATCTTGCAGTGTCCACAAGCCAATGAAGAGTGGTCGAGGTGTTATCTTGGATCGTGGCCAACCTTGATATTTGGCTATGCTGTTGACAAGCCCGAGGACATCGCACTCATCCGACGTGACTTAAGGCAACGGTTCCACCAGCTGTATTCAGGGGAGGAGTTGCTTTTCCTGGAGGAGCTGGAGTCAGTCTGGCGTACGCGGGGGGTTTCGTGAATGGAGGAGTTAAGACGAAAGCGTTTAACCTGCAGACTGACATGAAAGGAGCTTTGGGTTGATGTACCTCGTACTCTCTATTTTGGCAGGAACTTGATGGTGGATGGAACGCGACTCGCGGCGCGCAGACACCAGGCGCAGGCAAAGGCCCGATGGGCAGCAGGGCGCAGTTTGCGCATTTCACCTGCATCACTCGTAACTACTCGGTACACGGTAATCAAATAAACTACCTAGTATCATCACCACCACCGTCACCACCAACCTACTCACCCAGTTCAGCATTCATTACCTGCCTACCTAGGCACCTTGGCACCTAGGCTTGCAAACGATCACCTGGCACCCGTCGCCGCTTTGACGGCCAAGCAGTGTTATTACAGAGGCGCCTCGGCAGTGCCTCGAAACTGTCCTCGGAGATGCCACAGACAGGGCCCCCTCACCCACCCTCCATTCTCCATCGTCCTTTGACCCGCCGAGCCGGTGAATCTGATTTGGCTTTCTACCACCCGAACGACCCTTATTCCTCTTAATCGCTCGTCCCTCCATGTGCCTAAGCCAATGGAATCTCGCAACCCTCCTCGCCGCTTGATGAAGATGCCCAGATATTGTAGCGGCCAAAGATCGAAATGCATGCTGACAGTTGTTGCCTTAGTAAACCTTCCAAGTCCTGTACAGTTCTCTCCAAGATGATACAATCCGAGCTCGTCATAGCTGTTGACATTGCCATATGTTTCTCAGATTCCCAGTCGGTTTCAAAATCGATGTCTATTCTAGTACAAGCGGAAAGTATCGACGGACGCAGCAATATAAACGAGACCTTGGGAGGGTTGATGCTCCTGGTTCCGTAGCACTCTAACCTTCAGTCAAGGCTCAGCTCCCCAACTTGAATGGTCAACCGGAAAAAGAAAATGTCGTTCTTCGAAGCTGCCTCGTGGCACGAGGGAGAAGTTGCGATTCATAAACGAACTCGTATCAGCGGTTATGACAATCCCACCTCACCATTCCTCACGCCTCGGGCGGCCAGCATGATACAGCGGTACCCCATGATGGCAATAGGGACATTGGATGATCAAGACAGACCCTGGTGCACAGTCTGGGGCTCCGATCATCTGCCAATCGCGCAGCCAGTAGCTCAGAGCGTTCTGGGCGTTCGCACGACGGTCGACGCGAGTTTCGACCCCGTGATCCAAGCCATTTACAATGGTAAGGATGACGGGGAAGTGATCCGAGAGGAAGGCAAAACGAGGCTGATGTCCGGGCTAAGTATTCACCTGGAAGAGCGAGGAAGAGTCAAGATGGCTGGCCAAGTCATTGCTGGTGCTCTCACCGCGAACGTACCCGTTGCGCCTGTCAGTGTGTCCGACAACGATCCTCTCCTAGGCAAATCAGGCGAAGTACAGCTTGTCGTCAAGATCGACCAAAGCCTCGGAAATTGTCCCAAATATCTTAATAAAAAGCACATCGTTGCTACCGAACCCAAACCGAGATTATTGTCTTCGTCGCCACATCTCACTCAAAAAGCTATTGATTTAGTGCATCAAGCTGACTTGTTCTTCATCGCCTCGGCGCACAAGCACGAGGACATGGACTGCAATCATCGTGGCGGCCCTCCAGGTTTCATTCGTGTGCAGCAACCCGCCAGTCTAGACGAAGGCAGCATCATCGTTTGGCCCGAATACAGTGGGAACAACCTCTACCAAACACTTGGTAATCTGGAAAGCACCCCTCACGCTGGTCTAGTCATTCCTGACTTCGAGTCTGGCGATGTTCTTTATGTAACTGGGGATACTGAGACCCTTGTCGGGGACGCAGCGAGCAAAGTCATTGCCAAAAGCAATCTTGCTGTAAGCCTGAAAGTGACCGGAGCACGTCTTGTTGAAAAGGGGTTGCCTTTCCGTGGCAAGCTGATGGAGGATGCGTCCCAAGGCCGCTCACCATATAATCCCCGTGTGCGATACCTGACCTCCGAGAAAATAGATGCGTTTGGGAAGACCGGGGGTGACGCACCTCCCACGACGGCAAAGCTCATCAAGAAAACTAAGATCACTCCTACCATCACCAGATATCGTTTCGCACTGGCTGATCCTGGTGCTTTTGGGCCCTGGAAACCAGGTCAATACGTCGCGATGGATGTGGCAGCCGAGCTGGACATGGGATATTCACACATGCGAGACGACGACCCGACCAGTCTGAATGACGATTATATTCGGACTTTTACTGTCTCATCTATCCCGAGCTCTCTTGGACTGCATGGGGAGGAATTCGAGGTCACAGTGCGCGCCGTCGGCCACGTCACCAAATGGCTTGAGTGGCAGCGCGAGGGCATGTGTGAGATTGGCATTCGAGGCTTTGGCGGAGAATTCGCTTTCGAACCCAGTTCCAGGAATGCGTTCATCGCTGCCGGGATTGGCATTACGCCTTTGCTGGGACAGATGGACAGCCTGGATCTCAACAAACTAAAGGTCATATGGAGCGTGGGGATCCGTGATGTCGCATTACCGCTAGACGTCCTCAGCCAGTTTCCCAGTTTGAAAGACTCACTGACAATCTGCCTTACTGGTGACGAGTCACTGTTGGATGAGAAGAATAAGGCACAGCTACAGAACTTGATCGACGCCGGAGTGAAGGTTCTCAGGAGGAGATTGACAAAAGAGGACTTGATAGTCTTGGTATCCGAAGTTGATAATTGGTATCTATGCACGGCGCCGGCGATGAGAAAGATTGTGCAAGAGTGGATGCCGGGAACGACAATCATCTACGAGAATTTCGACTACTGAGGCGACAGAGGGTTCGTTGCGGCCAGGGAGAGGTTGTGGTTTCTTGTTCACGAATATCATGTACGACAGTAATGGCAGGAGATAGGAAATAGACCACCATATTAGTTTCTTGGTTGTTTGAGGCCTTCAAGAATTTACATTTGTTGCAATATTTCTCCACCTCGTTGCGTGTTGACCCTTTTTGATCGTTTCGATGTATCTCACCTTTTCTTTCTCCTGGATATCTCTCCTACAAGTACATGGCCGGCAAGCAACGGTTCCTAGCTTTCCAACTGCGCCTCCAACCATTCAAATCAGCAGACCGAGTCTTTCTGCGTCATTACGGTTACAGATCGAGACTGATCTGCTCACCACCGAAGTCCGTCTTCCCGCCCTGTCGCCGACGCAACATGTCAAGCCAAACGGCCACGACCACCACTAGTGCCCAGAACGCAGACGACAAGACAATCTACAAACTGACATTCTACTCGCCGCTGGAGAACACGCAAGCGTGTCTATCAGCCGTCTGGGCCACAGGGGCGGGGACGTGGCCCAACACCCCCACAACCGGGGATAGCCAGAGCCAGAGCCAGAGCCTTAACAACGCCAGCGATAACAACGTGGAGGAGCCAGCGAAATACACCGACACAGCCTTCATCAGCCGCGGAACCGGGCAGTTCAAGCCGTCAGCCGCGGCGAACCCGCACATCGGCCGACCAGGGCAGGTCGAGTACGTCGAAGAAGACCGGGTCGAGATGGTGGTTGTCGGCACGCAGCGATGTAAGGACGCCGTGCGCGAGCTGAGAAAGGCCCATCCGTATGAAGTTGTCGCCTTGTTCGTGGCCAAGTGCGAGGATTTCTGACTTCCATCTCTGGTCTCTGCTAGCCAAGGGACAAGGACGGAGACAGGCAGAGACAAGAGTCTACGACAGCCATGTGGTATATGGGCGTTGTGATGGAGCATGGCAGAGACCTAGAGGGCTTGGAATAGTTCGCTCGACGTGCACAACAAAGCCTTGACGAGGACAAGGAAACACAAACAGAAGCCGTAATTACTCAGTTTCTTTTCTGAAGGGAATTTCCCTTTTGATTTCTTGTGGTATCTAGTTGTCACAACTTTGCCGTCCGGCATACAAGCAGAAAACGAGAAAAAGACCAACGCCCTTTTGCATGTCCGACCTGTTTCTTCCCTAGGCCGAGCACATCTAGATGCTTGTAATCAAGTCCTCAATTCATAACGCTGGTACAAAATTCATGCCAACCCCCCGACCTTACTCACAGCTCGTCGTGTCCCGAGGGCTCGTCATCATCATCTCCATAGTCTGGCATGCCTCCTGCGCCAGCATATAGCTTGCTGCTGATAGGATATGCGACTTGAGACAGCTTCTCGAATTGCTCCTCGAAGTCGTCCTTGTCTGCGGAATCGGCGTTGTCACTGAGCCAGTCTTGCGTCTCCTTGATCGCGTCTAGAAGAGTTTCCTTGTCTTCATCATCGATCTTGCCACCAAGCCCATCTTCGTCGTGGACTTGGTTCTTCAGTGAAGAGGCATAGTTCTCCAGCTTATTGCGGGCGTCAATCTTGTCCTTGACAGCACGGTCGGCCTCGGCGAACTCTTCGGCCTCTGCGACCATTCGATCGATTTCCTCTTGCGTGAGGCGTCCCTTGTCGTTCGTGATGGTGATCGACTCTGACTTGCCAGTGCCTTTGTCACCAGCTGAAACCTTGAGGATACCGTTTGCGTCGAGTTCGAAGGAGACTTCAATCTGAGGGACACCACGAGGGGCAGGAGGAATACCGGTAAGTTCAAATTTGCCCAGAAGGTTGTTGTCCTTGGTCATTGCTCGTTCGCCTTCGAAAACCTGGATAAGCACCACAGGCTGGTTATCCGCTGCTGTAGAGAAGATCTGAGATTTCTTGGTCGGTACGAGGGTGTTTCGGGGAATGAGTTTGGTCATGACACCGCCGGTAGTTTCAATGCCGAGAGTAAGGGGATTGACATCCATCAGAATGAGATCTTCGGTGCCGGTCTCCCCAGAAAGGACACCACCTTGAACGGCTGCACCATATGCCACAGCTTCGTCTGGGTTGATACCCTTGCTTGCCTTCTTGCCACCGAAGAACTCCTCGATCATGGATTGGACCTTGGGGATACGAGTAGAACCACCAATGAGAACGATGTCGTCGACCTCGGATTTCTTCACCTTGGCGTCTTTCAAGACCTGTTCGACGGGCTTGAGTGTCTTCTTGAACAAGTCCATGTTCAACTCCTCGAATTTGGCTCGGGTCAAGGTCTCAGAGAAGTCCTTGCCGTTGTGGAAAGCTTCGATTTCAATTCGAGTAGACATTTGGGAGGACAGAGTTCGCTTGGCCCGCTCAACCTCGCGCTTCAGCTTGCCCATGGTCTTCAGATCCTTGCGGATATCAACATCGTTCTCCTTGTTGAATTTCTTCACAAAGTAATCAATCACTCGCTGGTCGAAATCTTCACCACCGAGATGAGTGTCACCGGCGGTAGCCAAGACCTCGAAAACGCCGTCTTCAATTGAGAGAAGGGAAACATCGAAAGTGCCACCACCAAGATCGTAGACAATGATCTGGCTCTCCTTGCCCTTCTTGTCAAGGCCATAGGCAATGGCTGCGGCAGTCGGCTCGTTAACCACACGCAGGACAGTCAATCCGGCGATAGTACCAGCATCCTTGGTGGCTTGTCGCTGAGCGTCGTTGAAGTATGCCGGGACTGTGACGACCGCGTGGGTAACTTTCTTGCCCAAGTATGCCTCTGCAACTTCCTTCATCTTGCCCAGAACCATGGCGGAGATTTCTTCGGGTGTGAAGGTCTTTGGTTTGCCGCTAACCTCGACATTGACCACAGGCTTGCCATCTTTGCTGGCCACCTTGAAGGGAAAGTGTTTTAGATCTCGCTGAACGTCCTTGTCCTCGAATTTACGGCCGATCAAACGCCTGAGGAGCCATGTTAGTAAAGTCAAGGTACAAGGAAACAAATCGGGAAGATACTCACTTGATGTCAAAAATCGTTCTGGTGGGATTCGAAGCATATTGATTCTTTGCCGCGTCTCCCACTAACCGCTCTTCATCGGTGAATGCCACGTATGAAGGCGTTATCCGATTTCCCTGGTCGTTCACAATGATCTCGACCTTGCCGTTCTGCATCACACCGACGCAGGAGTATGTTGTACCCAGATCGATACCGATGACGGTGCCATAGTTGCTATCTGAGTCGTTCACTGGGGTTTGATCTTGGGCATTTACTCTGCCGATCAAAGCCAACGGACAGACAAAGATGAGGAGGAGGTAGAAGAGAGTTGTCCACTGTAAAGTAGCGGAAGAGGATCTGTGTGGTCGACGCTGGACGTTACCGGACGCCATCTTGTCGGTAGGGAGAGGGAAAAAGGGAGAAGCAAAGGAAAAGAAGAATGATATGTTGTTGTTAGAGTGAGAAAGGTCAAGGAGGATTGGGGTGAGCGGTGGAGGGAAATATTTATTCTAGGGTCGCAGTTATCGATACGCTGTCCTTTTCCACCATCTTCACTGGCGGAAGCTCAGCCCAGGGCAAGGACACTTTGTTTCGCCGCAGTCTCCTCTCCACAGGCGGCCCCATCACTAACTATTACTACTAAAAGGTACTTGCCCCAGCCTTGGCAGTTAAAGGGCGGCTTTTGGACACGCTGTTTTGCCCCTGAATCACTGCCAGCCTGGCCTCTATTCTGTTCTTTGGACATCCAACATGTACCATCCCTTTCCACGCTTCCAGGACATCGTAGAATTTGCTTCTGTTTTATCCCCCAAAGCCAGCCACCATGACTCAGAGAACGACACCTTTGGCGCGCAACTAGCGCCACTCGGTACAAAGTGCGCACAAGAGCATTCTCTACTAATATCCATGGCCACAGCATCAAGCATGAGGCACCTTGCATTGGTCTCCGAGTTTGTTAAATGCGTGTTTGAACGTCATATATCTTTGCTATCCTCGTTATCTTTTCTTGTCCATCATACCTTTTGCCATGGTGATAGAAACTTCATCTCGCAATATACCACCTACGACCACCAAACTCACCCTTCGTGCCTCCCCATCTTTGCGCTATGCTCTAGAATTGAAGAGAGAGCTATTTATGTAAGCATTTAGCCCCAAACGAACTGTACGTCATTCTTTGGTACATCGCCCCGCATCGCATTGGCATTTACTCATTAACAACTTTTTGATACTGCTCTGTGAATATTGTGGTAATACATGGCATGAATCCAACTCGACTGTTCTGCTTTAACCGTGGCTGTCTTCCCATTTCATTTCGCAGTCCCTCTCCAAGCCTAACCAAAATACTCATCCCCCACCGCGCCATGGGCTCCGTGGACACCTCACTGCACCCGCATACATCAGGTCGCGCTGCCCGCTTCGCAGAGGCACATTCCTCCCCAAATCCATTGATCCTCTACGGCGGCTGGTTCTGCCCCTTCGTCCAGCGCAGCTGGATCACTTTGCATGAGAAGAACACTCCGCACCAATACTTCGAGATTAACCCGTACCGCAAAGACCCTGATTTCCTCAAACTAAACCCGCGTGGTTTGGTTCCGACTCTTGCCGTGCCTCTCGACAAAGAGGGTAAGGACCAAAAGCCCTTGTATGAGTCTCTTGTGATCTGCGAGTACTTGGACGAAGTATACAACGACCGTGCTAAGAACGGACCTGATCTGCTGCCGAGAGACGACGCTTATTTGCGTGCAAAATGCCGGATTTGGATCGATCACATCTCAACCAGGATTGTTCCCGCCTTCTACCGTTTCATGCAGCATTCCGAGTCGAAATCGTATAGTCTTGATGAAGCACGGGCGGAATTCCTCAACCACATCAAGACTTTCGTCCAGGCATGTGATTCGCAAGGACCATTCTTCTTGGGTGAGAGATTCAGTCTGGTGGACATTGTGCTCGCGCCTTGGCTGTGCAGAATGTTTCTGTTTGATGTGTACAAGGGCGGGGTTGGTGTGCCTGAGGAAGGCAAGGGTGGCGATGATGAACCGGTATGGGATCGATGGAGGAGGTGGGCAAAAGCAGTGGGAGAAAGGGAGAGCGTGTTGGATACCTTGAGTGAAAGGGAACAATACATCGAGGCGTACAGGAGGTACGCGGAGGACACCACACAAAGCGAGGTTGCAAAGGCCACGAGGTCTGGAAGAGGACTACCATAGACATGGGGGAAAGATTAGGAGTTATCGACGTGAATGGTTCATGGCTTTTCCTCGTCCCAAACTTCTAACTCAGGAATGCGTTTCTTACCCGTTCTCATGCGCTAGAGACGACCTTTTCGTATGCAAGCGTGGCGCAACTCCTCCCCAGTTCCGTTCGTATGCCGCTTAGAAGCCCACATCGAGATCGCTCACAGTGTCAAAAGCACCCACCCCGGTCTGGTCTACCTCTTACCCTCGCCTCTTAGATCGCCACCAAGCCCGTAGCCTCTAATCTTCTCCCATTCGACTTTCTGCCGCGTGACGGGCAACTGCCGCCGCAACGCCTTGAAGCTCGTCTCGTTCATGCCCACGATCGTCCTATTCACCTCTTCCTGGTACTGTTTCTCGATTGCGGCAATCTTCCTCACCACGCTGTCACCACTGCCTCCGCCGTCGACGGACACGTTGGCAAAATCCTTCTTGGTCGACATGGCGACGTTGCCGTCTTCATAGTAGTGCACGTCGACCCGGATGCTGCCGGATAAGGTGTTGGAGGAAGGGTTGTAGAGGACGGCGGTCCTCCAGCGGCCGCTGAGGAAGTTCTTGGGGGAGGCTTTTAGGGAGGATATCAGAATCGCGACCTGCGAGTCGTCGGGTGTGGCGCAGACGGTGAACGCAGACGGCGAGGACGTCGGCGGGTAGTGTTCTGCAAAGTGGCTGGACAGGTGTTTCGAGATGGATGAGACGAGGTCGCTGTGTTTTGTGTCGTGGGTGTAGGATTGAGGGGCTGACGCCTTGGAGGTCGTGTGGTCGAAGGAGAAGGACGTTGAGGATTGCGCGTCGTAGTATTGCCCTGACGAGAGCTTGTTGTAGGATGATATCAGAACCTATAAAGCCGCCCCGGCTTCTGGTCAGCTTGGCCATTGAGGCAATGGAGGGGTTGTCTCCCAGGCAGTTCAATATTTCTCCTGTGCTGGGGATGGAAGAATGTCATAAGTATCTCGTACATAATCGCTCGCCCCAGGGAGCTTCACAGCCACCATCTGTTCTTCATTGTACTTTTCGAACGCAGGCTTCAGCTTTGAGATCAGCGTCGGGTCGTTGTCGGAAGTGAGGGACTTGATGTCCTTGATCACATCTTGGAGTTCTCCAGAGGGCGCACCCTCAATGAATGACGAGGTGATGTTTACAGTCGAGCCCATAGCCGGTGGAATCAATTAAGTTGTAAGATAGGGACCGCGACAATAGGACTTTGCGCTGCGTTCGTAACAGATGGTATAGGCTGGTGGTGGAGGGGTGCAGCTTGTGAGGGTCGTACCGTTGCGGGCAGAAACTCGGTGTGTCAGCCGCCGACACGAAATCTTTAGATGCGGAGCCTCCAGGCAGGGCTAGACGATTATTAGAGAACAGAAGCTACGGGGTTTGAATTTTGAGGTTTGTAAGGTGATAATATGTTGTTGCTTCGAGTGAAGCAAGGAACAAGGCATGAACGGCAATTGAACTCGAGTATCATGATACATCGTCCAGAGATGAAAAGCAACCACCACGTCCTGGTCCAGTCCATGCCCTGTCACGCCGGTCCTCCCAGACGCCTCGCTAGCCACAGATCAATTTGTAAAAAAGGATAAAAGACAAAGAGAGGAGGTCTAGTCAATGCTCATGCTCATTATGCCTTCATTCGTCTCGGTCATACCTTGCAACCCAATTTTCTTTGTCCCATTATGACTGCTGCCGCTGTTGCTGCGATCGCCATGGCCATGTCCGGAGCCCTTGGGTGGCAGTTTAGACCATGCCTTGTCGCTTGTCAACACGGGGCTTTGCGACAAGATAGGGCTGCTTTGGACGCTCATGCCAGGGGACACAGCTCTGCGTTTGGTGTATGATGGATCGAAATCCTCTTCGCGGCGTCGCTTGTTGTTGACCCTTCGGGCGACATCCCCTGCGGTAGGCGGGAGAGAGGCCAAGGGAGTGGTCGACCTGGATCTAGATCGGTTGAAATGCTTCAGGGCAGGGTTGTCGACGATTGAGGAGCTAGGAGTATCCATCATATCATCACTGATGGCAGAGGAACTTTCGCGGGGTCGTAAAGATGGTGGAGGGGTTCGGTAGCGGTCGTCGAATCCATTCCAAAACCCAATTCCTGCGGAGTTCCTCTCGGCCTGTCGACTGAAGCTATCAGGAGGGAGTAGACCTTTGTTGTCCATCATCATGTCTTCTATCGATTCCTCTATCGGCTCTGCTGCAAAGTTGTTGTTCTGATGGGCAGGCATCGATGGCGACCTGGGCTGTGGAGCGGTCGGTTCATTTTCGTGTACCTGGCGAATGACTTCCGCCTCGCGTCGCGCTTCACTCTCGATCGGGGCGGCTTCTTCCAACAGCTGCGCACGAATTCGAGCAAAGCCTTTTGTCTTGGGGAGTAGATTGCCTCTGCGCGTGACAGCTCGGCGAATGACCTTTCTTGGGTCGTCGCCATTTGCACCATCCATGTCTGAAAGAGATTGGCCGCCAGTCGTTCTCACGGTGTTGTTGTCTTCGCTGTCTGACAGATGCAGATCGTTGGTACCCAGACTTAGACTTTCACGCCGAGACTGGACTTGTTGTTTGGTTAGACCAGTCCCAAAGTAACTGCCACCCGCATTCTCAACACTTTTCAAAACGCCCGGTGACAATGGCCCCGGTGACGGCTTGGAACTGTTCATGCTCACGCTGCTAGAGCTATGTTGACTCTTGCCCTTCCGCGTACGAGCTCTCCTAAAACTCAACAGATTGGGCTGAAAACTCATAAGACTGGCTTGTGCTGGCGACGGCTGATTGCCCATCCATTCCATTCCGGGGCTATTCACCCAACCTGGCATCGGCCCCGGGTTCAACCTTGACGCCGCAGGTGTATTTAAAATGGCTTCATCCACATCACGATCGATGGCCATGTCGTCCGAAGAGGTGTCAGACTCAGAATCAGAATCCGAGCCCATCATATTGACGGAACTGACAGAGCTTGACAAGTTTGTTCTGTCGTTTGACAAGGACCACAAAGCATTCGACTGATTGCTTGGTGAGTCAAGCACGGTATTTCCGAGACTTCTCCTCTGGGGTATTTGTATTCCTCTTCCTGTGATGGGCGATGCATCCGGAGACGCTTCTGCCAGCGTAGAATGGTGCAAATTCGTACATGCTCTTGTATAATCGAGTCCTCGTGATCTCCTCGGAAGCATGGACGAGGGTGATCCATAGACATAGGACGAGTCTAGTTTTGGCGATAGCGGGATCCGTGGTATCGTGGGACCTGTGCTTGCTCCAGCGGCGTCTTTAAGCGGCATATGGAGAGATAGACCTCGAGTATGCATCGGAGGACGAGAGGGTGTTGTGGGAGTTGTAATAGCCGAGTCATCCTTGGATATTCGTCGCAAAGGTTCTCGAAAGGCTGGCGATGGAGAGAGAACAGGCTTAGGAGCGTCCGAGAGAGACCGTGGTTTTGGGGAGCCCCTGGTGGAGGTTCTGGAGGACCGTGGCGTGCGTTCGCCTTCGCTCTGTTCAATCTGTTGTGTGAGGTTCGACTTGGTTGGAGAGAGGCCCAGCCCAATTGGAGCCGGATGGATGCTGGCAGCAGACATTGTTGAAGACTAGACGCGCTATCGAACCATGACGGTGATGTCGAGATGAAGCATGTCGCGTATATCAATGGCGATTTCACATTTTCAACCGATGAGCGTCGGGAAGTCGAGACAAGAATTCAATGATGCACCCTTGTCGAACGTTGACCTTGGTCACTTGTAGTCGAAGACTGTGCTTGACCACGAGTTCACCTCACCTAGAGATTGCGTGGGAGAGAGGAACAGGGTTTCGAGGGCGCACCTTCGCAGCTGAGCCCGAAATAGGATTATGGGCGTGCCGCTCTATTCTGTTGAACCCCGCTCTTCCCAGACACTGTGCCACTGGTCCATCAGGGGCGCCACGAGCGCTAAGGGCACGCTGAAGACGTCCTCTACTACTCGGAGCAGTTCTTAGAGGGAGGAGTACTTGGTACAAGTGGGTATAGAGAAGCAGCCTCTACTCGCTCGTCGGTAACGAGTGTGCACCGATTTTGGACCCTCGCACATGCTCCTTGTTTGGGGCACCATTGGGTAAATCGACCTGCCCCTTTGAGTTTCCCCTTCATCAATGGGATGCCCTTGAGTCCTTCTAACGCTCTATCATAGTCAATCACATGAAAAAAGTAAATACGACAGACTCTACTCTCATATCCTACAGGGAGGGCAGTGTACATAGGCCAGGTCAATAGAAACCGATTTAAAGCGGCACGACATGTGATGTTTAAGTAGTTTTGTTTGCAATGCTTCACCACCTTGCCGCTCTTAGCATTGGCTCAGATAGCCCCTCTCCATGGTTTGTGGCCTACTCACGATGTCGCAACCACCAATGTTCTCTTTTCCTATTCCTCTCTCGAGCCTACACGGTTATTTAACACGACCAAGTTCACCTGAAATCTTCCCTTTTACACTGAAATAGAGTTGGAAGGGAAGTGTAAAGACAGGAAATACCCACATGACGAAAACCCTCGCACGACATCATCGAACTCGAGCCCTGGCGCCCTGGTTGATCGATCAATCCCTTGTCAGTTATTAATCTCCACCCCGCGACTAACTCGGATATCTGGCCACAGATTTCCATTCACTACCTTAAAAGACCAACCCGCGGTGTCGACCTCATGCTCTCATCTCCGTAATAAACCTTCTCGCCTGTTCCGTCAGTCATCGTCATGTCGAATCGTCGAGTAAAGTCTTTGGCGATGGATGAAGACGACTATGATGATTTCGAGGACTATGAAGACCAGTATGGAGATGATGGCGGCGACAACGAGCTTTCTGCGGAGGACAAGGAACAGATGCAGCAGGGTACCAGAAAAGTGCGTGCAGCTCTAGGGCCAGGATTTCCCATCACAGACAACGACATCCAGGAGGCACTGTGGCATTATTATTATGACGTTGAAAAATCCGTCACATATCTGAAAAGTGAGAGACTTTGCGCACTGCTCAAACCTGTGGAAAACTCACCCCCATAGACAAACAGAAGCCTCCCGTTGCCCCAAAGAAGCAGACGCCGGGCTCAAAGAGTAAGCTTGCTCTTCTTTGCCTCTCGCCTGCGTCGCTTTCACGTCGTGGTGGTCATGATAGCTTAGGACATCACCATTTCGAAAAGGATACTGATAAGCACGAAGATCCTGCCGGCTTCTTCACTTGCTCTTACTCGTTCTCTGCGACGGATTTCTTCAAAGACTGCCCATGGTTGCAGATTCCTGAACACCGGAGGGCAGAGATCATAATCACACCGCTCTATCCCCGCGGTCGCCTGCTGGGTGGTACTTCAAATACTGGCAAGATGTCTAAACTAGCCGCACTTGCCGCGAAGCGAAGGCAGAAAGAAAGTGAGAAACTTGACGCTCAGAGCGTGGCCGATACTGGATCTCAGCAGGATTACCTCTCTAGCTTGAATAAACTTCGGATCAGTCAGTCGATTAAAGCAAAGTCTGAAGCAACCGATGCGTCGGACTCCTCGCCAACATACCTTCAGCTTCAGTCACCAAAAAAGGATCACAGGAATGACCAGAGCATCCAAGCAGAAAACAAGCAGACAACTGCAGAAGGGACGGCAGATGTCTCGCTTGCGGTCAACCAGTGTCTCCGGGCCGGACCCTCGGCTTTTGCCAGCATCATGACCAGCCGCGACGCTGATACACGTCTCCCCTCATCGAGCGACTTTTTCTCCTTTGGTGCAAATGCTAAATCTTTCAACTTTGCAGAGCCGAGTCCGGACGACATTGTGACCAAGGCACAGATTGCAAAAGGTCGGGGATGAGGCCGATAGATATGAAAAGGGGCTAACCTCCTCGTTGATGCAGCCGCCACGTCGGCCGCTTCCAAAGCCAAGGATACGAATCGAGCAAAATCAGCTGTGACCGGAGGCATACGCGAACTGTCCATCCAAGATACTCCTAAAATCAAGAGCAGGAACATCGATGTGCTCGCAGAATATCGACGAAATCACCGGAAAAATGCGGCAAACTTCGTAGTTATCGGTAAGCAGTATCTCCTTGACTACTTTGTAAGATTACACTGACTGCCCAAGGCCATGTCGATGCAGGCAAAAGTACTCTTATGGGTAGGCTGCTGTTTGACCTGAAAGCAGTCGATCAAAGAACCCTGGACAAGTATCGACAAGAAGCGGAGCGTATTGGTAAGGGCTCATTTGCCTTTGCATGGGTTTTAGATCAGGGGTCAGAAGAAAGAGCCAGAGGTGTGACCATCGACATAGCCACCAATAAGTTCGAGACCGAAAAGACTTCCTTCACTATCCTGGACGCCCCAGGACACCGAGATTTCGTGCCGAATATGATTGCAGGAGCTAGTCAGGCCGATTTTGCAGTCCTCGTCATCGACGCCTCCACGGGAAATTTCGAGTCTGGGTTGAGGGGACAGACCAAAGAACACGCTCTCCTGGTCAGGTCCATTGGTGTCCAGCGAATCATAGTTGCCGTGAACAAGATGGATGTCGCGGGATGGTCTGAAGAACGATTCAATGAAATTCGTCTACAGATGACGGCCTTCTTGAGCAGCGCGGGTTTTCAGCCAAAGAACGTGACATTCGTCCCTTGCTCTGGCCTCGAAGGTGAAAACATTCTGGTTAGGGCTTCGGATCCGAGGTCGTCATGGTATACCGGGACAACGTTGGTTGAAGAGCTAGACAAGGCGGAGCCATCGACCCACGCCTTAGACAAACCCTTGCGGATGACTATCAACGACGTCTTTCGAGGTGGCGTGCAGAATCCTCTGTCTGTGTCAGGTCGACTGGAGGCGGGCACCATTCAGATTGGTGAACAAGTGGTCATCATGCCAAGTGGTGAAAATGCCCATATTAGGAACTTGGAGGTCGACGAGGAACCCCAGGAGTGGGCAGTGGCGGGACAAAACGTGGTCCTCAATCTGTCCGACATTGACCCCATACACCTGAAATCAGGAGACGTCCTCTGCAGCCCCCTGTCGCCGATCCGGAACATTTCCGAATTCAAAGCGAAGATACTTGCATTCGATCACCTCACCCCGATGAGCGTCGACGTGCACAAGGGACGCTTACATGTGCCTGGTCGAATCAGTCAGCTCGTCGGTGTCCTGGACAAAGCATCAGGCACAATAACGAAAAAGAAGCCCAAAATTGTCCAACCGGGAAGTGTTGTGCGAGTGGTTGTACGCCTAGACCAAGTGGTGCCCTTGGAACCGCCTTCAAGGATCGTGCTCCGAGCAAATGGCGAAACTGTGGGGGCGGGCCTAATCGAATACGAGTAATCGATGCAATCCACCCACGAGGCTGTCCCCAGATACCACGTCGCTAACAACGGTAGTCAATTTTGGCTCGTTCTGAAGGTTCTCGCTCAAGACTGAGGGCGCCACCAAGCGTCCCGGTCCACAAAATTTACGAGCCCTCGGTGCTGGAAAGGAGAGTACTTGGGCTCTGGGGTTCCCCTCTTCCTATTCCGTCATGTTCGGGGCCAAAAATCGTTGGCGTATAGGATACAGTGCCGAAATCTCTGGCCTAGCGCAAATCTGAAACCGAACATTGAAATTCGTGGGAGAAACATCATCCTTCGCGCCCCGCTCTTAAGAGCCTCGTTATTCGCCCGAGAGCACTTGCGTGGACGGAGCAGAGGCTGAGCGTCCCTGGCAGTACGGTCGTCGGTACCAGGGTCATCTTGGTCTGAGACGTTCGGTGGGCAGGGGGGCTGATATTATTCTTCCTTCATTTTCCCATGGTACATGTGCTTCAGTGTGGCATGTCTCTGTCAAAGGAGGTGGAGGAGCGTCCTGAAGTACAAAATGGCCCTTCTCGCCCTCTTTCTGTGGTATTTTGTCTTCCACAAGCACTTTGTTCTTCTCGACACCGGCACTCAAAGAGGCCTTTCCTTCGTTTTATTCTTAAGCGGCGCAGTGCGCACGTCCATTCGTTCTCAATCTATTCAGTCATTCGCTTTCGCTGCCCAGACTCTCGAGACGAGTTTCGATAACCGAAAGTTTGAAATCTGCTGCTGCTGCTACAGATACTGTCTCGAGTTATTCGTCCAAGCCTTGTTAACCCAAACTCTTTTCCCACGACATGGCTGCAGCATTTATCCTTTCAGGGTTGGCCCTGGTGGGCATGGCCCAGGCTCATATTGCGGCATTTGCGAAGGGCATGTACTGCGAGAACGGTACAGACCCTGCCCACCCGAATCCCAACTCCAATGCCCCCGTTTCACCATTGTACAACCTTACCCAGGAGCAATGGTGGTTCCAACACGATCGAGGATGTGATGCTGTCCCTCCGCCTCCTGGAGTGTTCCTCGAGTTACCTGCCGGCGGCTCCTTCGACGTCGAGCTGGCCAACAACCAAGCCTTTTCAACTCTGTCCTGGGGTGGTTCAAAGACTTCCGAATGGCCAGATGGGGGCGACCACCCAGAGGACTGGAACGGTGGCGGTATCGGCGAGGGCTGTATCCAAGACGGTGGTTACATGCACGTGCAGAACCAGAGCATGGCCCAAGGCACTGCCTTTGCTATTGCCTACGAGAGTGATCTAACCGCCATCACGATGGAGGATCTGGTTGTGTTTTCTGTTCTCGAGCACACTCCCTGGAAACGAGCAGCAACCTACCAGGTTCCCGCGGCACTGCCTGCATGCCCTGAAGGCGGATGCGTGAGTTCTCTTTGCATCGTATCAGCATGAGTGCGGCTAACAAATGCTTTCCAGACTTGTGCCTGGCTTTGGGTGCCTCATGGATGTGGTCAGCCCAATATCTATATGCAAGGCTTCAAGTGCATGGTCACTGGTGCCACATCCACAACTCCCCTCGCAAAGGCCAAACCACCCGTCATGTGCGATACCGATCCTTCCCAATGCGCCCCAGGAGCAAAGCAAATGATCGTGTGGAACCAGCTGACAGGGAACAATGTTGTGACGGAACGCTCACAAACGCCGGCTTACAATGCACGTAACGGGTTCAAGCCAGGTCCACAGGATGACATCTTCGAGGGCGGTGCCTCTGCACCTGAAGGACCGACATCATCCTCGACGACTGCTTCCAGTTCTGCCTCAAGTTCTGCTTCCAGTACAATCTTCATCTCGGCTACCGCCCCTGCAGAAACACATGTTCAATCCGTCTCGTCAACAACTAGCGCAGTTGGCACCTGGAGCTCTGAATCTCGGCCGGTAGTCCTGCCCACCTCGACCTTCTTCTCCCTACCATCAGCGTCGACCACCTTGGCGACAGTTGTGAAGGCAGCCTCAACGACAACCAACGCTGCCTCCGCGCCCACCCCTGTTGCACCTTTGTCCTCCCATACCATTGGCTGGGGCGGTCCTTCTGGGGAAAGCCCGGAAATGGTTACTGTTTCCGTGACCGTGACTGTTTCCGCTGGCGACTCAATGCCTACTGGCTTGAAGCACTTCAAGGGGTGCTGGGTCGAGGACGACGAGTAGATGGACAGGCTGAACTTCATCATCCCGAGCAGCGACCACTGTTGGAAGAAACGGGAGTATTGCCCTTTGGGTCACCACGGTCACTAAGAGCTTGAGCTCTTGACCTTTGTATTTATATTCATATCATATCTAGCAATTTTCTCGCATACTCCCAAGAAGGAGAAACAGACACCATTTCTGTCGATCTTTTTCGTTTCTCTATATCGAGGCTATGGCTCGCTCCCTGCTCGATGGCGCTGACATGACCACAACAGCTCCAACGCAGCATCGGCTTCTCCTCTGCTGGCCGAAACAGAGTTGGGAATCTGCCCTAGCTCTTGGATATCAGATTTTGTTGATGAAGACCGAGCAAGATACTAAAAAGGGCGCTCTCTGGTCTCCTACGGCCTCCTGTGGCTTGCCATGGCCAACATTCCATTCCACGACTTGGTGGTCTGTGCTCATCACAACGCGGCGCCAGGGATGAAACTTCATGGACACTGCTCAAGATTCAACCCTCACCATGTCTGTTCCTTATTGTCGTCGTTGACTGCGAGCTTCCTGTAAAAGATGCCTCCGTTCCACTCCTTTCTCATCTTTGCCGGCGTTCTATTTCACATTGCATATGGTTATGTTGATTTCGGCTCCTTGACTCTCCCTGTTGAACCCCTCTACCACCAACCGACTCCGCGACCGAACCAATTGCTGGGTGACTATGATCTCCGCCACGAGATTCTTCCGTCGATGATCACAGCCGTCGCGCCTTCAGTGACGATCGCGGCCAACGGCACCCACCAGACCATGTACAGCCTCCACTACCATCACTACTTCAGCAAGACCCGGCAGGGTAGAGGAGTGTTCGACAAGCGAGGAGTCTTTTCTGGCGACCCGCCCATTGCAACATGCACTCCCTGTGGAGGTGAAAGCGTCTCCTCTACTCCCTCCGGCACAACTACATCGACATTGCCATGCACAACCCACACATATCATGTGAGTCTGTTTCCGGTCATTCATCCTTATCTCAACCGCAGAGACTGACGAGGCCTTCTCAGGGCGTCTTTAATTTGCCTCCACAGACGACAACTGCGTCCTGTTACGACACAGACTATAGCGGCGTATTCCAACCCAGTACCTCGTCATCGAGCGGCCTGCCGTGTTGTTTCACGATCCCTGCCTCTTGTCGAACCAACAGCACAATGAGCAGAACCACCAGCACATCGTTCATGGCGTCGACGGGAGTATTTAGATCGACAACCACGTCGACCACAACAGCACTCAGCTCCACGACTATAACTTCCAGATCTTCCCTCCTCACACCAAGCAGTACGAGCGGAACCTCCTCTCTATCCCAAGGGCCGATACTCAACAGCGGAAGCACATCTACATCTGTAGGAACCACCGCCACCGTCATCAGCGGGACGACCGTGGTCGTCACAACGACATCCACCTTGACGCCGAGGCTGACACCCACCACCAGCTCCTCTGCAGCCTCCAGCCAGCCGTATACTTCTGCATCACTGTCAAGTGCCTCAACCAGCATCACCAGCTTGTCAATCATTGTCATTTCAAGCACGACAATCACAATAACAAACTCTGGCGACGCCACTGTTTCTTCGACAGGGGGAAGTGAGACATCAGCATCATTATCATCATCATCGTCCTCGTTATCTACATTAACCATCATCACAGGCACTGCGTCGAGCTCGTCGTCCACTTCTTCGACGTCGTCGACCTCAGTCATCATAACCACCGTGCCCAACACCATCATAGGATGCGGCGAAGCTTCCGGCAGTGGGGTCGTCAGTATGTGTGCTTTTCTTTTGGGATTTTCCTCTCGCGATCCAATCAGATCAGATCGAAACAGTTCAACTAACTCTGGAAAATCACAGTGGGAACCGGCACGGTGTATCTCGGAGGCACGCCGGTTGTCACCTCAGGGACCGCCACTGGTACGTACATCGAGGTTTCAAAGGTTGCGAGTTTCTGACTGACCGTCTCTCTCTCTCTCTCTCTCTCCGATCCAGGCTTTGCAAGCAACGTCTCTGGATGCGGCACCATCATCGCCACGTCAGGCACGTTTAGCGGATCCGCAGAAATCACAGGCTGTATGTGTATACTCTGTCGATGGTGGCTCGCAATCACCAAGCTGACTCGCGCGCCGCACAGGTGGTTCCGGCTCCGGCTCCGGCACATTGACCGGCACAGGGACCGTTTGGCCCGCATTTGGAGGAGGACTTATCTCGGTGGTCACATCGGGCACGGTCACGGGCAGTGGCAACTTCAGCGGTTGCGGGATCTTGGTACGTCTCACACAAAGTGTCATATATCCCAAACTTTCCTTCGAAAGCTGACTCACTGGTGTATTCTGGCTTGCAGACCGGGTCCGGCACCTTCGTAGCGACGACCGGCTCCCCCGTAATAGTCTCACCCTCGACCACTCCCACGCCAACTTCCCGGCCCATCAGGACCGTCAGCGTCTATCTCTCCTACTGCCCAGACTACGCCATGGGCACGAACGGCATGCTCCGCCTCGCCGGTGGTGGCTCGTCCAACGTGACGAGAGGGGACGGCACAGGCGACGGCATGACCTATTCCAACACCACGGCACCCTATTCCTCCCCGTCGAGCTCGAACTCGAGCTTTCCCCTAGGTAATTCCACCGACGCCAACCCGCTGTGCCAGACGTGCCCCAACTCCGTCGGCATCTGCTGCCCCCCGACCGTGCACTGCTCGGCCGACGACGGCAAGTGCCCGCTCTACGCGCTGGAGAACTCGGGCAACACCATCAACGGCTATCTGATCGCGCAGGTCATGAACAGCTCGGCACCCGTGGCTGGACGGAAGAAGGTCCGGGCGCTGGAGAAGAAGCACCACGTCGGACAAGATGACGGTCTAGACGCGTCAGCGGCTTCCCCAGGTTTCGGAGGCAAGGACCTCTTGGATTTGGAGGCCGGAGTAGAGAGGCAGCTGCAGAGACACAGAGAGAAGAGGAGGGCGCATAAGAAGCAGTTTTAGGGGAAACCCCAGTTGGGAGGGGACCCGGGCCGTAATTTTTCGGCCTCGTTTGGATCTTCGGTTGTCATTGCTGTAATACCTTCTGTCCTTCTTCTCCGCCTCTACATAATATTCGCAGCCATCAGATTTGATATATTAAGCCTTGTTATGCTGCACGGTACAAGAAAAGAGGAGTACCAGGGGCATGTTCTGGCTGTGTTGTGTCCAGCTGACCTTATACCTGTTTGATGTACCCATTAGATGCGGACAATGTTTCTTACGGGAGGTGTTGCTGCCTCGAGCACTCAGAGACGCTCTGTCTGGATGGAAACCTAGGGTAGGATGTATCGGATCACGGAGAGCTTCTCAGTGCTTTGTGGCTTTATATTTTCTTACCAAAGTGGCGTTGACCCTGGTACCTTGGGATCTGGTGAAAGGAACGAACGGAGAAGCCGTGTCTATGCTGGGCTTTGGTAGCACGGCACCCTCGGCCGAATCGCGCAACCAGGAAGCGGATGAAGCGTGAGATCAATCCAACCATTCCTCACGAACGCCATTCTCAATCAAAAGCAATCTCTCCGTTTCGGGGACACAACAAGACGCCATCTTCACGCATAATAGCCAAGTCCAACCAATCCAAGTTGATCCAATCACGCGGAAGGAAAAAGTGACGTTTAACACGGCCCAGATTCGATTCATGCATAGTGTATGTGCAGACCCAAAAATTGTGGTCCAGGAACGCGAGAGTGTGATGCGTCGCTTTTGCCGTAGAGGTTAGTGGCATGGCGGAGGACCTCCTGCGTGAGTTACGGTCAGCCTCCAAGAAGCCCAGTGGCTTGGCCATGTGTGTTTGCAGATCTGGAGGCAAGGGACTTGCAGTCACCGGTGTTGTAGAGTCGTAGTCAAACATCAAGTTGGACAGGTTGATAAAAAAGTACTGCCTATCATATCGGCCTTGGGCTGTGCTCCGTGAAGTGACAACCAGCGCCATTGTGGCGTCGACAGTCAGGACTATCTTGTCAACTCCCTCCTGTGCCTCAGAGGGGCTCATAGGGTACTGTGATGATGGTCTTCTATGCATCCAGGCATGACGCGGCTGGTTGGTCGACGCATCCACCAGCGTCCGGTCAAGGGTCATGCGTTTCGCTTCAGCAGCATCTTGCCAATCAATGACCTCGACGGATGCGAAAGTAAATCCGATTATCTTTGTGGAGTTTTCTGGGAAGTTGAACCACTGGTGTAACGTCACCTGCGGTCTCGAAGAAAGGATTCGCTGTTCGTGAGTGGACCAAATGTTAAGAAAGCAGTCTGTGGCAACCAAGAGAAAACCCCCGGTTGGGCTCAGGAGTATCTGCCTGATCGGATCGGCTTCCCTGTCAGTCATGATTGGCCTTGGACTCTCCGTGGGATCTGAATGGTTCACCTCCTTCACAAAGAGCCTGCGCCACGTGCTCGATGCGGCTGCGACGAACTGGCCGTTGGCGCTCCAGCAAATGTGATCAACGGGCATAAAGGTCTGCAAAAGGTCACACAGAGCATGCCCTTGCCTTGAGAAAAGAGCAACGAGGCCATCGTCATTACCCGATGTGTACGACAGGCTGCCAGGCTCTACTGCAAGTGCTGTGATCGGTTGTAACGTCTCGAAGCTGGTCTCAGAAACGTGAGAAATCAGTGTGCTTTCCCGATTGCTCATAGTGTCGCTAGAGCGGTCCTCTGTCTCCCACATGCGCACAAGAGTGTTAGGCTCCCACACGCTGCAGAAGCATTCTCGAATGTCATAGATTCTGGTGCCGTTCGGGTCGATAGCAAGGCTGGTTACCGGAGCCGAGTACGACAGCTGGTAGACTGGAGTGAAATGAAAGAAATCCCAAATTCTCAAGGTCCCGTCCCGACTGCTTGTAACAAGAAACTTTCCGTCTGGGCTGCACTCCACCCTGCCAATAGACAAGTTTGATTCTTGATAATCGGCGTCGAACGGGTGCCACTTGAAGAGACATCCGTCATTATATATGCCAACGACGTGGCCCGTCATTGGGTTCCAAGTGACGGCTTGAACATCTGAAGTGGTACTTCTCAGTGCTTGATGTCCGTCGACAATCCTCAGACACCTCCCACCAGCTGAGGACGTGGCTCTTCAAGTGACCATATTGTGAGTGGAACTGCACGGTATGTGATTGCAATATGGGAACCTGATGGGTTGAAAGAGGCACATCGTGGAGAGGCTAATTGCTTTCCCTCAAAACTGCCGTCCCCGAGTACATCCTCCAGAACTTGCCAGCCTTCATCAGGCAGATCAAGAGACAGTCTCCGGACGGTGCGGTCATCACAGCACGCAAACAGCGTCTGATCGTTGTTCACAAAAGTCACAGTTTGTATTTTGAGTCGTCGATGGTTGACAGATGAAGACCGCTGTTGCTGTGCAGTGGCAGTGACCCACACGATGGTCTTGGTCATTCCACAAGTCACCATTTTGTCGCCTGCGGCATTGAAGCACCAGGCCAGTACCCTTTCACCGTGATGAAAGCTCCTTGCTTCTTCGCAAGTACTCGCATGGTACAATTGGATTGTGCCATCCGATAGCAATATGGCAAAGTAGCGGTTTGCACATTTGATCTGAAGAGGGGATTTGGAATTGTGCACGGTGAATTTGGCGAGGCAGTCATCCCAACATTTTGTGGACAACCCCGAGACGACCGAAAACCTGGAACTGGCCGTGCGGTCGCCAAATTGCTTGTACATCGCAGATTCTCGCGGACAGAAGGGTGCCACAAGTCTGAAGATGAGCTTTGGCTGCTCGGTAAGATGAGAGCCAAACTTGCCGACCAACCTGATAAGGTCTGTACTCCAGAGATCCACAATCTCTTTGTCCTTGAGGCGGTGGGTGAGCGGATTTCGCTCTTCGTCCAATCGATCGATTCTCTTGAGGAAACTTGTCATCTTTTTTGAAGCCTGGACCAAGAGAGTCTCAGTTGCCCAGCAACTGACAATAGATATATCCAACTGAGAACAGCAGAGCTTTGGAAAAACCGTGCTAGAGTAACAAGGGATTCCTGGTCAGAAACTTCTGACGCCTCTGAACTCTGTTCCAGGTGGAATGGCCACGAGGTTGCCGCATACAACAAGAACGCTTGGGCCTTGATCTGTCCTGATTGCACTTTTGAGCTCGCGCTGGCTAGCTCCCTTATGCAATTCGAGAAAATGATCCGATGCGAAGAGCCACGAGGAATGTGGTAGTTCAGATCAGAATTCTGTGTTAGATAGTCCCGGGCAGACCAATGTACCATTGACACCACACCCTTGCTGTCTGTGAGCACGAAGTCTCCACAAACACGATTGATTGTGTATCTGAGGTCGAGGATATTGGTGTACTCCGGTCGTAAAGCTTCAGCCAGGTCTAGCAGAGTCAGGGGGTGTCTCGAACAAGTGATCCACATCATAATGGTTTTTCCCATCATCCGATCTGATGGTCGGCAATTCTTCGCCAGCTTTGTATCCATGCGCTCGTACAGGGATTCTAGCTCGTCGGGTACTTCCTCTAGGGCCTTGAATACTTCGTCTTCTGTGTGATACTGCAGTACCTCAGCCAAAACCAGGTTCGCCCACAGGAAATTTCCATCGGCCTTGCGCGCCAGCTTATCTGCAACCTCGTACTTGAAATCTTCATCGCCACGCATAGTTGCCATTTCCTCCTCGGCGTACATTCGGAGGTCGTCAGCCATCTTTTCAAGCAAGTGATGATGAGTCCGTATTCTCTTGGACAGTTTGTCAAAGGCTGACGAGAGATTTTGGGGACTGCGGCTGAAGACCATAAGTCGTATGGGAGCCAGAAACAAATGCAGATCCTCTAAGAGTTTCAACAACATAGCTGCCGAATCACATTCGTCCAATCCGTCAATTATTATAAACAGGGGCCGACTCAACTTGACTTGAAAAAGGGTGGAAGTGAAGAGCTTTTGCCACACGAGTCGAGGGGCTGACTTTTGGGCATTGAAGCCGTCGTCAAAGAGACGCAAGAGGCGCCGGCGATATTCTGGTAGGATAGCAGCAATCTGGTGAGACAAGGACAAAAGTAAGGTGTTAATGTTGTTCTTGATGTGGTCTCCGAACCGGAAAAAGTAATACGCCACCCCAAAGTCACTCTCATTTGCAGACTGGATGATGGATGATGCGAGCACAGACTTTTCCGATCCTGGCCGGCCGGTACACCAAATGCAACGTGGTTGTTCTGCCTCATCCTTGAAAAACGAGGCAAAAAGAGGGTCTTCGTGGGTCCAGTCACAAGAACCAGCCATCCTTCTATTTGCGAAGAAAATGAGATCGTCCACTGGATCCTGTACGGGCCCCAAAGCCGAAGCAATCTCGTGAAGTTCATCTACAGAGCCGACGTCCACTTGTGCCGGATCTTTCCCGCCAAATTTATCGACTAGGTATTTGAGGATGTTGCGAACACTGATATAATTCGGATCCCGTTGGCTTGTATATTTGCACACGTCGTGGTGGTCTGCATCGAGGGGTTTTGAAATCTCCCCAGGATAGCCGAGAATAGAGGAGTCCTTCTGGAGCACCATGACCCGAGATAACCCGATCGCTGTCTTCAGGGTCTCGAAGAAGGAGACGATTGACAAGCGCGAAGCCAGATTTCGGAACTGTTCATTGATTTCCTGGAGGGTTTGCGAGTTCTTTGCAAGTTCAGACACAAACTCCCGTGAAGAGAGACCTATGCACACGGAAAGGATCCTGTTCAAAGATTCAGCAAGATCCGAGCCACGATGTGGTGTTGAGAGGAAGACGATGGCCGACACTGCCTGAATGAGGTCGTGGTAATGCTCGTCATGCTGGCCCAAAATGAAGGCCTTCTTCGCTACCAGACCCCCCATGGAGTGGGCCACGAATATGATGGGTACTGTTCCTATGTTAAGATTGCGCTCCCCGTTTCCAACAGCAAATTTCAAACTGAAGAGCAAATCCTTGGCAAAGTCGGAGACGTTGAGAATATTCTCGTTCCCATGCGACAGGGAGGAAAAATGCGCATTGTAGCCAAAGGTCATAACACGGGTAGACGAAAGATCTTGCTCATAGGGAAGCCACTCACGGGGCCAGAAGAGCTGCAAATCGCGGTTGCTGCACCAGGTATGGCGGCTTGTGCCCCCCAGACCATGAATAAAAACAATGTCGACTGACGGGGAGGACTCTGGTTCATGGAGGACTGTCAGGCCAAGAGGATCTGCACGACGTTCATTTGATCGTTGCTTTTGCCTAGCCTCGGTGGCCTGGGAGCGTCCCAAACGAAGTGGTAGATCTAAGCCAGAGAGATGGCTTCTGTGCGTATCCGAATGGTTCAGTGGCCATCCAGACCCCTTGTCATTGCCGACATCGTCCTTGGCCCTTGCAGCTCGTTCTTCAGGATCGGCCAAAGATGTTGGCGAGCCAGGTCGCTCTTGTCTACGAAACCTGGAGATCTGTATTTGACCAGTTAGGGGAGCCTTACCAATATAACCAGGCATACCTACCATTGGAGTAGCCTTATATCAGACAATGTCACACAGCTACTCTGCTTTGGATCGGCATTGCCTGTTCGCAAAGGCGAGGGCGGGACACAGGGCGTTTGACGGCAAATCGAGCAACAGCTACAGCCTGAAGCACGTATAGTATGGGTCTCTCGACCAGGAGGTCGCTTCTGTCAGCCTGTATCTCACTCAGGAAGAAGGTAGTAGATTAGCGAGGGTAGGCATAACCAATGACTGCATCAGGGTGGTTGACTGAATGATGTGGTATAAGTGAAAAGACAAACCCGAGAAAGATTGAGGAGCTAGCAGTCATACTAGGACTTCAAAATGGAGGGGCAAACTGCAGCGGCATCTCTTTGTCGTGGGCTGGCAGCGCGGCTATGAAGATAGGGCTTCGTCCTCAGACGTCGACCACGCATGGACGTAAAGCTGCCTCATATCTTTCCGTGCCGATTCAAACAAAGAAAGGCTAGGCGTAATCTCCAACCTGACCACGTCCATCGGTCTGTGCCGATATTTGGCGCCTCACCCCTCCTCTGCTCGAGGCTAGTAGTTGGCAAGGACTATTAATAGTGAAGAGGGTAAAGAAAATTGGTCTGGGTGTCTGGGTGTCTGGCTTGTAGTGGCTGTGGCCTAACGAGACACGCACGAGACAGAATCCGGTCGATTCGGCAGCCAAGACCGCCAAGCTCTCGTTAGGACACAAGGAGTCACAACCCACGCACCATCTACCGCACACATACCCGTACTTGTATCTGTAATATATTTTCTCCTTAGTCAGACGACGATCCTTATTACCATCAGTAGTTCATTGATGCTCACTGCTAGGTATTACTCGGTCAGACACACTTATCCCACTTAGCAACCTACACGCTCTTACTTGTACACCTGCTCACCAACATGTAACGCGCCTCCTCTTTCACCACCTCGCTTGCTACCGATTGGAGATTGGTCCATGCCTCAGGGCGACCGCAGGTTGTGCGACGTGGGGGTGGACCTCGGAGCTGCTTTGAAACACAGGCCCTGATGTCGCCTGCACTTCATAATTGGTACGCTCTCGCCAAGCATGGGATCCTCAGCTGGTCTGCGAATTGATCCAGCGCCTGGGGTACAACATCTGATCCGGCACCGCGAGCCAGGCAAAGATAAAAAGGTCAGCAGCTCCCAAGACATGCTTCTTCCCCAGCAAAGATGAGCGAGACAAGCACTTTGGTTGAAGTCGTCCCGGTCGGGGGAGGGACTATGTTTCTTGATGAGAATGTCGTCCAAGGTCCGCAAATGCTCAATCGTCGCGCGCTCTAAAGAGAGAGCCACTCGTTTGCTGACCAAAGCCAGTCTTCCCCACCGGATCTGTTGTGGTTGAGGCCATCAGCTATGGCACCGCTGCATGGACTCGGGCATCCCGCATCACTATAGAGCTTGTCAGTGGAGAACAGAAGTCGTATTTTCTCAAGGTGAACAAGATCTCCTTCCAAGCGCGGTATTGCTTTTCTGCTTACAGGGCAATTTTCGCAGTGCGCAATCGAGGATCACGGAAAAGAGATGATGGAAGGAGAGTACTCCTCAATGATGGAAATCTACTCGTACATGCCTGATCTTGTTCCGAGGCCCATTGCCTGGGGCAAATTCAAGATGCCATACCCAGACACATATTTCTTCCTTATGGAATTCATCGACTTGGGCACTGAGATGGTTGAACCGGAGGACTTCTGTCGCCTCATTGCGCAGCTTCATCAAATCAGTACATCTCCGACGGGAAAGTTCGGCTTCTTTCAAACCACTCACCACGGACCTAACCCACAGAACAACATCTGGGAAAGCAATTGGTGCACCTATTTCACGAGGCTGCTGACTCAATTCCACGATCGCGAGATCAGGCAGAACGGGTCGCAGCCAGAATACGAAGCTGCCTATCGGACTCTTGTTTCTGTCGTTATCCCACAGCTGCTTGAGCCTCTCCAATCTAATGGCCAAGTCTTGAAACCTTGCCTTATACATGGAGACCTATGGGAAGAGAATACCGGCATCAATCTTGGCACCGGCCTATCTGTCGTGTTTGATGCCAGTGTCATGTACGCCCATAACGAAATGGAGCTGGGTATGTGGCGAGCCGACATCATTCGTTTCGGAAAGCCATTCTATCGTCAGTATCTTAGGCACATGCCTCCTAGTGAACCGAGCGAACAATTTGACGACCGCGACCGATTGTACAGCATCAAATTCAAAATCGCCCACTGTTTAGGGTGGCCAGATTCTGCTCCTAGCCACCGCCAGCTGTAAGTCTGGTGCCTAAATAGGGATCCTACGTCCGGCGTGGCTGACATTGATTCAGTATATTGAGTGACATGCTCTATTTGATCGACAAATATCCGGCGAAACCGTGACGAGTTTTTATGGGTATGTTGGATGGTTGTCTTGCGAGATTTTGAATAGATGCCGGATTTTGATGACAGCGTGAAGCTTGACTGTTTTTCAAATCATCTAAGATTGCGCCGTTCGGTTTTAGATGGTATATAGTTGATCATCCTATAGTAAGTGAGTCCCGCAATAAACGGCTGCTCTGATTGTCTTTGGATGACCCTTGAGAAAGCACCTATCACATGAAATTCCTGGTTCTCCTAAGAGTCAAGCCTTTCTTATACACTAGGGTCGCAGGCTCCCCTCAAACCTTATCAGTCAAGCCTATTTGCAAGCTCATTAGTCCTTTCCCACCTTGGATATACATACACTTTCTTTCCACTTGGTGCTGTCGTTGCACCGAGTCGCCACCCTTCAAAGCAAATACATGTCGGATAACTTGCTACAACTCTCAGGTCTGCAAACTGACAAGTACTCAAGCGTCCCAGATGACACCCCGCAAGCCAGCAACAATGACAGCCAGCTTATAGTTGCTGAGGTGTACTCAATTTGGACGACACCACAAAAACTGGCCATCGTGCTCCTTGTAGCGTTTGCCTCGTGCTTCTCTCCGCTGAGCAGCTTCATCTACTATCCCGCTCTTACAGCGATAGCGAAGGATCTGCAAACTACTCTAACCAAGGTCAATTTGACCATCACCTCCTACATGATTGTGTCCGGCGTGGCCCCTACGCTATTTGGCGGCATGGCGGATCAAATGGGAAGACGACCGGTTTACCTCCTCATGTTTACCCTGTACGTTCTTGCCAACGTGGGCCTTGGTTCGCAAAATGCCTATCCTGCTCTTCTGGTGCTCCGCATGCTCCAGAGCGCAGGCGGTTCTGCAACCATCAGTCTTGGATATGGCGTTGTTGGTGATGTGAGTGAGTATTTCTTCTCTTTCTTTGGGAAGGACCGTCTCACCTCTGGATCCAGTCATTGCCACCTTCTCTGCCACGACAACGAGGATCTAACAATGATGCTCAGATCACAGAGTCTTCCGAGCGTGCATCATATATGGGCATTCTAGGGTGCGGCCCAAATGTTGCACCAGGTCTTGGGCCTGTGCTCGGCGGCGTCCTTGCTGAGAGGGCGGGATGGCGCTGGATTTTCTGGTTTCTGGCGATTTCTGGCGCTCTCAGCCTCGTGCTCATCGCCACCCTGCTGCCAGAAACAGCGCGTAACATTGCCGGGAATGGTTCGCGTCCAGTCCCTGTCCTGAACAAGAGCCTTTTACTTCTGTGGCGACAGCACAGGCACAAGAAGGCCAACCTGACGCTGGAAGACTCTCGCGCAGCTACAACAGAAGCTGTCTCCCGCATAGCGAGCTTGAGGATACCGAATCCTCTTGGAAGCGTGCGCATATTCCTGCAGAAAGAAAGTGCACCCATCATCCTCATCAATGGAGTTTTCTATAGCGCGTACTGCTGTCTGCAGGCATCCTTGTCATCTCTCTTCATCACCATCTACGGGTACAAAGAGATAGAAGCTGGCCTGATATACCTGCCATTCGGGGCGGGCTGTTTCCTTGCATCGCTACTCTCGAGTACGTTTGATGCTCCCATCCCTGTTCCCGTTCTGGTCGCTGTTTCTGTATCAAAATCATTAACTCGGCCTTCCGCCTGCTCAAGGAAACATTCTCACTCACGACTATCGAAGCTTCGCTATCCGCCACGATCTCCCGACCTCCAGTGCCGAAACATCAGAGTCCCAGAGACTGAGATTCCCTATCTTCCCCGCCCGCCTCCGAAGCATGTCTTACCTACTTCCGCTTTCCCTGCTCACGCTCCTCGCCTACGGCTGGGTTCTCGAATACCATTTACACCCGTCGATTCCTCTGGTCCTGCAATTCTTCACCGGTGGCGCCATGACTGTCATATTCAACGCTTGCGGGACGCTGCTCGTCGACCTCCACCCGTCCTATCCCTCAACCGCTCAAGCCGCCCTGAACCTGCTCCGCTGTGCCTTTGCCGCAGGTGAACTGGCTGCCCTGCAACCGCTCATTGACGCCGTCGGTCCGGGATGGTGCTACACCGTGATCGCTGTATTCACTGGATGTGTTTCCGGTATCTGCGTCGTTGTTGGCTGGGTGTGGGGCGAAGCCTGGAGAAGACAGAGACAGAGACATGAACATGAACACGATAGACAAGACACCGCCGTTAGCGAACCAGCCTGAGCTTTTTCAAGTAGCCTCCTCAACTGCACAGATATGTTATGTTGGGCAGCTCAAGAAAGAACCAAATAAGCCAGCAAGCGGCAGTTGAATCAGCCAAAAGTTTTGTCTTTGACACTTTTATTGTGTTGCAGAGTTGCCTGATGCAGAGCAGTGTTCTCAAGCTTGGAAAAGCCATACCGAGCAATAAATGTTTGTTGAGATACCCATTCGCAATTACAATTGCAATTGCACCAGAAACATCGGCGCACTTGATCAATTGTGCGTACGTCTAGTCCAACCCTCTCCTTCACGGATCGTTATTGTAAAATTCCATCGCTTGAACGCATCACAGATAGCCCCCGTCTATTTGATCTATATCTATACTCTATGTCTATATTCGTCTTTGCCATGAATCGTTACCCTCTTGCCCAAAGAAGGAAATCCTAACACTCAAAGTCCCACATGTCCAGCAACTTGTCCATACCGTCCTCTTGCCCGGTAGCGTCATCTTCGCTGTCCTCGGCGGCGGCGAAAATCTTCTTGGGGATCTTGTACTCCACCACAGGTGGTTTCTTCTCCTTCTTCTTGAATTCACTCTCGAGCAGGGTAGCGTAACCGTGGTCAAGAAAATCCTCGAGGTTGTACTGCTGTTTTGTGAACTGCTCGGATATGATCCGGGCAATGCTCGCTACTGTGGGGTGGTAGTGTGACTGGCAGGTCTCCAGTTCCCACAGGGAGGAGTCGATGGCATTGGTGAGCTGTGGATTCGGTTCGTTCGGGTCGAACGGGTCGTTGCCCAGGTTGTGTTTGAACTTGGTGTAGGGAGGGTATGGATTGCGGTGGATCATGAAGGTCGTGGTGGGGTGCTGTTTGAGAAGGTTGTAGATGAAGGGGATTATGGCCACGATGCCGGATGGAGGGGCAAAGAGACAGAGACGCGAGAGGCGCTTGATGAAACTGGCAATGGTTGCTGCCGGCAAGTGGTTTGTCGGAGACAGGAAGATATCGAGGTGCCGCAGCACCCGACTGCGGTATTTGCTGTGTAGCAGATCTCGGTCAAGAAGGGCATACAGTCGAGGGTAGAAGGAGGGGTAGTCGAGGTTCTTTGTGGTGATGAGGTGGAAGAGGCCCGTGAGCGCCGGCACCGCGAGACTCAGGTCTCTCATGTCAAGACTGTCGGTGAAGAAATCCATGAGAATTTCAGGACGGCGGAGGCTGTCGATGGCCTCGGGCGATTGAAGCTGCTTGAGCAATTGCTTCCGCTGTGGTACCGTCATAGGAGCAGCAATTTGGGCCGCGTACGAGTCCGTGGCCGTTGACGAAGGCATGGTGGGCAGAGGCTGCTGAACAAAAGCGAAAGTGAATGAGAGCGATGGAGAACAGATGCCCTCGAAATGAAAGATGTGAAAAATCACCACCCCTCCGTGCTTAATGCGGCCGTTCTGCCCTTGTCCTCACTCTCCCAATGTGTGTGTTAACATGCGGTGACATGCGGCATTGCGGTTCCCTGGCCCCAGCCCCTCTTCGCCTCGAAACATTTTTTGATGGCGCCAATTTATTGCCAAGAACTAGTCCACACACGGACTAGCGCAATCAGACCTCAATTGCAAGCTCTCGTCGCCGTGCGCCGGACCACCAAACTTCTAACGTCAGGAGCTTTCAGGTCGACTGTTCAGGCAACAAACACCACAACAATGGCGTCTAGACTGGCGAGGAGTGCTGCTGGTAAGTCACGCACATGCACTGGAGCTCGACATGGTCCAAAGCAGAGCTGACATCAAAATTCTAGGAGCTAGCAAACTCCGCGCATCGACTTCTCTCCCAATCCGTGCCCTTCCAACCCTCACTGCCAGCACGCCCTTGACCTCGATCCGTCATCAATCCTCCTCGAACGTGCCCTCGCAAGATCCGAAAAAGACAGCTCAATCCATCGTCGATGCTCTCCCAGGGTCTTCCCTCGCCAGCAAAACCGCCATTCTCTCCGCAGGCGCTGGAATCTCAGTCTGGGCAATCAGCAATGAGCTCTACGTCGTAAACGAGGAGAGCGTCATCGCTTTCTGTCTGCTGTCCGTCTTCTACGGCATCTTTAAATACACCGGCCCCATGTACAAGGACTGGGCGGATGGCCAAGTGCAGAAAATCAAGGATTTGTTGAATGAGGCGAGAACGAACCATGCCAGTGCCATTAAAGAGCGGATTGAGGATGTCAAGCCTTTGAACAATGTGGTCGAGATTACGAAGCAGCTGTTTGATGTTTCCAAGGTAAGGCATCGAAACCCGAGATCCACTTCCCCTTGCCCATATACAGTGGTTGATGGTTCATTTCTAGGAAACTGCAAGACTCGAAGCTCAGGCTTTCGAACTCGAGCAAAAAACCGCTCTGGCTGCCGAAGCCAAGAACGTTCTCGACAGCTGGGTCCGTTATGAGGGCCAGGTCAAACAACGACAACAGAAGGAGTTGGCCGACAGCATTATCGCCAAGGTTACCAAGGAGCTCGAGAATCCCAAGGTTTTGCAGCAGATTTTGAACCAGTCGGTGGCGGATGTTGAGAGGTTGGTGGCTAGCAAGAGCCAGTAGACGAGGAGCCCAGATTGTTGACGATGCGAGGTGGTACGTTTCCAAGAGTGCCTTGGAAGGGGGACGCGGTGCACTGGCATTCAAATGTTGTACATAAAATACCTCTCTTTAGAAGTCTGGAGGAAAAGAGCACATCAATTTCACCCGTCTATCTATCATAGCCGTCGGTCCAAGTCCAAGTCTGAACAGTCAAGTCACCTTCCAACGCCTCGCTGGACGGTATCAAACAACTAAGTACTTCTCTGTCACTTCTCTAGCCATCTCCGAATTCCCGTTCAGAGCATACATCGTCTGAATGGCATACGCCGCTTCCATCGTAAAGTCCTTGTGTTTCGTTTCTGTGTTTGCTTCGCTCTCCGCACGTGCTGTAGTGGCAGTGGCTTCAGTGGCTGAGAGCGGATCAGAAGGGACTGTGAGGGATAGCATCTTCTCGTATGCCCGCACGGCGAGATCCGACAGGCCCAGCATGTGCCAGCATCTTGCGCGGTTGAACGCTAACTCTCGCTCAATCAGCAGCTCCAGGCCGTTCATGTCCTGTGCGGTCACATGGTCTGCGTCACCATCACTGTTCTGGTGTTCTTGCAACAGCTTTCGCGCCCACCGTCTCCTCGCATCGGCATAGTCCTCAAAGAATGCCCAGCCCTGCAGCAACCACATGTGGCGGTTCTCGCTGTGCTTTCTGAGCGTCTCGTGCATATAGCTCAGTGAAATACTGAGGAATAACGAGGGGTTTTCAGGACTGAGAGAAAGGGCACGAAAAAAATATGACAGGGCACTAGAGAAGTCACCGCCTGCGTACAGCACATGGCCGTACAACGTTAGAAGATCGACACTCATTTCCTTCAACTTTGTGATATCTTGATGTTGATTCTGCTGGCTCTGCACGACATTTGGGTGAGAACGAGGCGATCCTTCAGCGTCGTCCCTGTTGTGCGAAGGGAAATCCGTCCTACCCTGCCGCATGAACTCCGGCACCGCTCCATAACCTTCTGGTTGATAATCAATCGGCAAGTTTGCGTCCATTTGCACAATTTGTTTGAAAAGGAATTGTTGCGAGGCGCGGTTGCGAAAGACGGCACCGGGCCGAGCGAAGACCATGTTCATGGCAGCAAAGAGACGATATACGTCAGAGTTAAATTGAAATGTTCGCAGAAACCATCGTAGCACAATGTTGGACAAGGCCTTGTCATCTTGTAAGGCAAGAGTGCAAGCGAGATATGTGATATAGATATGCAGGAGCGCTTGTTGGTCTTGGTTCCAAACCACACAATCCAATGCAGCATTGATAATGGTGTAGCAGCGATACTGGGCGTCTGCCTCGGGGGATCGAGCCAGGAGGAGAGCATACTCGAGAAAAACATCCAGCCAGTTTGAAAAGGCGATTTCACGATATTCAGTAGTCATGGACGATTCGACGGTAGGGATGGGGAAATCTTGATCCACTTCGACGACGTCTTGTCCATTTCCTTGCTCTCTCTCCCATCTTTGGCGTGAGCCAGCATTGGGAGATTCCCGGTAAATGCCGTCCGAGGAATGATTTTTCTCCTTGGAGTAAAACAGGCGGTTGCTTCGGAAATCCGTGATGAGGGAGTCAGCACAGTCCATCCAGGTATTCCTTGCTATTTCGTCGCCGGCCCTCATGGCTTCTGAGTTGTAGACCAGCTCGCTGTAGAGTCTGTTGATCGTTTCTGTTCGGTGGGTCTCTCTTTCTTCTGCATTCATTCGTTTCGTCCTGGTTTTGGCTTGCGCCCGTGACCGTGGTGGCTCCCGATCCTTTCTCCTGCGTGCCACATTCTGGGCCGTCTGTCTGGCGATCTCACCGTCCATTGTTGGCAGCATTGCGGGCCTGGTTTGACCAAGTTGAAACTCCTCGCGTAACTCCTCGTATTCATCTTCCGTCCCTTCTGTCTCTTGATAGTTTGTCCCTTCTGTTAGCATCGATAGTGCCTTTCGGGTCCTGTACGTCCTCTTCTTTTTGTGGAGTTTGTTCTCGATACGATCAACTGGTGTGCCACCAACAGCCTCGCCAGGAAGGTTGAATGCTTCCTTGAGAGCCTTCTCTGCTTCCTCACGAGCCAGACGTTGTTCTTTGCGCTCGTATTTGCGTCGTTCAGTCTTAGGAAGTAGGCTGTCAGCCACACGAACAGCTTCACGAGCATTCTCCATTGCCTTTTCTTTGTCACCAAATTCGGCGTAGAGCCTCGAAAGGTGCGTCCGTGCTTCGACACATTTTTCATCTCCAGCCTTGGCCTCTTCATAGCACTCGACTGCCTGTAGCTTGTCGCCGCAGACATAGGAGGTGGCTGCGATACCCAACCAAAACTCTGTGTGTGAATATGCGTTGGTGTCCTTCAGAGCCTCATAATAACGCAGTGCCTGGTCGTATTCTTGGGCTTCCTGCAGGGCTTGGGCAACCTCTAGGAATATATCTGGGTAATCATACACAATTGCGCCCTGATCCCTGGCTTCCGGTTCAAGCCATTCAAAATGTGCCAGGGCCTCGTCCAAGGCATTCTGGCCCTGCTTGAGACGGAGGATCCCTAATCTAGCTCTCAGTTCCAAGGGAAGTCCTAGACCATAAGCGTCCGGAGAATATTTGCCGGGTATAAACTCAGGCACCAACACTCGTCGCGGTTCATCTTCTGAGTCAAACTCTCGGTCGTCATCAGTAAAATAATCCCAGTAGACCTCTTGTTCTCGCCCTAAAAGCCACCTCGATAACTGCTTGAGAGATCTTAAAGCATTCGTGATAGCTACATCAGGAGGTTCTTCCAGAGAAAGGATTTGCGCGTAGACCAGAATGTCGGCCCAGGTGAATGACTCCTGGCCCTCAAATCCATTTTCCCGGTAGTAACTCAGGGTGTCCTCGTAGAATTGTTTCGCTCTTTCGAGATCCCTTGTTTCAATGCATATTTCGGCAATCTGTCTCAAGACGCTAGAATTCCGAGGCATCCGTTCCAGGATAGCTTCCAGGTCTTTCAAAGCTTTATTGTAATTTGACAGCTCTCTGCTGACGGCTGCTCGTTGAAAGCGGGCTTCCAGGTGGTTCCGGTCTGTGTGGATGATTCGTGCATAGCAGTAACTGGCTTGCTGCAAGGCAGTCTCTCGCTTCCCCTTGGACCTTTGGAGACAGGCGTTAGCCGCTTGAATCCATACTTCCGGATCTGTTGGTATAGTGTGTGCACCGCTAAAAAGTGCAGCAATGGCCTTTTCGTCTTCGTCCCGAGAGAAGTATATCTCGGAGAGTAGGGCATGAGCAGAATAGATTTCTGGATTAATCGCAATAGCCTGCAAGACTAGGTCAAGCGCTTTGTCACTGTCTCGATCATCAATGAAGGCCGTCGTAGCCTGGCCATAGAGTTCGTTGAATTCCGGCCCAGGGTCGATCGCTGCCCGTGGGCCAATTTTCATCCCTTTGCTCCAACCACCCCGAGGACCCGTCCCCTTCTTGCGTCGCTTCCTGGGCTGGTTACCTGACGATGCCAACTTCGGTCGACCTCGCTTCCGTGTTGTAGAGATAGGTGGGCCATCTGCGACCAAGTCCGAAGGTAGTCCGGGGATGTCGTAATCGTCAACAGAAGTATCACTATCTTCTTCGACAGGGGACCGCCTCGTGCCCAGCAGTTGCTCTTCACTCTGACTCGATCGCCCATCATGAGAGATGCCCGGATGGTGCAGCTTGGTGGCGGGGAACGGAATGTAGCCTTCAGCGTTATCCTGAGGTCTGTGGGCTGAAAACGGAGACGCATGCTGCGGCTGATCCAGAGACAGCTGGGGATAAGAGGGGGGATTTAGCACGTATGAATCAGATGCGAGAAGTGGCTGAGAGAATGCAAAGCTGTCCTCGGACCGTGACGCCGGGTGCGGCAGAAAGGATGCATGCTCGTGGAAAACAACTCGTCTTGCAGACAAGGTCTGGTGCAGTAACGTTGACCTATGCAGCGAGCCGGGTGCGGGTGGATGGTGAGGCCATTCTCGAAGAGGGCTCACAGGGCCAAGAGGCAGCATTCCATCTGGTCCGACTGAAGGGTTGACAGTCGTCGTGTAGTGAGGAGTAGACGAGGAGCCATCACCTGTCGCATGTGACGACCCCTGAAGGCTCAAGTTGTTCATCTCGCATGGCTATGCATCTGTCATCAGCCTTGTGTGGATCTGGCGACGCGTAGGTTTGGTGGTGTTTGGGATTGTCAAACTTTTTTGCGGCAGTAAAAGCAGAGACTCCGTTGGATAGTCTCAGTTAACCCGATCGGGCAATTTACTCCGAGGTGTGCGAGACGAGCAAAAGAACGAGCAAGGATGAGTAAGACAAACAAGGGTTGGCACCATTGGAAGATTGAAGCCGACCAACCCATGGTACGCAGGAGAGACTCTAGGAACTTCTACTGTTGCTACCAACCACCGCTACCAGGGGCCCTTCACTTGTCACATTTTCCACATTCGGGGCCACCCAATTGATCTGCACATACACATCGCCCAAGACGGCGAAGAACAAGGACTCTCGCCAGGACTTATGAATAGCCGTATCTATAACGAAAAGTGGCCGGGTGGGGGGGTCTCGGATGGTGCTCTGCAGTTCTCTTCTGCACATCCGATGCCTTCTCGACCGGCCCCTCTTCAGCATTATCATCATAGTTACGTGAACCCCACCTCAAAGAAGGCCGCTCGCTCACTTGAAAAACAACAGCCTCCCCACACCCGGCATGTTGAAGGCTTCTCCTTTCTGACATTTCCGTGTTTCCTCTACACTCTCATTGTGGACTGCAGCCTTTGTTGAAACCAGCTTTCTCCGACCCAATCCATCAAAATGCCTGCCGACACTGTTGGAAAGGTGATGTCCAATGCTCCAAGATCCCCATGGGTTCATGTGCTGACTCTTCCCGTTGCCAGACTATTACTTGCAAGGTAAACACTGGCCTTCTTCTCCCGTCTCCCCCGACCAGAGAATTCCTAACTCTGTCCAGGCTGCCGTTGCCTGGGAGGCTGGCAAGGACCTTTCCATCGAAGACGTTGAAGTTGCTCCACCCAAAGCCCACGAAGTCCGCATCCAGATCTACTACACGGGAGTTTGTCACACAGGTATGCTGCACCTGCTGCGGGTAAGAATCGGGAACTGAAAGAGATGCCAGATGCGTATACCCTTTCCGGGAAGGACCCGGAGGGCGCGTTCCCTGTCGTTCTGGGACACGAGGGCGCAGGTATCGTCGAATCAGTGGGTGAAGGTGTCACATCCGTGAAGCCTGGGGATCATGTTGTTGCGCTCTAGTACGTCCAGCTCCTCTCCTGCGCCGTCCAACATGAAACTTACCTCTGGCAGCACCCCGGAATGTAAAGAATGCAAATTCTGCATATCCGGCAAGACCAATTTGTGCGGGAAGATCCGGGCTACACAGGGCAGAGGTGTGATGCCAGACGGTACCTCGAGGTTCAAGTGCAAAGGCAAAGACCTTCTGCATTTCATGGGCACTTCAACTTTCTCCCAGTACACGGTCGTCGCCGACATTTCCGTCGTGGCTATCACCGATAAGGCTCCGATGGACCGCACATGCTTGCTTGGCTGTGGCATCACCACCGGCTACGGGGCAGCAGTGATCACCGCCAACGTGGAGAAGGGCTCCAACGTTGCTATTTTTGGCGCTGGCTGTGTTGGTCTTTCCGTCATCCAAGGTGCCGTTAAGAACCAAGCGGGCAAGATTATTGTGGTGGACGTCAATGACAAGAAGAAAGAATGGGCTGAGAAGTTTGGCGCCACAGACTTTGTCAACCCAACCCAGCTGAACGGCCAGACCATCCAGGAGAAGTTGATTGAAATGACAGATGGTGGGTGCGACTACACCTTTGATTGCACTGGAAACGTCCAAGTCATGAGAGCTGCTCTCGAAGCATGCCACAAGGGCTGGGGCCAATCCATCATCATTGGTGTTGCCCCTGCCGGCGCTGAAATCTCCACGAGACCCTTCCAACTGGTCACGGTAGGTTCTCATTCTCTTGCGCATGCTGAGAAGCTGCGCGGCATTGGCACAAATAGACTGACAAACCTTTCCAGGGCCGTGTCTGGCGAGGCTGTGCATTTGGCGGCGTCAAAGGTCGCACTCAACTTCCAGGACTTGTTCAAGATTACATGGATGGAAAACTCAAAGTCAAGTAAGTGCCCTCGAACCCCTCGGTCCGCGTCTGTTCATCTCTGACCGCTTGCACAGCGAGTTCATTACGCACCGCCAGCCTCTTGACAAAATCAACGATGCGTTCCATGACATGCATGCTGGAGACTGCATCCGATGTGTAGTGGACATGGGCGCAAAACAAGGGTGACTACACTCGGGGGAAAGCAAACTTTGAACTGTGATGAAATGAAATTTCAAGAAGCCTACATGTAGTCCGCGTCGCGGTTCCGATGGTGGACGAGAGATGCTCAGTATTGATGGCGCCGGGGATACGAAAAGAAAATACCTTCTCATGTATCTTGAGGATCGAACATAGCAGACCTGCCTTCTTTCAACCAAATCAAGTCAAAACAAATCAAGTCAAAACAAGCCCAGTATTGCTGTCTGTTGGTCCTCGGACAGCTCACTATCACCACACCACATGAGGTTGTTCCCCGCATCACCGATCAGATGGCAGTACTCATCAAGTGTGTCTCTTCTCCTCTCACCGATACGTGCCACCACTCCCGAGCAACCACATGCAAGACATTCCTTCTTCCGAAGCAGAGGTTGCGTGCTTGAATGCCAAGGCAGATCTCCGAGTGCTTGCACTTGTAACTTCGGCATTTGAAAATCCGCAGTCATGACCGGCAAATCGAACATAGAAAAACCAAACGGAGCAAAGGACTGGGCGCGAGAGCCACCCCTGATGGTGGCCTGTCGGTCTCTCGGTGTCTCGGTCCGAAAGAAACCTGGACCAGTGAGCGCACGTGGCAGATATTTCCCGAGAGCTTTAATACTTATAAGTACCTAGTTAGATGCCGGTGTGAGGCTTGATTATAGTTTGGTGGTTGCGCAAGAACTCCGGCACCCCCGAGGAAACCCCTTCGTGCCCCTTTGGACTGCCCCCCAATCATTCGATGGCCTTTCAAGCATGCCTAAAACTTCCTTCCATGCTCTGGATTCCAGGAGTGGCTGACCCGCTACAGCGACCATTTGGCGGTCTGGAATGCGCACGGGGCCTTTCAAGTCAAAACAATGAATCTTAGAAAGCCGGCGTTTATTGACCCTGTCTTCTATCCCCGAGCTCTTCAAACACGTCTACATCTTACACCTTCAGTGTCACTTCTAAGCTACCATCACTCGCCGTCTTTCTCTCCTGCTCATGGTCAATCAAACATGGCCCAATAGCGCTCAACCCTCATCGGCAATATTTGGTTGATTTTGAGGTCATCGCCTTACCACCATTAATGTCGCCGTCATCTTGACTAGCCGCCGCTTTCACAAAGCCCCGTTGTTTCCTTGTATTCCCCCTCAAATTTAGAAACTCGTCCGTTACCGAGGCCAGACGACATTTCAAGATGCGGCGTCATGTTCCCGATCACCAACAGCTCACAGCGCCGCTACTGAGCAAGGATTTGGCCCAGCCGATGAATGAGCGATCCGAATATGGAACTCAAGGTCCAAATCAAACCATCGCCTTGGATTTTCCTCCGGGTTTGTCCTTGTATCCTGTGCATCGGCATGGCTTCTGATAGTCAACAGCAAGCTGGACATGGGCCAAACCATACAGTGGCAAGCAGTCTCTGCCTCAAACCATCGCACATAGAGGCTTCAAGGCCGAACACCCTGAAAACACCCTGGACTCTTTCAAAGGTGCCGTGCAAGTTGGTGCCCATGCACTCGAGACTGACATTCATTTGTCCAAGGACAATGTGGTTGTTCTCTCTCACGACGCAGATCTGAAGCGGTGCTTTGGCGAGAAAGAAAAAATAATCGACTGTGACTGGGACTATTTGAGTACCCTTCGCACGACCAAGGCCCCTCACGTACCTATGCCACGTCTCCGAGACTTACTTGAATACGTTGCGCAGCCGGGCATGGAGCATATTTGGCTGTTGCTCGATATCAAATTGGACAACAACTCGGACGATGTAATGAGACTGATAGCACAAACCCTGGCGTCGGTGGATCCTGGTCAACAGGCCTGGAAGGAAAGGGTGGTTCTCGGCATCTGGGCTGCCAAATTCCTGCCTCTATGCATGAAATATTGCCCAGGATACCCGATATCACACATTGGATTCTCGACCATCTACGCCAGGCAGTTCCTGAAGGTCCCGAATGTGTCGTTCAACATGCTACAGAAGAGCCTTTTTGGTCCTTTGGGTGCCCGATTTATGAGCGATGTACACAAAGCCAATCGCCCGCTCTATGCTTGGACGTAAGTTTTCGCAGACATGCCCAAAGCCACGACCTCTGCTTGAACATACCTCGAAGAATATCACTAACGTAACGGTGACGGCAGTGTCAATGACCCCAATCTCATGAAATGGTGCATCCAACACAATATACAGGGAGTCATTACGGATGATCCTAAAACATTCAAGAAGATTTGCGACGAGTGGGACGAGCAAAGAGAACCAGAAGCCAAAATCACCTGGGTCCAGTGTCTCTACACATTGTGGGTATGGATTATGATCGCAATTTTCTCAAGACGCTTCAGGCGCAAATTCCCAGAGACGGTGGAGCATTTCATTCAACAGAATAATCTGAGATTGAAATCTGTCGACACCATCAAGGAGTAATGACCCGCCATCATTTGAAAAGCTATCGGATAGACTGTGGATAAAGGCAAGGTTCCTGGTTTTGTGACATGGTAGAATACCATGGCAAGACGGGACATCACACTTTGTACAAGTTTTATAGAATCAAGAGATTTTGTATTGGTGCTAATGTGTGCTGGACGACAACCCCTTGCTCTGACTGCTTAAAGCCCCACACCCCACATCCGGACGCGTGAAATTTACGCGTTGGTTGACGTCCAATTTGTTATTTGCCTGTATCAACTGCCATCCACCCGCCTTGCAACTGCACCGGTCTCGTAACAATGCCTCGCGAAATTATCACCATCCAAGCAGGCCAGTGCGGTAACGCAATCGGCTCCCGATTCTGGCAACAACTATGTCAAGAGCATGGGATCTCTCGCGATGGAAACCTCGAGGACTTTGCTACCGAAGGCGGTGACCGCAAAGATGTCTTCTTCTACCAGAGCGACGACACACGTTACATCCCTCGAGCCATCCTCATCGATCTCGAACCACGAGTCATCAATAGCATCCAAAGTGGCCCCTACAAAAACATCTACAACCCGGAGAATTTCTTCATCGGCGAACATGGCATGGGCGCAGGGAATAACTGGGCGGCAGGGTACGCGGCGGGCGAGAGGGTTCAAGAGGAGATTTTTGACATGATTGATCGGGAGGCTGATGGCAGCGACTCGCTCGAGGGATTCATGCTCCTCCATTCGATTGCCGGGGGTACTGGATCGGGCCTCGGGTCATACCTTCTCGAGCGCATGAATGATCGGTTTCCCAAGAAGATTATTCAGACGTACTCAGTGTTTCCAGATACTGCGACGGGCGACGTGGTGGTGAATCCTTACAACAGCTTGCTCACCATGCGGCGGTTGACACAGAACGCCGACTGTGTCGTGGTCCTCGATAATGGTGCGCTATCCAGTATTGCATCAGAAAGACTGCATGTTCAAGAGCCTTCGTTTCAGCAGACGAATCAACTAGTCTCGACAGTCATGTCAGCCTCTACAACGACGCTGAGATATCCTGGATACATGCACAATGATCTAGTTGGAATCATCGCGTCTCTGATTCCTACACCGCGGTGCCACTTCCTGATGACCGCTTATACTCCTTTCACCGGGGACAACGTGGACCAAGCTAAGACCGTGCGAAAAACCACGGTGCTTGACGTGATGCGCCGCTTGCTCCAACCGAAGAATCGAATGGTATCCATCACCCCCTCCAAATCCTCTTGCTACATTTCCATCCTCAACATTATCCAAGGCGAGGCCGACCCAACCGACGTCCACAAATCCCTTCTGCGCATTCGAGAGCGGCGAATGGCAAATTTCATACCCTGGGGTCCAGCCTCGATCCAGGTGGCTTTGACCAAGAAATCTCCATACCTACCAAACACGCATCGAGTTTCAGGTCTCATGCTAGCAAACCACACCAGCGTGGCTACCCTCTTCCGGAGAATAGTGGTGCAGTACGAAAAAATGCGGAAACGAAATGCCTACTTGGAGCAATATAAAAAGGAAGCGCCATTTGCTGAAGGACTCGCCGAATTCGATGAAGCGAAGGAGGTCGTGATGGGCCTGATTGGTGAATATGAGGCGGCAGAGAAGGACGATTACCTTGATCCAGACGCTGGAGAAAAGAAAGTTGAAGGAGCTTAAGGTCGCCGACTCCCGGCCGAAATCCCGACAAAACACATATGGCTGTTGGCGTCGGCCACTGACATGACAGCGAGACGGTGGTCTCTATGATAACCAATCAACCAAACGAGCTCACAGCAGCATGGGCGATGGGGAAGAGAACACTATCTTTCGAAGTGTGTGGGGTGATGATGAAAGCATTGACGGGGAAAGAAATGGTGTTGCCCGCCGATGTCGCATACATATTTGGTCCTCTCCAGCATGATTGTTTGGGCGGGCATTTCCCCTATGCTTGCCCTGGGACTAGATCAGCCCAGCAGAGGCCACGGCAGGAGAAGTGGGAATATGCAGGGTCTCGGCCGCATGTGCAGATCGAGCCCAGCCAGGAAGTTCGGGGCAGTGCCTTCCAACACATGACCCGAAAACTATCAGGTGGAAGAAAGGTTTGTTTGATATGAACTAGTGGGAAAGCTATTTCACGATAACGGTAGATGCCGTTCGCATAAGAGTCCTGGAGTCTAAAAAGGATGGCAGCCACAGATACAACGTTTGTCCCTCGTGCCACCACGCATACCGGACCTGAATGGGAGGCATAGGCGATGTCGCATGCCGCATTCGGAGGAAGCCAACCGGACCGCTTTGGGAGAGGCCCAGACTAATCAGAGCTGCATACCAAGTGAGGAAAGCCGCGTCGCAACCAGCTACAGGTGCCAACAATGCAATTGTGTCAAAGCGGGCTAGTTATTGTTTGTCCATGGGCGTCCGTCGCTTTGAAGGTGCAAGGGCATCCCGATGGGGTCAGCACTGACGAGTGAACAAGCGCACGGGCAGGTCAGAGTCTCCAGCGCTCAGACCGGCGATCTGGACCTCAACCGGGAAAAGGGCGGCTTGGGAGTCATAATGAATTATTGAGGGACTGTTTCCGTCACCGCCGCCCGGATCTGGCGGCTCAAAGGCGAAGAGGACGGAAAGGATGGGGAAAGGAACAGATTGGGAGGATCTGGGATTGTCATGGCTTGTATGAGTTACAGCAGAGCAAGACGTGTATTGTTAAGATGATTTGATCCACGATTTTGATGAAGCCATGCCAGTACCCAATGTAGCGGTTGGGCGGTTGGCTCTTTGGCTGGTGGCTGGGACCTGGCTCGCCGGGTAGCTTTGGCCGCCACGAGACACGAGAGCGCGATAAACCCTCGCAACGACCTGAGCTTATTATTCAATTATGCTATGCGCCATCATCATCATTATTGCCAGCCCATCAGCTCGGACTGAGCGCCTTTGAAAGCTTTTCACTTTCTCTTATTTCTCTCCGATTACGCTCATCCCCCTTCGCCCCTCGTTCCTTCCGACATCCTTGTGCAGTTTTTGTGTCGCTCCTGCCGTGGATTTATCTCGCTCTTGTTCGGCCTCTTTGATTCTTGGAGCTGCCACTGTCTTCCACGGGGTCCCCACTTATTTAGCCCTTACTTGGGCCCCTGGGACCTGGGAACCACTGGTCAGTAGCGGTCGCTGTCACTGTCACTGCTAGAGTTGCCCTGGGCGCTCGCTGGTGGGTGCTAGGTGGCTCAAACTTGGGTCAATTTTGGGTCCCTTTCTCCGTATTTACCATCCACCATCCGCAAATCCGCCATCCACCATACGTTCGTTGTCAAACTCCGAGCCACTGGATCCCCCGTCATACTCAGCTACTCGGTAAGTACGAGGACCACTCGTATATGACCTTCGCCTCAATGTCCTCAAGCAGCCACCTTTGTCACTAGTTCCCACATACCACTAACCACCCCATTAGCCACCTGCTTGCCTCATCTTGTCGCCTTGTCCCCTGGCTTGATTGTCCATCTGACTAGCAAACTCGCTACTACCCAGGCAGTACATTACACGACTCATCTGCACCAACCTCACTATCTCATTCTTCTATCCTCACTTTATCCAACCTCAACCTCATTCCAACAGGCCGCTGAAACCGCACACACATAGCCAGATCATCATCTGCCTTATATCCTCTTGCCTCCCTCTAATCACCGTCACGCTATCTCCTATACCAGTACTCCACTCAGCACTGGTCTAATCGCCCATTCGTCATCGGTCACGAGCCTGGTTACCTGCGCCGGATCCTCCTCAACCGCAATCTCCAAGCCACATAAAGATCTTCTGCTCCTCAACCTACATCCTTTTTCCTCATATCAAATCTCATATTCAACATGAATCGCTCACGATCTGGCTCCGCAACCTCCAGCACCGGCAAAGAGCTTCCGGCTGACAATATGGCCATCCAGGTGCAAATCAGCGGCGAAAAGAGTGAGCTTCGCCTCATAGGATTCCCATTTTGTTTCATGATGGCAAACTAACAAGTGTCTCTACAGCGATCAAACTGAACGTGCGACCCGTTCACACTGTTTCCAACGTCCTGGAATTCCTCTCTGCCTCTACCAATCTACCAGCAGACGTTCAGCTCATGCTGGATGGGAAGCATCTTGAACCCTCAACTACAGTGGGAGAGCTCAAGCTTCAAGAGTCATCAACACTTAAGCTGTCTGCGCCGTCACGAAGTACCACACCTATAGATGCATCACAACCTCAACCCCAAGCGCCAACAACGGAGATGAGCACCGCTCAACCATCACCGTCCACCCCAGCATCAACATCATCAACACCCATACCCTCGGGCGCGGCCACACCGACGAAGAGGAAGTCGAACAAGCCCCGGTGTTCTAAAGATGGATGTAAAGCACCGGCTCAACCAATTGTGGGGGACTGCGGATTTTGCCAGAAGCGCTTCTGCGGAAAGCACCGTATGTTGGAGTCTCATAACTGTGAAGGCCTCGAAGACGCTAGAAAAGCGGACAAGGACCGCAACGCGGCCAAATTGGAAGGAGAGCGGACCGTGATGCTTCGCGGCCTCTAGAGAAGGAATCATGATTCTGAATGATCTGAAGTGGCATTTCCAAGGGTGAAGAGAGTGACATGCGTGGCGGGAAATACAATATCTTGTGCTTTTGTTTTTCTGCGACTCGGCAGAAGCGTTGCTACTCGGCGTTTGTTTGACGGCCTTTCCACGGCGGTATATGGGGTGTTTTGTTTTTCTCGTGGGAAGGGAACATGGGAAGGACTTCACCGTCTCAGGGTTCGTTCTGGGCTAAGGCTAGGACTTGGGATTGTGGGATCTGAATCGGGAATACCTCATCATGGGCTATGCACAACGAAACAGACGGCGTGCTTTTTGAGTGGGGATATTTTTCGTCCTGCAGTCTTCAAACTCGTGCTTCCTGCGATTGTCCCGCTCATTGCGGGCTTTCTGGCTTTGATAACTCTTGTGCGCAAATCGCAACGGGCATCGGATACTCGTGGGTCATCTACATATACAGAAGTATATCAATACTCAGTAATCACAGTCACGATCAATGACCATTTCACTCGCATACCAATAGGGAAATAACGGAAGCCGTGCTCGAGGACAGTCTAAGCTCCTCGCACTGCGGCCCAGCCAATCACTCAATGCCGATTGATTTTCCCCCCAGCGAACCGTCCAGTCAATTGTCGCCTTTTGTCGAGTCAGTATGGTTGGTCGCGTATGTTTCTCGAGAGCCCAACCTACGGCACATACGTATACATGTTGTGCCAGATAGTACTAAGTACCGAGTACAGCTTCGGAAGGGACTAAAGAAAAGCGGGGAAAGAAAGGAGGAGGGTCAACGTCAGTGGTGAGTGATGGGAGACTTTTGAACGAGGAGACAATTAGACAACTAGACGAGTAGACAGGCCTACAGGTAGATGGGCTTGTATGTCTACCAGGGATTTGCGCTCGTCGTAAATGGTTCGTGACATAAACTGAATATATTTCAATATATTTTCGTGTTCGGCACGTTGCAGGTCATTCATTCATGGACTGACCGACTGACTTACTGACTGAGCTGTGGAACAGGACAACAAGAACGACGCGAGCCTTTTTCGTGCTTGGTGGAATGGTGCATGCAATGCTATTCCCTATGCGCATCTGAGATGATTTTATACAAGGGTCAAAAATATATAACATTTCATAGAGGGCAGCGCCCTCGGTCTGCGTTGCGCGCCGTCATCACGGATGAAAAGAAAAGAAGTGTTTCAAAGTGTAAAAAGTCGGTCGGTACTTCGTAGGTAGATGAGCCCATTTTCTCCGTCAAGAAGCTCGACCTCAACTTCTTTTCTCGTAATTCCCATAAATACCCCTCTCTGACTTGCCTGCTGACTTGCGCTGGTCTCGTGGTGAGTGAGTGAGCTCCATGTATGTCCCCGAATCAGTCCCTGTGCTACTTGATTCTAGTGAATCTGTTGGAAGTACCTCGTAGTGATGCGACGCTCCGGAGGGCCACTCACAGATGTCCCAAAAAAACCGACAACTTGTTCAACGGAATTGTTGAATATGTTCTATGTTGCGTTTGGTGTACTTGAGGAACGTATGCCATGGAATAAAGCAAGGTTCACTCAACGCCTCCATCTCGACGTCTTCCTTTAATGCCAGTCAACACTTGTCTGTGCACACCGGACTGCCCTAAATCTGGACTCGCATACTCTGCCGACACCTAGGCCGTCGTCTCACGGTTTTCCCAAAAATTGAAGGTGCTGATCTTATCCACACTCCACGCAGTATTGGCGCCGTTGTTATTAGCAGGGGCATTCCCTTCTTGAAACCTACCCGCATCCCTCTTCCGCTTGCAGTATGTCCGTGCGCACGTCTCCACAGCTTGCCAATCGTCTGCGTTGAGATAACTCTTCACCGACTTTCCATCATCGTGGAGTTTGCAAAATGCCTCGCGGACCCAGGTGAGACAATTGAACGCCGAGTCGTCTGCGGGAATGGGGAGATCTCGAAGAATGGAATTCAGACGCTCTTCGTCCGTGACCTTGCACACGGCGACACGCACCAGAGCACTCTGGGCAATGGGGTTTGTAGGGATGTCTTGTTCTTCATAAACGTGCCGGTGGGTGTTGTGATCGAGGTGCGCTACATGGTAGCGGATTCCTTGATCAGTTCGCCGGGCGCTTTGAGGGCCGACAATCAGAGACCAATGATAAGAGTCACAGCTGAGGGCGTTGCGAAAGGAAGAATTTGTAGACGAGGCGCTCCGAGGGTAGAGGACAATGTAGAGTCGAGGCTTGTCTTTCGTCGGCTTAAGTGCGGTGGTAGATGAGAGAGACCGAAGGAACTGAGGCTTCGTCGAGCTTGGACTCATTGCTTCTTTCAGCAAATTAGATCTGGCTCACAAGTCCTCACTCATGGCAGAAGAGGGGCAGGAGCCAAGATAGAGATGGACATGACAGCCCGCGAGTTGCCCTATCAACAATCTTGAACGGTAGCCGCACCAAAAGCACAAGGCATTCTTTTTGGTGGGCTGGAGCTAAAGGTAGGATTGAAGTGAGGAGGCCAGTTGGTTCGCTTGTGCCACTCGGCTAAATCATTGTACGAATTCACGGCTGAGATGATTTTTCGGGTGAGTTTGCTGTAGCCCGATATAGAACAATCACCAAAACAACCCCCCACCACGTTTCTGGTGTTTCTGTTGCCATGATGACGAAATGTATCACGCCCCAGCACCACTGGTGTCAGTCCCTACTTCATAGCATTTCACCCATCTCGCCGGCTCGCCGTCCTCGGTTTGGGGTGAACCGGAAACTGGTCCAAGTAAGTCTGGGTAATGGATCAATTATCCCGTCTGCTGACGCTGTACAAGTGTCTGCTTGATGATTGACCTTACCACGTTGAAACGTGTCTCGTGAGGAGTTTTTCTTCGATCTGCGGTTTCATACTGAGGCTTTCAATGCCTCAGCCACAGCATTCCACGTCAAATTGATCAGGAGATGACGGTGTGGCGGAAGGAAAAAGGGAAAGGAGTGGCAGGGCGACGGAGATCACGGAGCGTCAAGCCACAGTTTGTGGCGGTGCTGGGATGACGATGCACCATGCCAAAACACCTAATCCATATCCGAGTTGGTAATCTCCTGGTTGGGCGATCGATTGGTCATGGTAGTCCATAAGTGGAGAGGGACGGAAGGAAAAAGACGCGTTGAAGGGGGGTTGGCGCTGAAAGAAACGTCATGGGTGGCTGCAATCAAGGACGTCAAGTGCCTTTGAGGCTGCCTAGGAAGGCCTCCAAGTTAAACAAGGTTAGGGGGGCTGGCCTCTGCCGAAGGCAGGATGATGTTCCCAGGCGCCTCGTGTGCCCTGTTCGTAATCCGAGTCACGGTGCCCACCGTGCCACCAAAGCCTGTTAAGTGACTTGCCTCTCCCCAGCCATCCGCGCATCTCATCTAAAAGTGACTGGTATCTTCTCTCCATCGCGCAATCTTCTTTCTTACCATCCCGTTGTCTACAGAGACTGTCGCTTTTACTCGCAAGCTTCGCCTTTTACGCCCGCTCAACTCCAAACACGTCTTTCACAGGCCTTTTCTAATTGAATCAACATGCCTTTCACAGCATCGTAAGTCACTTGTTCCGCCTTCTACCTTCCGTCCCCTTCCGCGCAGTGCGCCCACCAGAGCTGACCAGCTACCTCCAGCGACATCTGCAAGATTATCCTTGCCATCATCCTTCCACCTCTTGGTGTCTTTCTCGAGCGAGGTTGCAATGCCGACTTTTTCATCAACATCCTGTTGACAATCCTGGGTTATATCCCGGGTATCATTCACGCTCTGTACGTAAAAGACGCGCCAGGTCGTCTTCGCCCGGAATCGAAGCTAACAACATTGCAACAGCTACATCATCCTGAAATACTGAGTGATAAGAACCTAATGTCATGTCATCAACCATCGAAACCTTTCCTCTTTCTGTCGAGGGCCGACATCACCTCGTCTTATCTTGATATCCCCCACCTGCTTTTGATTCTCGGAGCATGATACAAAACACAACACACTCCTCATAATGCCCACAATCTCATCCTCGGCACGGGTCCGATCTCGCACGGAAATCACAAAGATCCTGTTGGCATGAAACTGGGCATTGAGACTGGATAGGGTGGTGTGACCTGGCCGAGGGACCGACTTGTTTGCTAGACGGATGGGAGCCTCTCCGTCCAACTTCGGCACACAAAGGTCGCCTTGTTGCTGTGCGTGGTTTGGACGCAGAGGTCTTAATTCAGCATAATGAGACACATTTTACATCCGATTCATATGAATTTCTAATATTTTATTCCTTGATCGTTTGAATGAGCTTTCTTCCCCTGGTCTAACGATTTTGCGGGAGATGGTGAGACCAAGACGAGCTTCGGAACTGCCATGTCCGAGCCTCCTGGATACCAGTTTGGAGATTTGTGGAAGCCTGGTGACGCCAACTCTTAATCCCGTATTCAACGGTCAAGATGCGTCATCTAGGGCTGTACCGATTGATTGGCAATCTTAAGTCGTGCATGACTAGGAAAATACCCTTGTTGGCCTGTCGCAGCATGACAAAATCCCTAAGTAGCGGAGTGCTGTGGTGCTGGCGCAAACAGTGTCGATGAGATGAGGTCGTGCCAGTGGGGAATGCTGGTCGCAAGCCTTGAGAGTACGAACACATATTGGATTGCGCTACAACTTGAAGAAGACCGCGATATAGTAGAGTCAAAAAGATCCCAAAGCTCTGCGCAGTAATATGATGCCACTCATCCTAATTGAGTGGTGGAAGCGCCCTGTAACCGCCGGTCATATCCGAACCCTACAGAGCCCTACAGACATTTCCCCATCTGGGGGTTCGCCAGGGGGAACCAACAGTCACGTGAGAGTGTCGTTGTCAGTTACGACCAGCCCTAACCGCTGGGCTCAGCGACTATGCTTCATCCAATGCCTCACATTCGACCACGTCCACCATGATGCTCTATGGGTTTCAGGCTATACGACCTATCGCAGATCAATATCCCAGCCGCCATCGTCATGCTTCCGTTAGAATGTCCTTTTCCAGGGACAAAATTTTACATGCGCCCTTGTCGAGGGGTGAGGTAAGACCAAGGGCACCCTCAACATTAAAAGACTCCCAGGTTCTCTTTCGCGTCACATATGCGAGGTTTACGGTGTTTTCCATTGTCATTGAACACTGTTGCGCTTTGGCGCTGCTTGCTACTTACTTGCTCCTGTGCTGTGTAGTCACTGCTCCCAGAACTATTTCCGCAAACGGCCACTTCGACCCCGATGATGCCTCAACGATGACAAAGGCGACCCAGTTGATATGGATGACCATACGCGGATCTTCCACAGGCCGTTGTCGAATCCCATCGATGGCAACAAGCTCCGCGCCCGACAGACGTCGACAAACACCTGCCTTCCTCCCTCCCTTCTCGCTGTTACTCCCAGTTGCGCAGTTGCCTGCATCCAACAGTTTGCAAGCCAAAACTATCCAGGGGCCACATGTGCAAATACCTCAGACATCGAATACCTCTGTGCACAATCTAACATCTCGGGACTTACAATTGGCGAAGGTGCCGTACAGTGTGTGGTCTCTGTTTGTATAGCAGACGATCAGAAGGACGTGGAGGTTTACGGCGTCTGCAACTCTGTGCCAGGAGCTCAACCGAGGACTGCTCGAACCATCACTGCGACAATCATTGGGCATTCCACCACGACATCTACCGCTATGGAGAGCCTACCCGCAACGATAGGAAATCCAACCTCCACCATGGAGGTCAGCACCATTGTGATGGCAACGGACACACCAACATGGATGATGGTAACATCAGAGGCATGGCCAACGTCTGCAGATTCACTTGCGCCAACAGAGACTCCAACGAATACTATGGTAGACCAAACCACTCGCGGGTCGACCGAGTCCTCCACGACATCAGGAGCTGCTGCCGTGCCGGAACAGGCAACTCCTGGATCTGGTTTCTCTACCACTCAAATTGCAGGGATTGCGATCGGGGGTGCCGCGACTGTTGCTATCGTTGTTGGACTGCTCATTCTTTTATTCTGGATGCGAAAGCGGCGTCAAATGCATCGACGTAGCCAAAGACGCTCACGATTAATCGAACCGTCATCACCTGCGAACCCTCGGAGCCTTGAGAAACAGACTCAGCCAAGCCTCGGTAATCTTGGAACTTCCCCTACAGTATCAAATACTCCAGGTCGCTTCTATGCCCCGCAACAACCGTCGGAAGAAAAGAGGCGAAGCTTCTGGCGGAAGAGCATCAGACCAGAAGAGATTGGAATAGCCGTCTCGCCAAAAATGCCCGCCGAACACTCCCCTGTCAGCGCATCCTCTCAACAAAGCTTCTCGCGGCTACTACCAGAGGTGCCTCCTGCAGTTCTTTGGCCCGCACCACTCGATGTCGACGCCACCAGGGAACGAAGGAGATATACGCAGCGACCTGTCAGTGAGGCCACCGAGTTTGACGACGAGCCGGAGGCAAAACCACAAGAACCAGAGCGAGTTTTCGTCGACAATCAGCCGTTCATACTTGAGAAACTACCTCTGTCGAATCGGCCACGGGGCCCACCTCCGAATCTGAGATTACCCGCATTGCCTGAAAGCCCTGCTAAGTCTGCAGGACAGACAGCAAGGATTCCTCTAACTCCAACCTACGACAACGGCAACGTTGACTTGGCCTCGCCGTCTGTTAACGTCCGGTCACCCGCTATATCGCAGCTGGCACTTCCAGTCATTGAGCACAAGCTGCCCCCATCGTCAATGTACGCAAATAGAAAGGTCCTTAGGAAAAAGCCTCCAGCGAGACTCCCTCTTCGGGTCATCAACACGCCGCCCGTGGAGCCTCCTATACAGCCACGGAATCTCCCAGCGCTATCTCAATCAGCGTCGCTTCCTCCTGCAAGTAGACAGACGCTGCCTGTGAGCCGTCGCACGGAAAGACAAAGTTCCACCAGCTCCATCTATACCGAGATTGAGGAAGACACAACGCCTGAAGAAGCAACCAAACAGCTTGGGATGGACGTTAACACAACGACGACATCTATTATCCCCCTCAACATTCGTAGCGTCTCACCTGCGCAAGAGGGTCCCATTAAGGATTTGAGGTATCCTCAGATTCCTCGTTCGGCCGCCATATCCAGACAGGCAGATAGGCCTGCCCAGCTTCGAGCAAGCCTCAATCTGTCCCCTACGTCGGCCTTTGTACCACCATCAACTTCATCTTTGCGACAAACCAGGGATCAGCTTATTCGCGCAGAATTAAGCTTTGTGCAAACAGATACCACCTCCTCCGACGGATACCTCTCCGATTACATTGTCGAATTTCCCTTTCCTCCCGTATCGAAACCTCCCAAAGCCAGTTTGAGCGAACTCGGTAGCAAATCACCAAGTGGTAACAAGGGGCCCCCTTTGCAAGGTATCGATCAGCCTGTGAACGAAGTCACGAACACTAGTACGAGAACAGTGAATCTCATTGTTCCACAACGCTCGCCGTCCTCGAAAGCCCGATTGACCCCGAGTAAATCGAGCAGTGGTGATTTGTATCTGACTGTTGAAATTTGAGATATGAACGGTAAGGATCTGTCATTCAGGATTTATGTGTATTATCAACGATATTCTTGAGCAAGATGTGGTAGAGCGCTAATGCAGCCGCTTGCCAGCCAAGGTATATTATGTATAACATGAGAAGTCCCAAGTGGTATGAGATTGATAGAACAGAAACAACGAAATTAATTTCAGAACTTGTTCCGTCATCTCCTTGGAGCTAGCAAACATCTGCTGTATGAATAGCTCGTGCTTTAGTTTCAATCTGTGTAATTGATTCGCTCCTTTCTTGGTCTTGGCCCCAAGTGCGCAGAGCAGCGAGAGATGAAAAAGGGGTTTGGTCTGACAGAGAACTTGATTTGGAAATTCTCTCGCCTGCTTTATTGGTGTCAGACACAGCATTGAGTTTATCCACTTGCCCCGATGCGCAGAGCTTCTTTGAGCTCTTATAATGGCCACTCCCGTACTTGCACTACAGTAACAACGATCGTAAGGCTCTTTACTGATTGAGAAGGCTTTCTTTACTATCCCATATCTTCTGTTTCTCATATTCTCCCGTCGCTTTAGTTCATATCTCACAGAATCTACGGCGCCCATACAAACAACATCTAGGTTGACCTGCCAGTTATGCTAAACGTCCTTGTTCACAACTCTCGAGACAGGCTATTAATCCATGCCAACTCATCTCACGTGGCAAACTTCAGACGGTGTATGACTACACAACACAGCCGTCCCATTGCTTGGCGAAGGATCAAACTGCAGGATTATACATTTCGAAGAGTCAGACTACCAAGATCATCAAACGGAAACGTCACGTCTTTCTCAGGCGTAAAGTCCAAAGCGGAATATCCTTCGATCACCACACCAAGGCATTCGGACGATATAAATCGCTCTGTCCGTGCGGGTGTGACCTGGTTGACCAGGAATCCGGCCCTTGTGGTGAGTAGCAGCTGAGCTGATCTATATCTTAGAGGACTCTAGATTCCACCCTCGAGCATATCAAACCCTGGCTAACGAAGACAGGATCCCGAAAGGCTACGTTCAGAGCTGCCCAGATATTGTGACAACAAATCCTTGGTCAAGATCTTGATCCTGTTCGTAACACCGTCTTTGGCTTCTCTGCTCGAGCCAGGTACTTTTCTTCAGCATGTCCTGCCTTCGTTGTACGCTGGCCGCCGAACTTTTGTGAAAGGCAAACCTATTGAGAAAACGATAAAGTGCATCAATGCTGTGGTTGACGCGCTTCCAGTCCCTCCTGATATCGACGGGAATCCAGATGGAAATGAAACCCCTACAAGGGCGGCTAGTACTGAAGGACTGGCGCTCTTCATGACCTCTAAGAATTTCGACGCCCGATCTGTTCATTCCCAACCGGAACAGGTTGAGGACGCAGATAACAACTCCGCCACAACATTGAAATTTTGCTCTTCCGCTGAAGCGAGCTTTCCGGATCGAGCAGCACACCTCGCGCCATCCGTGCGGCATGTTGCATTACCCGTCGCCAACACCATTTTCGTCAACGAACGACGAACAACTCTTTTCCAGGACTCGTGGAGGATGAAACTCACTGAGTCAGAGGAACCAACCATCAGCTATCTTGGCAGAAAGAGTCTCAAATCTTTTCAAATGAACCTTCCCTGCCCGGGAGATTGTTTTGTAGACGGCGGATCTGCGCCATTACACGCACTAACAAAGCCGAGAAAGGTCGTTCGATCCATGGGAAATGTGCTTCGTCAGATTGAAGTCGACGGCGAGGCTGTCCCTGCCTCACAAGAGCTTGAGACAGCCGTTTCAGCATATATCAAGTCGAATCCCACGAGCATGGTTCGGGGTCCACTCCTCGTCTTTGGTCTGATTCGTTCACCAGGGACTCCATCGTTCGACGCGGATGCGGATGCAAACAAGGATACCAAGGAATCGGGCTCACTGAAACCGCTTTGGCAAGGAGCACAGCTCTTCAAGGTCTCAGGCGGCGGAGGAGGCTGGGGAAAGAGACAAGGCCTCTTATCACTGGAATCAGCTGTCGATTTCGAAATCGGTGACGCGCCATCACTTGTGTTCCCAGACCTGGATAGCGACCAAGGCGGCTTCCATGAGCTAGGGTCGCGTAGCATAGTCCCAGTGGACAGCACGGTCGAGTTCTTAGTTTGTTCTGTGGATTCTGCACCCAAGGCCAGCGCAAGAACATTCCCATCAAAGCCCGCGTTGTTCCCTAGGCAAAAAGACGGCACGACCGTCGTACTGGGTACTGCCATGGACCCCGACTCCCAGGACTATCTGGCAGAGGACCCAGACACCACCAGCACAGGGGTGGTCTTCTTACCGGATTACTTCGGCATAGTCTCTTACGGAGGTGCTGCTCTTGGCACTGACAGCTCAATATCGACCGGACATAAATCGAAAGCGATTTCGCGGACACGCTGTGATGTTCCGAATGCTCGCTTCATCATTCGTGGCGTGGGAAGTGTGCAACGGCCTTGTTCTACAGGAGACGAGTACGTGTTGAAGAAAGAATAGGGGAAGGCCGTGTCTCATGTTCCGAAAGGAAGGAGTCAGTCGAGTTCTCAACTATCGCCCGCTATGCGACCAAGGCTTAACTTTGCCTCAGGACGGATGTCATTGAACTTGGTTTGCCAGATCCAGACTCTCCACAGCGCCACAGTGGTGCACCGAGACATCACTCAGCTGCTATCTATTGGGGAGAACTCGGGCAAGGATTTGATGTGCGGGCAAGGGCGGCAGTCCAAGGATGGATAGGCCCATTGTTTCGAACTGAACATATCTTAAGAGGCCAGAGACAAATCGGGAATATCATGTGTAAAAGTCATGACCTTGACTGTAGAATGTCCACATCCAGTTCCTCCATGACTTGCAAGACAACGCCTAGAGACTCCATGAAGCCATTTACGGCAACACGGAGCATGCGATTGGTGGTTGCGCTATACTGGGTGCGAAGAATAATATTGTGGGCATCTTGTAATCCATCATCACCCTCTACTGTATGACCATTGATAGAACCTGGTTTGACTAAAGTGAACTCTCGACGAACCAGTGGCGATAGCTCAGCATCAACTTGTAGAGCGCGCATGGCCGTGGAGGCGAGGCGATGGTCTAGTAGAGGGATATCGATGACCCTGTGTGGGAGTAGGGTCAGTGCTTTGCGCAAAGAATTGATGGGAAGATTAACAACGCACAATGAGCATGGAAAGTCGGATTGAGAAGTGCCCATGGCCAAGTCGTCAGAAGTGGAAAAAGGGCACCGCGACGCATCCAGAGAGGCGGAGTGATCGTAGGCAGTCCAGCCAGGTTGAGGCAAGGTGGTCCAGAATCAAGAGCCAGACACGAGGGGAAGATCTGGAATTGATGTTTGGGTTCAGGTAGGAGTGGCAGCCGCCTAGGCAAAACAGCAGTGATGTTGGTGTGGGTGCAGGAAGATCGGTTTGAAACCCCGATAAGCGGTTGCTGGGATACCATGATGCAGGGGCGAAAAGTAAACATGACGACGGGACACTGGGAACTTTGGGGCTGCCACCCCTTCCCCGTTTCATTCATTACCCATACATGCCCGGTTTTCGCATTCTTCAGACATACAGCCATTGCTTCCTCTTCCAAAGCACCACATCTTTAACCTCTGTCGCCGTCTTCGTCCACGTCCCATCGTACTCAGGCTACTCTACTGCATCTTCGCTACTACCTTTGCCTCGTGATATGCTGCAAACTTAGAGACATTCCTATCTCCACAAGACTGTTTACAGCTTCTCCTCTTTCCAGCCTCGAGCGCCCAAGCTTGTCGACACTTGCTATCTGCGACATTGAATACCTGTGCGGAATCCTATCATTCCATTGTCGGCGATCCCTCGTCAACCGTGAGCAGTGATGGCACCCTCGCTGGTGCATCCTGCCAGTTACGGCCAGGTCATCGAATACATTCAAGGTACACAGCCATGAACCAAAACAATGCCCCTCACTGCGATGCGCATCACTGACAACTCTCTCCACAACAGATCGCCTCTACCTCGCATCCTACATTCACGCACCTAACGAACATACTCCTTTCCCGTATCCCACGCAAGTAAAGAAATCGCCGCAGAAAAAGTCCTCCAAAGCGCAGTCGGGTCCTGTTCCCGCTGCTCTGCGCCCTCCTCCGGTCTATTTCACCATCGACGACACTCTTCTGTACAATGCGTTTCACGCCGACTTCGGTCCCCTGCACATTGGCCACCTCTATAGGTTCGCCGTCCAGTTCCATGAAATCTTGGGTGACCCAGCCAACAACGACAAAGCCGTCGTGTTTTGGAGCAGGGCTGATGCTAGGAGTCGAGCAAACGCTGCGTGTCTTGTCGCATGCTATATGGTCCTGATCCAAGCATGGCCTCCTCACCTTGCTCTTGCGCCTATTGCTCAAGCCGATCCTCCATACATGCCCTTCCGAGACGCAGGGTACAGCCAGGCCGATTTTATTCTCAACATTCAGGATGTGGTGTATGGCGTCTGGAAAGCCAAAGAAGAAAATCTGTGTCAGCTCAAGGAGTTCAATCTCGAAGAGTATGTCGCTCGACTAACCTCTGGGACCGACCGCTAATGTGTCTAGATACGAGCGATTCGAACGAGTTGACCAGGGAGATTTCAACTGGATCTGCCCCCAATTTGTTGCCTTTGCATCTCCTCAATCTGAGCCAACCACACCCATTCCCATCTCATCTCCAGCCTATGCAACACTGCCATCTTGTATACCAGAAGTTCAGCGTGCCAGGATACCCCTGCCCTTCAAGAACGTCCTCGCTCATTTCGTCCAACGTGACGTTGGTTTGGTTGTTCGACTCAACTCGGAACTCTACTGTCCAACATACTTTACTGCTCTTGGTATTCAACACATTGATATGATCTTCGAAGACGGAACGTGTCCAGCCCTTCCCATTGTCCGCAAGTTTATCAAGCTGGCCCATGACACCATTGCAAGGAGCAAAGCTATCGCAGTCCACTGCAAGGCTGGGCTTGGCAGAACCGGGTGCTTGATCGGAGCCTATTTGATCTACCGCCACGGCTTTACTGCAAACGAAGTCATCTCGTTCATGCGATTCATGCGTCCTGGAATGGTGGTCGGACCACAACAGCACTGGCTGCATCTGAATCAGGGACAGTTTCGAGAATGGTACCTGGAAGATCAGTGGAAGGCAAAAATGGAGTTGAACAAGCCCTCGACTCCTCGCGTCATGACAGCGAAGACTCCCATACGTACTTCTGGTACAGCACAGACGGCGACTCCAGATCGCTCAAGCACCCAGAGAACTGCTTTGGGCGAAATCGATGGCAACGACGTCTCGACTGCTGGAGCTTATCAGGACGAAAACCTCCCTGCCCCAACACCGGGTCAACCTCGAAAGTATGCTCGAATGGATCCTCGAAGTCACCCATATGCTCGGTCGTCCTCGGGCACCGTGCGTATCAATGGCAATAAGTCTGAGAGCGAGGTCGCCACAGTGGAGACGCACCGAGTCAGTACGAACGGCGCAGAAAGCGAAGAGGAGCTCATTTTACAACGAGCGGCGTCCCGCCGAAGCCATAGCAAGAGTCCTGGTAGTAAAGGCAAAGCTCGCAGCGTCTCATACACCACCACCACGACAACCATGACCAAGACTTTCGACGTGGGCGACACGATGGGTATCTACGAAGACGATGGGGATATCAACTTCCAGATAGAGGATACAAACGCCATATGGGACGAGCTCGCCCAGGAACAGGAGAATTTGAAGCTCAGTACTATGAGTGAGAAGAACCCACCTGGAACTGCCCGACCAAAGACCCCACGATCTGCTAGTGGAATGGGTACCATGGGCGTTCCGAAGACTCGATCGCTTAGAGAGTCACCACGGCGCAGCGGAGTTGAGGATAAGATGAAGGTCAGGAAGACAAGTGGCCGTGTTGGCAGTGCCAGTCATGGGCCGGTTGGTGTGAAGCGGTAGTGTTGCGAATTTCACGACCAGCTGAGCATTTCGTTATGACCATACTGCAACGACAAGGGGGCGACCGACACCGCCCATGAGCGAGAGGCATCGGCGAATTATGGAGTCACTCATTCCGACTGGGGACATGTACATTGACATCTGGAATACCACAATGGGAGTGGATGATGGAACAACTTCCTGCAAAGCGTGAAACTTGAAGGTCATGAAAATATTGTGTATTCTCTGGACCGAATGAATTGGACTCGGCATGACAAGGCAATGGCGCAGAAAGGAGTAACAAAGGAGTCAACGGCTGGTGGGTTTCTGGCCAGCAACGACGATGGACGGATGGCAGGTTGACGCGGTGTGATTGTGTCCGTGTCGTTTGTGACCGTTGAGTATTGTATTTTGTGATTCAAATCGAAAGTGTTATGAAAATGATATTCGTATTGTGATTGATGTCCCATGGGTTGTTGTATAAAAGTGTTTATGCGTCTTGTTCGTGTAATTCTCGGCTCATAGTCGGCGAACAAAATTGCCAAGGTCACTGTCCGAGAAGGGCAGGTAATGCGAATTTTCAATCCACAAACCCCAATTTCTCTTGTGGCGCGGGATTTCTCAGGGAGTTCCGCACTCAGATTTCCAAATTTCCTCACCCACCAACTCAGCATCACCTCTAGAGGCGCAGGATATCGATCTCTTTGCGTCCTTCGATTGCACCAGAAGAGCAATACAACAATGGCACCCTCCGTGAAAGTAAGTCCCCTCACCGCCGCCGGGACGCAAACGCGGGCAATCGATTCGATCGATCCAACCGAACAGCTTTGCTGGTCCTCATGATATACACAATGGGGTGCAGTAGGCTAAGGTTTTCTCTCCGTCCTCCTTCGGGAGGGTTGGAATTCTTTCAATATAGGCTCGTGCCACCGCGCAAAAGGTCGCATTGAAGGGCAAAGCTGGCGCAAAAGGTGGAAAGGTCACCAACAAGGTACGCAATGCTCGTTGATGGAACAATTAAGAACACATCCACTGTACATTCATCCACGTCTGTACAGTCATGCGCCTGAGCATGCACGTTCTTGAGTGTCAAATGTTTCGCGGATCACCTTGCGCAGCCGTCGAACAAGGGATGTGTGTAGGAGCTATGCTAATGTCTGTGACGGAAACAGTACACCATCAACTGCTCACAACCAGTCTCCGACAAGATCTTCGACCTCTCCGCTTTCGAAAAGTTCCTGCACGAGCGAATCAAGGTCGAAGGTCGCACTGGCAACCTGGGCGATAATGTCACCATCAACCAGGTCGGCGACGGCAAGATCGAGGTCATCACGCACATTCCCTTCTCTGGCCGCTACTTGAAATATCTGTAAGCAGAAACAAAACCCAGTTGTGCACAACTCTCTGTCCACACAGGCCTCTTGCCAATCCACCTATACCAACTCCTCCAAACAACTTGTTGCATAAACCAATCCATATTCAAAGTATGCGACCGTGGTGCGGAGAGAGACCTGGATATTGCGTGAGGAGCATTTGTCCACTCCCCCCTGGGGACACCACCGCCTGTCGGAACTGTATCGATGCTAACCAAAACTGCGTTATGCTCAATCTAGGACCAAGAAATTCCTCAAGAAGCAACAACTGCGCGACTGGCTGCGTGTGGTGTCCACATCAAGGGGCGTCTACGAGCTGCGCTTCTTCAATGTTGTCAATGACGAGGGCGACGAGGATGAGGACTAGACTCACGTTGGAAGTTGTATGCAAGTGCTAGGCACCTGAAACCATTGATGCGGTCAATATTCTTGTATCTGAGGCTGATGCGCAGTTCGTTGATATGCCAGGCAACACCCATGCAAGGTCTGAATTCAAAGCAGGATGGACACTGACACTATGAGCCTCCACACCCTGCGGAAAGCCTTTTCTTCGACCTCTTGAAATGGTTTCTTTATGGGCATCATTCTAGCGGGCATGTCAAGTTTCATACTCGTCAAGTCGGGGGGTTCTTCTCGTGTCCGCCTAAAATGACGGAAATAAAACGACGAAAATCTTCATGCCGCAGTTCAAAAATCTGCCCAATAGAATAATTGCGAGGCTCATCCATCCGTCCCTTGGTGTCTGTCTTGTTCGTGCCTGTGTTCGGAGACAAGCCTACGTGTCTTCCCCTTCCCCCTGTTGTATCCGCTGATAGAGATGAATCTGATATCTCATATTCTCAAGCTCCACTGGGTACTTGAGCGGCTGTTGCTGGCTCAATCTGAACCATCTGGAATCGTCAGAAACCAATTTCCTCCACTTGCTACCGCCCTCTTCTGCCTTGCCAGCAACGTCTAAAAGCGTGTGGTCTAGTAACCACTTCATAGGGTAGCGTCTCGTCTTGGTGTTCGTATCTCCAGCATCTTCTCGCTGTCCCTGAGGAGCGCTGGACCCCGATCCCACTGTCACTTCGGAGTAACTCCCAGGGCTATCTACAACCAGAAGCCATGTGCCCGGGGACATGATATCTGTAAGCGCCAGGAGAAATGCCGTGGTGCGCGATATTGAGGCTGTGAAGAGCTCGTTGAGTGTAAACATGATAGTGCAGAGATGCGCCCCACGGAGGATGCTCTGCAAGTCAGCCTCATCGATGGCGAGGATGTCATGTTGGTGAAATCGCACCGAGAACTCGTCACTAGTTGTGAAGGGTTTATTCGCTGCCTTGACGCTCTCAGTTGCGTAAGATGATAAGGGAGGTGGTGTGTACAGTGTGTTCTCTAGTTTGGAAAGGCAGGCTGACCAGTCTGCGATATCGACGACATGAACACATAGTCTCCCCGTTGTTAGTGAGAGTGTTCGTGCTGTAGCCGCACAGGCAGCCACCTCCGCGCCTCCGCCACCTCCAATGCAAACTACAGTACAAGCGCTGGCTGCATGTGAAAGAAGTGCTGGCGTCGCGAGCGGACTCGCATTTGTGTTTGGGGCAGCGGTCGCAGTCTCGCCGGGTCTATTCCAAACTCTTTCCAAGTCGTCGTGCAAGAAGATGCTCGTATACCCGAGGGCACGGCCTGCACTCCACCTGAGTGCATATGCATCGAGATATTCGGGCTTGGCAAATGCACCAGCAAAGTCGCGCTGGAACAGGTGGCCTTTGACGTGCTGAATGGTGGCGTTCAAATCAACTTGGCTGTGGTTGAGAGGAAAAGCCCGAAGAAATATGTCTAGAATCTGCTGCGGTAGTTCGGTGGGTAAAATGAAGCCATGGGCTTCGGGACGTTGCCGCATTGCTGTTATACCAGTGCTACCACTCGCCCCGCCACGACCTCGTGGTTGAGAAGTCTGACGTGTGCGACTGTCTGTTCCCTTCTGCTTCCTTGCTGGAGCCATTGTATCGGATTGGTGCGGCAGAGACAAGATACTGCTCAGCCGGATTTTTTTTTTTCAGAAATGCTGTGTTACCGACAAAATCACGCACTCGTTCCATAAGTTGGAGCCAGTCTTCGGATAAAAATCCGAGATTGAATGGCCTGTTGTGTTTCCAAGAGACCTGCCAGATATGCTGACATGCGGTGGGAGGGCTGGGTCCTCACACTGGTGTTTGGGTTCTATTATGTTGGATTTCACGTAAAGAAAAAAGTCCCTGGCTTGATAGCGCCCAACCTTTAGGTGTCATTGGGAAGCAAGTACCACATTCGGAAGTGCGGCTTGCGTTTCTGTACGAGGTACTCGGTACTCGCAAGTAGGAGGCGACTCCGCTGCATGGAAGTTGACAGGATGAGACGAGGTTGACACCAATAATCTGCGTTGTACCTCACAGGCAACTAGTAGTAGAGTCCAATGCCGGCCTTGCAGGATACACATGCGTGAGAATTTTTTTCTCCTTTTACTTTTTGCCCTTGCAGGATGCTTCCGCGTCACTAGCAAAGCCTGCATGAACACTGGTAGCTAGGCCTCCCAACCGCAGGCATCGGCCATTCAGGCTTTTGCCGAGTGGCTCGGAACAGCTCAGAGGAAGATGTGGTTCAAAGCCATCTTTCGGGATTCATTGGTCATGAAAAATTGCACCTTTTGACGGCCAGCTCCTGCTAGCCTTGGTGACCCCAGAGTTCCCACCCACATTATCAGGACGGTGAAGCACGAGGGCATCTATCTGGGGGCTATCCACTAACCACCAGTGACGGATGTTCTGATTGTTGTCGAGGAGACAGCAGTAAGCGAGTTTCAGTGTGCATCCATCGGGGTTTCCAGCTTTTACGAGATGTCCGACACAGAAAAGTCTTTCTGTTTGTACTTGTAGACGTTGCGCAGGCTTGCGACCCGTTCGAGCCGGTTCGACGGCTATACCCGGTGGATAGAATACTCGTATTGAGGAGCGGAATGAGGCCTTGAGGGACGCGATGATAAACGACTTGTCTGGATGGGAAGACTCTTTTCCCTTGTTGGCCAGCGACCTGGATCCGGGGTCGAGAGTTCCTGCATAAGCGTACGAGCTTGATCTCCGCTCAGCAACAGCTAAGCCGTCCTACTCGTCGTAGCGCGAGCAGCAGGGGCTTCGCCGCTTGGGTTTTGCGCCGATCCTGGAAGATCTTTTGAGCTTCTCCCAAGACAAAGGGGATGGAGGGAGTTAGTTACCTTCAACTGGCAAATCCCAGTAATCATACATAAGTTCCAGGAACCTCAAGACATCGCTCAACCGCGCAGATAGAACGACAAGTTGCACAGTATGAGGCAGCAAGGTCCGAGGACGGAGGCAGCTGCAAGGGCAAGCAATCTCGTAAAAGATTGGGCTGATTTGATGGGTGGTACAGGCTAAGGGGGGCTTCAACTGTCATGATCTTCATTCGAGCGTTGCCCACCAACTCATGAAGCGGTCAACATTCCGGTCAGGTGGGCAAAATCAGACGTGGGTGTGCATCATCGAGTCCTTCCTTCGACTTGAGCATTGCTGTACAAGGATATGAATGCCGCGTATGGAGAGAGAAGTCTCCGCTATGATAATAGATCTCGCTGTTTGTGAAACATGTCCACAAGTGCGTGTATTGCAGGCTCTGAGCCTAATGTAGCTTCATCAAAGCTCGTTCTCCCTTGTTGGCTCAGCAGTTCGTCCACCCTGATCATAAGTTAGAGGGAACCCAGGCTGAAAAGGGACTAAGGGGGGACCTGCCGCAAAGGCCGCCGCTCGCTTGACCAGGCCTGGTGAGCCCCAAAAATCTGCGCTTAAACCCAGCCAGGCAACTTGGCCTGCCTAGCGATCCAGTTTCCCGGTGGACCACCGTGCAGTTCCAATAATGTGAGAAGAGCTGGTACCTGGCGCCAGTGGCCACACGCAGTAGCTCACCTCCATCCCCTTCTTCCACCGCCTCCCATCTCCCATTTTACGTCCTCTTTTCGCACCTGTACCTCAACACTCTTCCTCACTCACCCTTCGCGCTCCCGCTCCCTCAAAGGGCTTCATCAGCCTCGTGGCTCCTGATCGGAGGAAGATCTTTCATTGATCTTTCTTCCAGGTAGCCGTCCACTCCTTCATCCTCCAAGCGAACACCCTCAATTTCCCATCCCTTCGGTCGACCGATCTTCAATTTCAATTCAACTGCGACCCTTGATTCTGTGTCCGAGACTTTGGTGTTGAGGTATCACACACGACTGGCAAAGACGACGCGCAGAGTTTCTGACTCTCCCAGATTACTTTTGTACAAGACATTCATTTTCACAGACATATTCTTTCAGCGTTACTCGCCTCCTCGATCCTCTGATGGTGGCTGTCCTGCTTTCGCAACCAGTCTGCATCCACAACCTCCACAGGTGCTCGGACACCTAGGACATTACTCTACTTTGCACCTTCCTGCTGGCCAGAGCACGCATCTTCGTCTCCTTGGGTGGTTTCCTCGCCAGGATAGAGCTATGACTTCCCTCTCCCTACCTGCTTCGGTATCAGCTTTGTCACCCTTCGATTCGACGCCCAGTTCTCCTCCTCGATCGCCTCAAACCCACAGACGTCGACATTCTCGAAATCCAAACACCCTTCCTCTACCGATTTTCTCCTTGGACCCTGGTGTGGATGGGAACGCTGCAGATTTAAGAGGAATGGATTCCCCCGCCCAACATGCTATCGACACGACGGTTGAGGCCGGCCGTCGCTCTGCCCGACCTCTTCCGCTGCCTGAATTCAAGTTCAACCCAGGTGCCAGTCTACCAGCTGAGCGGACTTCAAGTCCGACTCATCCTGTCCTTCAAGAGATGGCCCTGAACAAGCAGCGTGCTGTCCGTTCTGCAAAACCGGCACCTTTACCCGCATTCACCTTCGCTCCAAACGTGACGCCTTCGCAGACGTCTCCTAGTCCAACAAAATCAAATTTCGTCGACACCCAGCAATCCTCTCGTGGTGGTCATCGCAGAGGTGGAAGTGAATTTGTGGGCGGAGGCGGGACTGATGGACCCCAGCTAGTGAGCACAAGTCCTGAAAGGCCCGAGTATCGTCCTCATCCGCCAATATCTGGAACAAGAGGACATGCCCATCGTCGTTCGCAAGCTGTCTCGATCTCTGACATTGATACGTCCGAGCTGATCAAGGCAAATGCTGTGGCGAAGGCACGTGCTGGGTCAACACCAACCACTCCCTGCGATAGTGCACAGGCATTCTCATTCTCTCGCGCCAGTCCAATGACCCGACACTCCGTGTCAAGTGTTGTCCAGACTCCTCCTTCGTCCCCGCGCCGGAGGGGTAGCGTCCCTGGGGTACGACCTCGCGTGGGCTTTTCCGATCAGGTCGATGTCATACCCAGACCGTTGTCTATGATATCCTCTGAGACCGAAGGCAGTAGCTCGACCGTTAGGGGAGGACACTCCTTGTCTGGCAGCATCAATTCAATTGCCAGTCCCATACCCCGACCGACCTTCGTCGTCAGCCCGTCACATGACACAATGACTTCGCCTGAGCCGGAGAGACCGCAGACTGCAGACGCACTTTCTACTCTGTCTCCAGGAATGGCGTTCGATAGAACGAAGAGTTTGTCTCTGATTAATCTGCCAAAGCGTCCTCTGTCAGCCTCGGGATCACCTGGAACGCTGAGCTCCTGCAGTCCTCCTAATAAAAAGAAATACTTCTGGTTCAACCACTCCGGTAGTAGCTCGCCATCAACCACTCCCCATATTGAGCGGGGTGATCCGATGGATGTTTTTGTGTCTGCCACTCCCGCCGCGCAGAGCCTGGGGAACGATCTGCGACCTCAAACATCATCAGGTGAATCTACCACAAAGAAGCGAAAATATCATACTTGGACATCGGGAATCTTCTCCAAAAAATCAGAGAAGCGATCCAACAAGACCAAACCACAGGGCCATCCAGTGCCGCCACCCCTTACAAGGACCCCCAGTGATCGGCTTAACGACATCTTTGATGCTGACGACACAATTGTGATTCGTGATCCCTCGCCTGTCGCAACGAGGGTCCGAGCCGCGGCAGAAACTTTGGTGACATTACCAGACTGGAGGGCAAGTCCCTACGAAGAGCAGATTACGAGTCCGACCCTTGATCTAGATGCTGCTCTGGGGCCTTTCGGAAGCGAAGAAAAGCTCGGACCAGAAGGAATTGCCAGACAAGCTTCGCGATTGGCAAAGCTTCACAGTAGTGAACGCAGAGGAGCCATGGATGCTTTTGGTACAATCCATAGGAGGACTGAGTCAGCACCCATCATGCCCGCTGTCAATCGCAACATCTTCGGTCTGCATCATATTGGCAGCAACGCTTCTCTTTCCGAAGATGTCTTCGACGAAGAAGAGGAAGACAATTTTCTTGCCGAGGAACATGCTGCACAGACCACCCCTGTGGACGGTCGAGGCCGGGAGGAATTTCCAGCTTCGCTTCTGTCGGGCTCGCCCAATGAAACAGTTGCAGATGGTCTTGGTCTGTTCATTCGTGACAGCTCAAGTGATGGAGTTATCATTATTGACTCAGACGATGACCTTTCTCGGGTCGGCGCGAGGTCGTCCAACTCAACAATCGAGGCGCCAGTATATCAAGATTTTGAAACTCGAAAACGACCGATGTCTTCACCAATGGCTTTTGTGTATCCGGCACCCCAGTCGCACTATGCTTCATCCACAGACGGACGCACCACATCTGCTTCGATGATGTCCTCACCCGATGCGGATCATATCTCTTTTGACGCCCTCTCTCGGCCGTCGAGATTACTTGGAGAACCAAGTCCTGACTTGATACTTCGTGTATCCAACGACGATCTTCCGTCATTGAGTGACAGTATTTCCACCGGTGCTGTTCCAAGGTTCTCCAGCAGTGCGGGTACCAGATCTTCTGTCGAGCAACGTTCAGCCTCTATGATCGACCCGTCTACTTCCAGATCGAACAATCAGCAAGCGTGGAAACGTTCGAGTTTGGCCAGTCTCAATCGCTTTATCCCTGGCTCTTCCCACGGTAGCAAACTCAAGTTTGAAAGTGTCCCAGACAACAGCGTCGAGGACGAACAGAACAAAAAGAAAACGAACAGACTGAGCAAACTCATGCTTTTCTGGCGATCGAAAGAGAAGGCAGAGAAATGATTAAACGGGAAATCTAACCATTTATGGCTTTATGAACAGCGCCCGAGCATTCGGAGCGTTGATGAATTATGTGACTTGGCTTTGTTGGGGACTGCTCTTGCTGACTGCGCAGCTTAACGACATTTCATGGAAGGGGGCTAAATGACTGCCATACCTTTTCTCACCCAAGTCATTCATGCAAAAACACTATTGTCGTTTGGCCCAAAGTATCTGAAATCAGGCATCTTGAGCCTTGACGATCAACCAGAGCTTTTTTCTCTCTTCTGGCCGAACATTGCGAAAGCTACACAACAACTTTCTGGCAATGGGGCTTTTGCGCTGTTTGACAAAGCTTCACCTCGTACAAAACTGAACATGAAGACTCGAATGTGTTCGTATGGTCGGCTGACCGGAGAGTTGCGGGTGAGCAGAACTGTGCTGGAATCGCTGGAACGAGCCTTGGAGCGCTCTTCTCGGACGAAATGGAAGAGAGACAAAGAGTTCTTGGACGGAATTATACGACAGATCCATACATTTTGTAGCCTGGCCATTTACGACCTCGTATCACTTATCCTTGATCAACGAGCATTTTGATTGAAGGTAGTGTTATTGTGGGAAACAAGAAATGACCATTGACTTCCACTCTGCCGAACCTACTCCCTTGCTGTTGTTCTTGAGTGTACAGACTTTTGATCAGTGCTCGTGCCGTGGTCCACCCGTCCATGTATGCGTAATGCCAAACCTCTTCGCCGACGACAACGTCGCAGCTTTTGGAGACTTGGAAAACCCTCCTCGCCTAAGGGGGCCCCTAAAGTATGGCTGCACTACGCAGTATCTGCTCCAGCACTCTCACCGTGGTCCTGCCCTAGTTCTGTTCTATCATCTGCGTTGGCCTTACGTGCCTCAGTGCTTTACATAATGGGAGCAGGCATAACACTGTCACGGTTCTGCCAAGTCCTGGCCGATATGTGATATTTTCAATTGCCCACCTGCGACCTTTACCTCGTTACAGGCTGGCAATACCCAGATAGACTCTCCTCGAGGTTGTATATATGATTTTTGTGCTGTATGCTGTGCTGGGGCCTCGGCGCGTCACAAACACGTGTAATGGTCAATATTCACGTGTTAAAGTCTTGGCAGGACTGCTGCCCCTTTCTCTGGTTCTCCACAAATATGTACTTCCGAAATCCTCACTCCCCTTGAGATTAATGAGCAACCCACTAGAGCCATTGGCGCCGCTATGCCACGGTAGTCATACATCCACACTATCTTGCCTCACTCTGGCAAGACAGCCTTGTTCCGATCGACCATGCCTCTTACACTACATCGGCACAGACCTGCTGGTCTCACATCGTTTCTTTCTGCAAACTACTGCTAGTACCGTTGGGCCACCGTTTGACGAGACAACACAACAAACATCGAACTGCCTTTGAAAATGACCCCGCACAATGAAAAATCGCTAGATCAAGTCGACCTCCCTTCGGACATCAACTTAATTGATCAGAGTGATTAGGTCAAAGTCGGGACCTGAAAATCTGTGAAAGATTCGGAAGCTCTTTCGGCGCGGAAAGATATGGAACAGGAAGCAAAGAAGAGGAGATGGTCGACATAATAACGAGCTTAGACATACAGCTGAAAGACTCCCTTCATTTGAACGCAATCTGGTTGTCGATCAATCCCAAAGCTGCATCAAAGACTCCAGGGTACCTCTAGCCCATAGCGAGAACAGAAGATCTCATTCCAAGTCCCAAAAGCCTGCCCAAACGCTGCCGACAGCGTCTGATCCTATTGACCCTGGTTGAATACCTTGCGATCGCCTGAAAGCACCATTCCTGTCCAGATCCTACATTATGCTACTCAGATATCTCTCTCCGGACAACCCTGATACGTGAAGATACACGAGCAACGTTCGACTAAGCCATGGATGTTGAGAAGGGTGATTGCAATACTACAGCGGCTTTTGAAGATACCTTGAAGGCTGTGCCAGTACTTCAGCTACTTTCGTCACCTGCAATGCCAACCAGATCTGCATTGTCTGACTGGTCAACCAGGCAGAATTTACACGCTCGGCACAATATCTTTTCGGTCACGGGCCAGGGTGCGTCCGTCAGCAATGCCAGGTTCGCCTCGACAGCGGTAGAAGACCTCTCTGCCTTCTATAGGTTGTGTTCCCCTGTCAACCACTGAGTGACACCACAAAGCGCAATCTTCATGGCAGTCGGATCACCAATGCCTGTCACCTTTACGAGGAACAATTTTACTTGGATGCACCTACCAATTTTTCCTCGGAGACGACTCTCGACGAGGTCCACTATATTTCTGCAAGGAAGAGACGGAACGTCCGAGCCGAAGAATGCTGCTTTGGAAGAAGTATCTGTGCGACTCTGTGCCATTAGGCTGACAGACTTCTCAAGACGCTCGATGTCGATGCCAAATTTCTAGCGGAAGCCAGCAAGAGGAAGCATTTCAATCCACAAATACCACCTTGAGAAGGTGTCGCTCGTTGGCAAGGATTCAATCCCAGAAACTCACTGGTTGATATCTCGTGCGATAGGATGAATAAAAAAAGCTCTCCTCGAACAGAATGGAGCAGTCAATACCAGTATCGGTCGATAGCCGAAGAAGAAGATCTGCGCTTTTTGACGAAGATTTCCCATCGACCACTGCTTGATAGCTAGTCAGCCTCTCAACATTCCGTTTCATGCCAGGTTACGGCGGTTGAACCTGGGTTCCTGTGAGGAGAATTTGATAAACGGCTTGCCCTCCAGTCAATCTTCTCGTCAAACAGGTCACACTGCTCCTGCATGACGCGTCTTACAAGGTGCGCACAGTCTTGCACAACACGTACCAGATGTACTCTCATCCCTATTGAAGTCATGCAGACTGTCCTAGCAGCTCCAACAGTCGAGTCAGGCACTAGCCTTAGCCTTCTCTTGGTAACATCAACGAAATGCAACCGCAAGGGCAACAATACCTCGTAAGAGAACACTCGCGAAACGCCTCACCGACACTTAAATTGAGCGCACAAAAAGACAGCTCGTCTTCAGTCACATTCTGGCGGTTGACGCTCTGGCACACAAACCTCATCTCGGAGTCAACTTCTCGAGATTTTCTCAGTCCAACCTCGGTACCATCTGCAGCTAGTGTGGGACGCTCGAAAAATACGACGTAGACAACAACTATATGAACCTACTTTCCTCAGATAAGGGAAAGAGCCTTGAAAAGGTCAGTCTTCAAGACATGTTGGACACCCATAGTTGAAGTCCTTGTGGCAACGGACCGATGTGGGCTCTTGAACCAGAAACCTATTCACGGAATCCATGAAAAGGGGACTAGCTGCAAAAAAACCTTCACAAGAGGTGGTACACAGCACAGTGCAGGTCCTAACGATGTGGACATAGCGGCAAATCGGAGCCGCCAGACATACGAGATATGCAACAATCGTCCGCGGCCAGCCAATACAGTGTCGCACAGATGGAGAAATGACATAACTTGCTATGACATAACTGGTAACTCACTTGATCCCTGGGGACTGGACACAAGGTCCGAAGGCACCAACCTCGCCAAAGTGACGACACCACGAAACAGAAGCTGGATACGCAAAAGCAGAGCGCGACCTGAATCCCAAAAGAATCCATCATATCCAGGACATATAGTGTGGCCATGAGCATACTCTGGTAAGTTCGACAGAACGATCCTATCCGTCATGCTAAACCGCAAAGGAGATATATATATCTAAACCTCCCCCTTTTGGTACTCCTCGAGACCTCAGAAACCTGTGGACAGCGGCCTGGTCGACAGAAACATGGAAGCGTATAGCAAACGGAGCCTTCGGAGAGATTAAGCGGGTTGGGGACGTCCTGGACCCCGTTACGATGAGGCCCAAGGTGCCGGACACTCTACACTCTACAAGGGCAGGAGAGACGCCGCGTCTCACAAGCGCTGCAAACTTTCATCAGTGCCCTGCCGAGGGATTGGACCCAACTTGTGGAATCCGCCCCCATCCAACAACGACAAGATTGGGAAAGAACAAGAAGACCGTTCCAGCACTGCCGAATGATTTCGGTACGGGTAGACGGGACTGAGGTCGGGCGCGACCTCGATAGGCTCTACTACACGTGGGTGTATAAGACACTCAACAAACACGTCCAGGGAGACCGTAACCTGGACAACCGAATTGAAGGAATTATCCTGATAATGTCGAGGGCCTTGCGGAGAGCCGTACGAGTACCGGAAGTCTGGAACGCGATGCTCATGGGGAAGCGGGTGCCCAAGGCAAACGATCTCCTCTATCGGCTGCTGCTCGATAAGGTGCTGACGGGTGCCAAATTGTTATGGACCGGAGAAGAGGGCATGGACACATGCCCCAGAGACGGCCTGGAACAGACCATCACCCACCTGTGGGTGGAATGCGAAATCGCAAGGGCGGTCTGGGAAGAAATGCGAGCGATTCACCTCGCCGCGACAAGGACCCGGCGCCGAGGACCATTTGTTGCCCCTATCCCGACGACCCGAGAGGAGCTGTTGGGATTTATGGCGATCGGCTCGCCGGGTTTGACAAATCGATATGACAAGGCGAGATGGCATACACTCTACTCGGAAGCGGTGTGGCAGATCTGGAAACTCTACCTCAACAACCAATTCCGGGAAGAGAACTTCACGGCACAAGGGGCAGTCCAAGTGTACCGTAGGGCCATCCAAACATGAATTATGATGGATCGGGCGTTGATCTTCAACCCCGAGAGGAACGATTTTCGCACACAGAATCGGGCGGGGTTCTCCAAGGTCTAGGGCCAGTCAGTTGACCGGATCCTGGAACGCGGTGTTCAGTGCCTTAATGTCAGAGCTGCTTCCTGTGTGGCCTAACTAGGTTAGGTTTCCTCAGTCACAGTTCCTTTATTGCATAAGCTAGGTCGAGAGTACGTAAGGTATGAATAGTTAAGTAACTTCAGAATAGTACAGTAAAGTAGATGTCATAAGTTAGCTACGAGAGAGTGTAACTATAGAAGGGTAATAAGCGTAGCTATATACTTATAAGGTATATCCCGAATAGGTAACTAGGAATGGTATATTAATATATTAATATAGCCTATACTAATATATCGATATATCGTCTCTTTCCCTTTTAGGTAGTTATATACTATACGTAACCTAGCCTCGTTCCTTTATTAGGCTACCGCGCTCGGTAGACCTACCTCTAAGCGCCCCGCGCTCTAGGTTATATAAAGGCCGTTTCTAATACTATCCCCCCTCTATCCTATTCGTTATCCTTAACGTACTTAAGGTAGGCCGCGCCTACCCTCCGTCCTCTCTCGTTCTTTCTTTCCTCCTATTCCTATAGCTAACTATATAGCCCTTCCATATAGTTAAACCTCGTCGTTCTACGAAACCTATAAAAACTTAAAGTAAACGTCGTATCGAACTCGCTAACTCTATTTCCGCTGATCCTAAGAACGTCGTAATAGTAGCCTATACTAAGTATATTAACTACGAGATTATCTATTACTATAACCGCGAATAGTTATCTTCTTATACCGAATATCTCCGAAGATAGCGAAAGTATAACGGTACTTTTTAATAGAAGAATTCCGGAAAGTAGGGGAACAAAAGAAATAGTTAATTACGAGGTCGCGAGCGAAGTAAAAGGAAATTACTCGCCTACGAAGGCTTCTTATCGAGGCTGAAGAAGAAGACGTTTCTATATAAGATAACCTTACTTACTTAGAAGAGGTATTAAGTCGAATATTACGTCGTAAGATATAAGCCTTAGATATCTTTAATAGACTATTAGACTCTAAGGAGGTAGCCCTAACCTCTCCTAACTTCGCCTAGTCTAACGCCCTAAACGTTAAGTAAGTTAATTAGAAAGCTATATTATCTAGTGAAACTACTTAGAGTATCGCTTTCGAGCTTCCTCTAGAGTCTCCCTCGAAAGGTAAGCCTCTAGTTTCTAGCTATTTTCTAACTTATCGTACTTTAACTACTTAATTAGGTATTAGAGGGTACTATACCTAATACGTCTTCTAAGTACTCTCTCTATATCGTATTCTTTAGTTATAACTTCTTCGTCTAGCGGTAACGATTAGATCGGTTTAGCGTTTTTTAGTGCTAGATTAAGTAATAAGATATAGAATACGTCGTAAATCCTTATATCTTTAGGGAGTTCTAGTTAATAGTTAACCTTTCCTATTTTTTCTTTAACTCTAAATAGTCCTAGCTTAATATAGTCTAATTTCGCACTTAGTCGCTTTATCTTAATATTTTTTCGTAAAAGGTAGATAGGGTCCCCCTCCTCTAGAGGCGGTCCCTTAACCCTTTTCTTATTTACGTATTTTACCATTCTTTCTACGAGGAATCTTAGATTCTCCCGTAATCTATTATAGATTTCTTTTATTATCTTAGCTTTTACTAGTACTCTTAGGTTTAAACTTTCCTAGACGCTATCTTCTAGTCTTAGGTAGAATCTATAGTTAGCGTAGAATAGACTTAGTCCTATTACTAACTTATGATTATTAAAGTAGAATTATATAATTAATAGTATCGTAACCTAATTTATTTATCTATAATCTACGTATATCTATAGGTATTACTCTAGTGTCTAGTTTATCCTTTCTATTTAACTATCTATCTATAGGTAGAAAGATATAGATAGTTTATACTTCGTTACTAATAGCCTTATTAGTTCTTTCTAGAACTTTAATATAAAGAGCTTATCTCTATCTATAATGATTTCTTTTAGTATACCGTAGTTTACGAATATAGTCTTTAAGAATTCGTACGCGAAGTCTTCTACTATTAAGCTTTCTAAATAGGGTCTAAAGTAAGAAAACTTCGTAAGTCTATTATATATTACTAAGATACTATTATAAGTTATATATTATAAGTCGCTTCACACGTGAGGTGTTACTAGTAAACCCTATAAGGTTTACTTAGTAATATAGTAGTAGGATGGAGTAGCTAAGACGAAACTAAGAGTATAGTATACGAGCTATACGTAAAGCGTATAACCGAGAGGAACTCAATTATTTATGAACGAAGTTGACTACGAAAGAGGACTATAGAAAGTACAGTAGCTATATAGTAAAGAGATTCGTAGTGCTCTATTAAACTATATTACTATATTTAACATATATTAATATATTAACCTATATATCCCTTAGTAATATATATTAATATATTACCTAGCTCTAATATATTAGTATATATATCCCTTAGCGTTCTACGTAGGCCGGCTTTACACGTATTTCCTTAGATAACCTTCCCACTCTCCTTCTCTTCGTAGCCTTAAAAAGGTTAGGTCGTAACACCTCCCCCTCTTTAGCCTATTCGTCGTCCTCGACGTACTTAAGGTGAGTAATCCCCTCCTTCTACTTATGAACTTTCTCTCTTCCTTCCTTCTTCTTTTAGTCATAGCTAACTATACCTAAGGTTCCTAAACCCTCCCGTTCTTAACGATACCGCGATCTCGGGGACGTCATCATGAAGCTCGGTAACCCCGCTCCTTCTCCCTACCTAGAGTATCTTAAGTCGCACTCTATCTATATTATTCGTTAGGGCTATTCTCGCTATAGTCCTTATACTAAGAAAAACATGACCTATTATAGCTAATTTTCGAAGGCGGAGTTCGATCGTCTAGAGAATAAGAAGTAGGAGCTTCTTCGGTAAAGCTAAGAAGCTTAATAGCTGATAGTAGCGTTAGCCCGTCAGCTATTAGAGACTTAGTAGCGTATAGCTAATGTAAATAAATAAGTAGATATCTTAATAAAGCGTCAAGAAGATATAGTCAATCGCGAGGCGATAGTACTTAGTTTATTAGATGAAGGCGTAGCTAGTGATATAGTAGTGATGGATATAGATCCTTTTACTTAGGACGATCCTACGTTTAACGCTGTCGTTTTTTTAGATCCCTCTATTCCGCTACCCTCTTTCGAGGATACTAGTTAGGGCGCTCCTCCGGAGAATCACTAACTCGTTAGCTTTACTTCCTTACCTCGGTCCTTCTTATAGTATTCCCTTTTAATCCTAGCTAATAAGTCTTTTACACTCTCCTACGTATTTTCTTCGCTTCTATAGCCTAACTACTTAACTAGATATATGTTTTGTCCATTAGTTAATTTATTAGCTGGATAGAAGTCCACGAGCTCTTCTATCTTATATAAGGGTTCGCCTGTTTCTTAGTCAATATTAACGGGTCCTAGTGAACTGGGGCGAGGCTCTTAGCCAGAGGTATCAACTCGTACGGCGGTGGGCATAGTAGTAGGGGTAACGACTATCGCTCAATAACAATAACAACAATATAGAAGGTCCTAATTAGATAGGTTCTATAACTAGATAGATAACTTAATTGCTCTCTACCGTGTCTCACGGTATATCCTTCTCTACTTAAGGAAAAAGAAAGGAAAACTTAGACCTAATGCCCGTGTCCCTACTAACTAATGATCAAGAGTACCTACCTGTACATTATATAGGCTAATTCCACTAATTACGTTCCAGCTTACCTTTCTCCCCTATTATATCCCTCCTATTATCACTCGCTTCCTTGACGCCCTCGCTTAAGGTCTGAGTCCTAGTGATGTTATAAGCTCTCTCAGTTCTTCTTAATACCTTTCAACATCTTTACGAGGTTATCGACCTATCTCTCGTCTAATTCCTTCGGGCTGGGGAGCTCCGACTTCGTTGATTTATTCACTCGCTTTATGTCTCGTCTAATCATTCGAAAGATATAGTATACAATGTCAAAGCGATCTTTAATGTCTACTTAAACAGCGGATAGTGCTAATTAGAGGCGTACGGTCTCGTAAGTTTCAGCATTAAGGATTACCTCCGCGTTTCTAATCGCCTATAGTCTACAGCTATTAGTGTCGTTTTGAAAGTTAGACACTAGAGTGATCTCTCGCGGCGGTATGCTGAAAACACGCGCTTTCAGCCATTAGATAAAGAAACCGAGTATTTCCCTCGCTCTAGTTAAGAGATAAGGCTTCGAGTTGATGACTAAGTATAACTAAGTAGTTCCGTCCGCTATAAAGAGGAGCTAATAGTATCCTCTTCCCTATAGACTATCGTTAACGATTATAATCCGTCTTGAATAGTCGTTAACGTCTCCCTAATATCGAAAGTCAGCTAACTTTCCTTAGTTCTTACTTTAAGTGACCTAAAAGTTGAATACTAGACTTGAAATTACTAAGTATTTTATATTAGATTCCTTCCGGAGGGCAGTAATCGTAGCGTCGATGAAGGAACTACTTACCTAACTATCTCGATCGGAACTTAAGACTGCACTTTAGATGGTTTCACTACTAACGCTGATAGTACGGTAGTTAGGATGTCCCGGTAAGACCTAATAATGTTCGGTTCCGAGCTTTTCTTCCCACTATTTAATTAATTAATCGAGGCGCTTTATAGGATCTTTATACTGGGTAGCTATACGCTCTAGCCCTTCTAGATACTTTATAATTCCTCTTTCGGCTATATAGAGGTATACGCTTGGATATCGTCCTGGTATAAATCTAGTAAGTAGACTTAGTACATTAATCATCTTCTCGGCTCCGAATTCGTAGTATCGCTAAATATCTTCATCGCTAACTAGTAGCGCATCCCTTCCGTAATTAGTCTATATAATATATCGGTTGACTATATCCTACGCGAATACTACCGGACTTCTAGGGTTTAGAATTAGATTTAGTAGGTTCTAAGGAGGGTTACTTCCG